ATCGAGTAGAAGTGTCGTAACAAAACCAAACACAACACAGAATTTAGGTATGCATTTGACAAATCCGGAACTGTAAAATACCGACCCTGAGCTAGCGCATGTGCAGGGAAGATGTGACGAGACGAGACGAGACGTGACAAGACGTTTCCAGAGCAGAATAGAGAAGAAGTGACTGCGCAAGGAGGAAAAAAGAAGATGTTCACGTGCGACGAGGAAGAAGGAGAAGAGGAACGATGGACAGAGACGAAAAACTTAAAAAGAAAAGAAAAAGGTAAAAAAGAAAAAAGAATTAATTAAATTGTGGGGGAATATTATAAAACAAGAAATTAAAAAAAGACAACAATGGGGAAAAAAGAAAAAGAAAAAAAAAAAAAAGAAAACAAGAAGCTTATTAACATTACGTTTCAGACCCCAATCTGCTCATCCCAAATAAACCGCACGCAACGCTTTTCCGCTACGGCTTCGCCCATGTAAATTCTCATTGTCCTTTCCTCAAATCCACAAATCTCCAATGCATTTTAGTCCTTGTGGAACAGCTTCTCCTTGATCTTGCCAAAGAAGCTGCGGCGCTTCTTCTTGGCGTCAGTGACGGCCCCGCTCGTGCCGCTCTCGCTCGTACGGCCACTTGAGGGGGCGGGCTTGGATGAAGCAGCGGCGGTAGTTGCGGGCGCCGCGGGCTTCTGCTCCTCGACGGGCTTAGAGATCTCAGGAGCCTTGGCCTCTGCGACACCGGTGGTAACGGTTGGCTGCGTCTGAGCCTCAGTGGCAGCTGCAGGAGCGGGAGCCGGCGACTCCTTAGGAGCTGCTTCAGCGGTGACGGGCTCGGGCTTGACGGGTTCAGAGACCTCAGGAGCCTTGGCGTCGGCGACACCGGTATTGACAACTGGCTCGGTCTGAGTAGTCGTTGCGGGCTCCTCAACTGCCTTGGGTGTCTCCTCGGCGGCTTCGGTCACCTCGTCCGTCTTGGCATCAGCGACACCAGTAGTCACAACGGGCTCCGTCTGCTGAGACGTCTCGGGAGCGGAAGACTCTTCGGCCTTACCAATGGTGTCCAAGGCAGCCTGAGTAGCAGGTGTCACAGCGGGAGCGGTAGCACCAGCCGCGAGGCCGTCAGTCTTTGGTGGGGAGGCGGGGGTGGAGGTGAGGTCAATAGGAACGGTCGCGCCGGGCGCAGTTTCAGCCAATGCAGCGCTAGCAGTAGGCGCAGGCTGACCAGCACCCTCCTCAGGCTTGATCTCATGGAGTAGCTCCGACTCCATTTCCTTCTTTTCGATAACGGCCTCTCTGTTGGCAGCGGCCTCGGGGCTCTGGTGAGACTCGGCAAAGGATTCCTTCACGACCTCCGGTACGGTGGCAGTAGTCGCCTGAGTAGCGGGGGTCTCTGGGGCAGCGGCGGTCGGGGCAGCATCAGTATTAGAGACAGAGTTGGTGACTTCGACGGCCTTATCCTTGGCGGAACTGGCAGCGGCGGCAATGGCTGCGCCTGCCGTCGCGGCACCCGCAACAGCAGCGCCTGCAACAAGTCCTACAGTCTCAGTTGCTTCCTGGGCGGAAGGAAGAATCGATTCGCCCGAAGTGACAGGCTCCTTGGACACCTCGCTCTGCAGTTCAGATTCCATCTTGGTCTTGTCGGCAACGGCTGCAGCCGAAGCAGCGGCCTCGGGAGCAACGTGAGCCTTCTGTTGGCTCTCGGCAACAATCTCAGGAACTTCGGGAGCGGTAGGCAAAGAAGCCTCCTCGGTGGTTGAGGGCTGCTCAGGGACCTCCTTCTCCAGCTCCTCCTCCATGATAGCTTTCTCAGCAACAGCGTTAGGAGAACCGCTAGCTTCCGGAGCCCAGTGAGCTTCCTTCCGGCTCTCCTTCACCACCTCGGGAACTACGGCAGCAGTGGGGGGTTTAGCCGCGGTGCTCGTCTCAGTCGTTGCCGCGGTTCCTTCTGTCGTGGCCGGCTCAACCGGGACCTCCTTCTGCAATTCCTTCTCCACCTGGGCCTTCTCAGCGATGACATCAGCAGAGCTGCTAGCTTCAGGAGCGGCATGAGCCTTCTCTTGGCTCTCCTTTACAACCTGAGGCACAGCGGTGGCAGCAGGCGCGGCAGTCTCAGTTGTAGCAGGCTCGGCGGGGATCGCAGATTGAAGCTGCTCTTCCACCGCTGCCTTGTTTGCGACAGCCTCGGGGGAGCCGCTTGCTTCGGTCGTAACATCGGCCTTCTCTTGGCTTTCCTTGACGACCTCAGGCAGCTGAGGGCCGGTGTGCTTCGGCTCCAGGGGAACGGCGGCGGCAAGTGCGGCAGTAGTGCTCTCAGGCGCGGCGGACTGGATGGTGACACCGGGATCCTTTTCGGCCTCGGGCGCTTCGCTGCCCATGGGAAGGCTCGACTCCGGGATCGTAGCATTGGTTACAGGAGGAACACCAAACATGCCAGCTCCAAAAACACCGTCACCATTCCTCTCGCGCTCGGCTTGAGGGGTGACGGGCATGGGCAGCTGCGGCGGTGCAGCTCCGGCCTTGTCATAGGACTCCTTATCCGTAGTAACGGTCGAGTTGACGGTGGAGGTGGTGAACTCGCTGGGTTTGGGAACTTTCTCGCCGGGCTGGAGGTGAATAGGGTTTCCAGCGCCTGCGGTTGCGGGAAGAGGAGCGACACCAAAAGTTTGCTGGGCACCCTCAGCGCTGGCCTTGAGAGCCGGGTCGTCATGCGCAGTAGAGGATACTGTGTTGGAAGTCAAGGTGGACGGATCGGGCACCTTCTCCCCAGGGGCAAGCTTGACCGGGTTGCCAGCACCTTCAGTTGCAGGAATGGGCTTCACGGAGAAGTCAGAAGCCTCATTTACAGGTGTCTCAGGGAAAAAGCCAGGAATTTCAGCACCAGGGGTGGGCTTTTCGAGCGGCACACCCTTGGCAAGCTCTGCAGTCGTAGAACCGGGGGCAGCGGACGAGATGGCTCCTTTCTTAGGAGCATCGAGTTGCTCGGGCAGAAGCACACTGTTGAGGTTACTGTGAGGGTCGGTCTCATGAGGGGCAGTGTGGTCTGTAGTCCAGACGCCATCTACAACGAACTACAAGGGCAGAGTTAGCAGGGCCGTCGGGAATTGGCGTACAAATTTTGGGGTAGAAAGCAGGAAAACGTCGATTGAGATTGGGTTCGCAAGTAGATTACCTGTCATGCCACCGCCTAGCCAGCATGACAGGCATCTAGGCAAAGATTCTGCAAAAATGCGCACCTTGTAGTAGATCTTTTGGCCTTTTGGAAGGTTCACAGTCTTCTCGAAAACGCCAGCGTCGTTCTTCTCGAGCTTGACGCTCTTTGACCAGTTATCGAAAGTGCCAGTAACATAGACCACTTGGGCAGGGTGGGACCTGGAGATGAGCGCATTAGTTGGCGATTCCGACGACATCAAATAAAATCAAGGTGCTGGGACAACTTTACCATTTAAACGTGTAGCTTCCCAGATTGGGAGCTCGGGAAGTGGAAGTGGCCATGCAGAATACGGTTGTTTTAAGAGGGACTTTGAGATATGCGTGGGCGAGGAGAAAGGCTTCAGTTGGGTCTCAATGCAACTGAAAGGTGAAGGATGATAGCGCTGGATTCACTGATAGGGTATCACTGGCAACGAAAGGTTCAAGTCGTGCCTATTCAGTGAGGTTAGCAAATGGCCCGATTAGCGCCGGGAGTTGCTGTGCGAGCCAGCACATAGGTAGGACCACAGACTTGAAATGCCGAAAAAAGGAAAAAAGGTTAAAATTATCAACCAGCAAGACACAGTTCTTGCGCACGCCGATAAAAGGCAAATTGGTGGTTTGTTGATGGTGGGGGGTTGTCGAGATGGATGATGAGAGGAAGAAGAGATTGGTCGCCGTGAAGGGAGCACTGAAGCAGCAGGCAGTCAAGTTGCGCTATGGGAAATCAATAGATTGGCTTTTTTTCGTTCGGTCAAGGGTCTCTGCGGGTACGGCGATTGACATTCAAGTTTGCAGGACCTGTCATGTACCGATATCGTCACTTCTCACTAAGGTAAATTGGGGCCACAACCTGGTCGTCATCCTGAATTATGAATTATGATTGCTCCCCAAAGTCCAAGGCCCCTCCACTCTCGCATTTACTATACGGTAAAGTACTTGGCTGGATGCCAAAAGTATGCAGCAACAGAAGTACAGTCCTGTATCTCAATAGTGTCGACCTCTAGCATAAGCGAGTGGGCTTAAGCGTCAGCGGTGAGAGAAGGCGGTGGAAACGCAGATGAGGTGAGCGCGAAGACTTTTTGATTATCAATTTCAGCCCGGTCACGGCTGTTCCGATTGTCTTTCTCTGTCAGTAGCCCTTTTATTTGTACGAGTAAATTTAAAAGGTGATCTAAGCTCGTGTAGCGGAGGACTAGCATTGAGAGCTGATGTTGGTGCTGACGCTGACTTGGTCCCCGTCTCGAGGCGCTGGTTGTGCGCCTTGCACGAGACGAATTGATCATAATAAGAAGTGTGACAATGCTGCTGTCGCACAGACTCTGACCACCTTGCATCCGTTGATCAGATTACGAGATCTTTATGTGCGCTTGCTTCATCTACTGCACCTATTCTTGGTTCAAGAGAAAGGGAAATGGGTAGTTATAAAATTTTTCAGCTGCTGCCAGCAATGAGCTTGCGACCTCGCATGGCTGCAAGCTATCACAAAGATATAAGCTTGTTTTGGGCTGGCCAAAGCCGAGGCTGTGCTGACCTGACTGCAGTTGGTGATTATATAATTCCGTTGATTGAGTCCGTGCATACCTCACTATGACCAACTTGTGCAAAGAAGCACAATTTCTGCTGTGTTTGCATAACTCTCCCGGCAGGCGGCTCACGTGCTGATGGAAGCCTTCTAGAAGCAAAGTTTGGCGAGAGGGGTATGACGGAAGCGTCCGAGGCTGCCCACCAACCTCACGTCGTTCCCACGAGTTCTATTCGTTACTGACCTACTCGTAGAGAAAGATGCCAGGAGAGGCAACCACCGCCCCACTGCTCCTTCCCTTCTTGGCCTTTCGGTTGGCAACCGCAAGTACCCTCCACGCAACGACGAATGATGATGGTTATAAGAAATGATATGTTTGTTATAATATGAATGCAATGAGATAGCTTAAGAAAAAGAAAAAAGAAAGTGAGAACCAGTTTCACCCTAAAGAGGAGCGGCTTGGATGCAATTGGTGCTTTTCTTCATTTCAAATCAAGGTCCGCCCAGATCCAACCAGTCCTGGCAAGCTTCTAGAAGCGCCGCAAAAGCTTATAGAGATACAAATCACTGCAATGTCCATACTTGATCAGCCAATGTACTGTACAAGCGGAGCTATAGCAAACTCATGGCCTCCTCAGGAGCGCTTGATTCAGAAGATGGCATGTGTGTAAATGTGAGAGAGATATCGGCCCAGGCAATGCTCTCGGGACAAGATTTAGCCCCTCTTTTTTCCATTAAACTCTAAATGCTCGTAATTCTCAGGTCTACTGTATTCTTTGTTACTGAATTAAGTGCTCGCAGTAGATTGGGCGACACACATACACCACAAAGTTCTTATTGAGCCGGACCTTTTTCCTCAGCTTGCGTAGCTATTGTTCCTATTGCGTCATCCCCCCGAACTCTACAGTGTTCCGTAATTGGGTAGGAAGCGCAGAGACAGGAGACGTTTGAATGAAGGACTCAATTGAGAACCCATCTTTGAGTTAATATGATGTGACACCATTAATATTCTCAGAAAATACATGTGCCCGAGACAAGGCTAAGCCTGGCTTTAAGCAATCCTTTATTGTGGAGCTGTCGTGACCTTCTTCTTCTTTTGCCCCCCGCCTGACTGCAGCTGCCGAGACAACAATCCTGTACTGGTACTGCAATACCCAAGGGCATCCCTAACGGTCGCACGTCTTCTACACAGCTTCTACGCCTTCCATCTACTCTCAACCCTACCTTATCAATTTGTCGTTTGCAATTGTTTCTCCTCCTTGTCTTCAGCTTATACTGTACTACCCAGCGGGTAACCGTTGTCTGCTTGTGCCTGTAGGTGTATGTCCCTTTTTCTTTCCTCACGCGCACGCACTAACTACTCCACACATTTCTTCTCTCTAGACCTCCCCCCCTCTTCCAGAGAGACACCTTCCTAGCCCTTTACAACACATATATCCGAGAGCTTCATCTTAACTTCAAAGCTTGTCTCTCTTTCTTTCAAGCTATTCTATTTCTTCTCTTTGGTCTGCCTCGAGTTGCCTCTTGTCGTGCTGCTACCCGTCTTGGATTCAACGCCAAACGAGCGTTCGATCGGCGCACCGACCAGGTCAACGACCCACGCCCCACGCCCCACGACCTCAATCGACGTCAGGCCTCTGCCATTTATTAGTCGAATCCGCTCCTGTAAGCAATACTTTCCCCTACCCTTTGACGACACCTCCTTGCACACGTTATTGTTATTCATTCTTGTTGACCCACCCCTTCTGACAACGACTCACGATTCTGCAACTTGTACCCACACTACCGTCATCTTCTTTGCCCCCTCCCCACTGTTGTCGCCTCTAACCCACCGACAAGGACCTTGTCTACTTTCCTTACCCTGCTTCTTCAAGCGTGTTCGTTCCTTTTTCTCGAATGTCGCTCCCAATCGAATACACCAACGAACTCAATACCCTCAATCGTGAGATACTGAAGCACCAGCCCTCCGACGTGCTCCAGTTCTGCGCCAATTTTTTCAACCGACGACTCGAATCTCAGCGCGCCGAATTTCTCTTGCAGCACGGTCTGCCCAAATCCGCAACCACGACAGGAGGAATGGCTGAAAGCTCTTTTCCTGGAAGTAATCCCTTTGGTGGCGCGCCCAAACGCGGCGGCGGCATGGGCCGTGTGGTCGAAGAGGACGAGAACAATGCTGGCTCCCCGACCGACCCTTCCTCTGCCCTGGGCGAGCAGGATGCCGTAGGCAACCGTGACCGCTCTCCACCTGCTGCCCGCTCCGCCAATGCCTCGTCCAAACTCTCAGAGGGTTTTCCATCCAACTATAGCATGGGTCGTCGGACCTCGGTCTCGGCCGAGTCGTTGAACCCGACGGCATCCACCAACGATTGGACCCCTCCCTTCCACAACAAGACTCAAGAACAATTGTCTCGCCTCAAGTCTGCTGTTGCAAGCAATTTCCTCTTTGCGCACCTGGACGAGGAGCAATCGGCCCAAGTCCTCGGCGCCCTTCAAGAGAAGCCCATCCCTGCCAAGGACATCAAGGTCATCACCCAAGGTGACCAGGGTGACTTTTTCTATGTTGTCGAGAAGGGCCAATTTGACGTCTACGTCAACTCTGCAGGCGCACTGCAACCGGGTCCCGATGGCATGGGAAAGAAGGTGACAAGCATTGGACCCGGTGGCTCCTTTGGTGAGCTGGCTCTAATGTATAATGCTCCTCGCGCTGCCACGGTCATCTCCACTGAAGCCCACTCCACGCTCTGGGCCCTCGATCGGATAACGTTTAGACGAATTCTCATGGACTCTGCCTTCCAACGTCGCCGAATGTACGAGAGCTTCCTCGAAGAGGTCCCGCTGCTTTCCTCCCTCACACCGTATGAGCGCTCCAAGATTGCCGACGCGCTTGACGCACAAAAATATCCTCCGGGTAGCACCATCATCAAAGAAGGTGACCCCGGTGAGGCATTCTACATTATCGAGAATGGAGAAGCTGAGGTGTTCAAGCGGGGAACAGAGAAGGCGGTTCACAAGTACAAGAAAGGCGATTACTTTGGTGAGCTTGCTCTGTTGAACGATGCGCCGCGTGCCGCGAGCGTGATCAGCAAGACTGAGGTCAAAGTGGCCACACTGGGTAAGGACGGCTTCCAGCGCTTGCTCGGTCCGGTTGAGGGCATCATGCGGAGAGATGATCCCAGCAAACAGGCCGCAGTCATTGAGGAGTCGATTGATCCACTCACCAAGGAAGCACAAAGCTGATTCGACTTGGTTTACCTTTGTGTTGACATGGAAATGAAAATGACTGTCAAGATTAAACAAGGTTTTCGCTGTTGTTCTGGGAAATAACGAGATGTCGCGGAGCGCTTCACGATTATGTTTTGCTTTTCGGGCGTTGGGTTTTTTACTTGTTACCTAGTATTATGAATATTGATTGCCTCCTTGTGGGCATTATGTCCAATGAGCAAGTCTTGTCGATACGTAGTGGAAGAATTCATGACGATACTGAGAGCACGAATTTATTGAAAAAGTACAAGACAAACATTCTGTTTAATTGACCTTCTGTCGAACAGCGCAAAGAATTCGAACCGCCATGACCCAATTTGAGAACCCCATTATCCATCAACGCCATCCGCCTTTAAAAATTCCCTGAATGTGGAATCATTGAAAACGACCTCATATGCTCTAAAACATGCCTTTAGCGTGCGCCCTGTCTTCTCAGCTCGAGAATCTCCTGTCTCAGCCCTTCGGCAGCGACCTCGACTTCAATTATTTTTCCAACACCTGCCTGCCATGCCATATCCAGTGTTTGAATCTCTCCTCTGACACCTTCCTGCGCTCCCTTTCGTAATCTATTAATCTGTTCGGTGTGCTCCTTTACAGCTGCAAGCTCCTTTTCCAAACCTCGCAATACGTCTTCAAGCTGAGAGTTTCCAATCAGCCATGCGTTTTTGCCAAACTTTTCCAGCAGCGCCAAGTTTGTTAGGCGCATCTGCAGATGTGTAGATGAGGAGTACGATTTTCGAAGAATATCTCGCCACTGCTCCAAAACTTGCGGTCGCTCCTCATCCGAAGTTGGGTCTGTCTGCGGAGGATCTAGCGCTTCATATCGCGATAAGTCGATGCCACCCGTCAATGGCTGGCCAGCAGCTTGTCGTTCAAGCTCTTGTTGGATTAAAGAAGAGAATTTTGGCTCCTCAGAAGCTGGCAGCAGCGGGTGCAGCGTCGTTAAATAGTCTTTGGGCACTTCACCAGCGATTTGGCTCTCGACTCGTGCCCGCTCATCGGGGGTTATATCTTGGTCAATGTCTGAAATCTTGTTAGCATTGCCAGGTGCCCGTTTCAATGAGAAGATATCAGCGAGACATACATGGCAGCGAGTCGTGAGACTCTTGAATTAAAGACATCTTTGGTTGATGTTTGACTAGAGCACTAATCAGATTGTATGGGCCAAACTGTCCTGCAATAACTTAATGGCTGATGCACTCGGGCTATAATTTTTGCGGGACCGAGCCGAAAGGTGTGGCGGGTGACTAGGCTGCTCTAAGAGAGCTCCGACCAACGTCACTGCTATCTCGCCCTTCCCTGGAGCTGGTCGAGGGAATATAACCCTCACCAGCCTAAACCTGAAGACAAAATTTGCAATATGATGTCTTTCCCATGATTGAGAAGAAGAAAATATCTGGTATTTTTATCTACAATTCATTGCCATTATATTTTATTGTATATTTGATTAGATCCTTGCTGTCATTGTACTTGGGTGGCTCAATTGTTAGTAGATCAAATGTCGCGTCTCACCATCACGATTGCATTGTCTTCTGCTTTCTTTGCCCTAGCAATTGTACTCCATATTATTTATACCTATGGCCTGTTTGAAATATATGCTTTGAGCTCTAAATTTCCCAAAGGGAACCTTCACGAGCTTCAGAGCGAACTAAAGCAATTGCATGATGACTCGTTAATTACACCAAAGAATGAAGCCACGCATCTCCTCGGTGTGGGAAAAGCTGATATTACTGGGTACGAGACGAGAAATCTTAAGGATTGAGCCAATTTTCTTTGCTAATATGCTCTAGCCCGGTCGTGGAGATTAATATGATGGGATATGCTGACCCTAAGCAAGTGGGCACGGGGCTACGACAGAGGCTGTATTCCAGAGCTTTCATAGTCGGAGAGATGAATAATACGTCTAACCGATTTGTATACCTTGTACTTGATACGCAGTCTGGAGATACTGCGGTACGATATGGCATCTTGGAAGGATTAGCAAACCTCGGGCCTCAGTATGCCATGTATGGACACAACAACGTAGCGGTTACCGGAACCCATTCTCATTCTGGCCCTGGGGCATGGTTAAATTATCTTTTACCTCAAATCACGAGCAAGGGCTTTGATAAGCAGAGCTACCAAGCAATTGTTGATGGAGCTTTGCTTTCCATCCGAAAAGCCCATGAGAGACTGACCCTCGGCCATCTCTCCGTCGGGAGCATTGATATTCTCGATGCCAACATAAATCGAAGCCCATATGCATATCTCTCCAATCCAAAGGATGAGCGCAACCGCTACAAACATGACGTTGACAAGGCGTTGACGCTACTCAAATTCCAACGAGCGTCAGATGACAAGACCATGGGCGTCCTCACGTGGTTTCCCGTCCATGGAACGGCGATGCTTGGCAACAATACTCTTATTTCCGGCGATAACAAGGGAGTGGCAGCATACCTATTCGAAAAGGACATGCATAATTCAAGCGATGCCTCAGAGGAATTTGTTGCTGGCTTTTCGCAGGCCAACGTTGGTGACACTTCGCCAAATGTTAATGGAGCATTCTGTGAAGATGGGTCTGGGCTACCATGTGACTTTCAAGACAGTACGTGTGGAGGGAAAAATGGTGCATGTCACGGGAGAGGCCCATTCTTTGGCGAAAATGACGGCGGTACGAAAAGCTGTTTTGAGATTGGCAAGAGACAGTTTCTTGGAGCAAAGAAGCTCTATGTAAGTCACACTTTATTGAAACAAAAGGATACGCAATTCTAATATCATTTTAGGATGATCCACATGCCTTTACAGCCATTCATACAGGCACCGTTAGATCACTACACTCCTTTGCCAACTTCTCCAGTTTTAGCTTTTCCCATCCCAACGGTAGTATCGTCTCTACATGTCCCGCGGCACTAGGGTACTCATTTGCAGCCGGGACCACTGATGGGCCTGGCGCATTCGACTTTAAGCAAAACAACTCGGACGCGCCGAATGCCAATCCATTGTGGGCTGTAGTCCGCAACTCAATTCACGAACCCAGCGAGGCTCAAGTCCAATGTCACGACCGCAAGCCAATTCTTCTCGACGTTGGCGAGACAACAGAACCGTATCTGTGGACGCCAAATGTAGTCGACATTCAACTTTTCCGTGTCGGCCAACTCATCATTATCGTCAGCCCAGGTGAAGCGAGTACCATGGCGGGGCGCCGGTGGAGAGAAGCTCTGGCCCATGAATCTGCTGCGTTGCGTCTTACTGATAACGACGGCATCACCGATGCACAGTCAAGCTCAGAGGAACTCGACTCATCAGCCAGCAACATGCTCGTCGTCCTTGGTGGCCCGGCAAATAGTTATGCGCACTACATCACTACCGAAGAAGAGTACGGCGTACAGCGGTACGAAGGCGCATCAACGCTCTACGGCCCGCATACTCTTAATGCATATATTAACCTTACTCTCTCCTACCTGCCTTATCTCGATGCCTCGGCAACGGGCCATCCAGGCCAGGGCCCGAGTCCGCCAAACCACGTTAATAAATCACTGAGTTTTATACCCGGCGTAGTATACGATCGTGCGCCGCTGTTCAAGTCGTTTGGGCAGGTCCTGAACGATGTGGACTCCAAGGTGTACCGAGCCGGGGATTCAGTCAGCGCCTCATTTGTAGGTGCGAATCCGCGAAATAACCTCCGTTTGGAGAACACATATGTTGCGGTTGAGCGAAAGATACCTACTGCCGCAGGCACACAGGAATCGGATGCATCTGGCGAGACAAAGACGGGCAGCACTGTCCAGCCTGGCCCTCATAGTGGCGGAGCTGGAGATCCAAATGATGAGATTCGCAAGCCACGACGGAATAGATATATCGACCACAATTGGGTCACTGTGCGAGACGACGCAGATTGGTCCCTCGTGTTTGAATGGCAAAGAAAAAACACTGTCCTGGGAACCAGTGAAGCCGTTGCAACTTGGGAGATTGAGGATGATACACCTGGTAAGTGCCTTTTTCCCCTTACTCCCATTATTGCCATGCTTTCCTCCCTTTTCAAGTGGACCCAGACTAATTTCTCGTCGGAACCATTCACACAGCTGGTACGTATCGCCTGCATTATTACGGCGATGCAAAATCGCCCGTATCGGGAACAATTACGCCATTTGATGGCGTGAGCGGGGAATTTCATGTACAGTGATTATGTTCTGGCACTCTTGTATATATATGCATTATAAATGACAACTTACGTTGGATTTTCTGACTCTTCTGAAGCTCTGCTGATGTTATCATCTCAATTATTCTACGTGTCTACTGCATTGACTATATCTAGTGTGACTGGTGTTATTACTATAATTTATTCATTATTTATTCATTATTTATTGATTGCAGATATTTGATCCCATCGCATATGAAGCGTATCTTATATTTTGATTTTCTTTTCTTTTATTTTTCATTTTCTCCCTGTTCCTTCTCAACTTTCCCTTATCCCAGTATCTGCAATATCCAATCTACCTTTCTACATGCTACACATAAGGTAGTTAGTCATCTGCTACAAGCGCCAACGCGACCAAATAATCCATCATTTACGGTTCTGGATTTGCCCATAGCAGCTACGATACAGCCGAGTATGTATGATTATATTATATAAACCTTTGGTAGAGTCCTAAGCTCCTAGATTTCTAGACTCCTAGACATACGCCCTTTCAGCCTACCTTCTAACAAAATATCCAACAAACAGACCATGAAAAAAAAGTTTCATGTGCTCCACTTAAGTTCCTATAATGAATGCATGAATTCAGCAACGCCAGTCGTTCATTGACCTTCCCAATCATCCTGGTCCCCCCTCCCTCGAAAAACTAATCGCAGCTTGCTCCCGTCCTTTTGGAAAAATAAAAAATAAAAAGCAAAATAAAATGTCCAAGTAAAGTCAAGGCGATACGAGGATTTTGATCCTTTCGCAGACATAGTGACCTTAGAGATAATAACTCCAGAGAGAATGACCTCGTCAATCGACAACCTTCGTGACTAGTAACCTGATCAAAATAATCTGGTAACCTGGCCAGACAAACTAGTAGCCTGTTCAAATAAATCAGTCTTGGAAATCAATCGTACAAAAGCACACTTAATTTGATAACAACTCTTTCAAGCACAAAAAGAAAATAAGAATGAGAAAAAACATAAAAACAAATAAATAAACAAATAGAAAAAGACAAAAAGACAAAGAGACAAGGACAAAGGGGTAAAAAAGACTCACCACTTTGCTGCTTCCGACCACCTTGCTGCTCGCCATCAGGATCATGGTCACCACCATCACGACTACTGCTTGAGCGCGCTGCTCCGCCCGCCGCTTTGATAGCCTCTGTATCACCGCGGAGTTTTTCAAAATATTTTTTGATATCCTCTGCTCCGACAGCTTGTCCGCTCTCTGCAAACGGTTGCAAGAAGCTCTTGACTTTGTCTTTGAGGTGGTTGTATACCATTACTCCTTCTATTTTGGGGAAAATTCAGCATGTCTTCCTTTTTCAAGATAACCATTTACCGTATTTGGCAGACGTTGGAGGGAGTATGTGGGAAATGGAATTGAGGAGGGTCTTACCGATTGCGCGCACGCGATCCATATTGCTTAGCGCTGCTTCGCCGCGATCAAGCAGACTACCTGTGCCTGCGCTGCCGTTGCCGCCGTCGCCGCTTTCTGATAGAGGAGGCTCATAGGAATCTTCCTCCTCGAGAAGTTGAGGGAATTTGGCCAATTGGGGGAAACAATCTTTGCAGCGGCAGAATTGGTCGCGGAAATCTTCCTTGACGAATAGAGACAGAGTTCCAGTGGGCGCGGCTGGGAGTTGTTGATACCGGCAAGTGGAAGAAGAAATCTCGGGGTTGTGCTTGGGTTGGTTTTCGGACTGATCATCTGTTGTGTTCTTGGGTTTCTTTGCAGATTGAGAGTCGACTTCAGGGTCTTGGTCTTCTGCTTTGCGTTTTTTCGAAACCGCTTCGTCTGCTGTTGCTGCCTGGCCCTCGGAAGAAGACGAAGAAGCCTTGACATCTGCTGATTGCTGCTCTTGGCCTGGCTCATCCTTTACTACTGGCGAATCTTTTTTAAAGACGGGTCCAAGGAATCCCGCCATCCCAGCATAACGCTTGATCCAGGGGTTTGATTCCACGCATTTATAGCAAATGAAGGATTCGAAGTCGTCCTCGGCAGGGAACCCAGGCGGTAGAGGCGCATCATCCTCATCGCCTTCCGCGTTCGCCTCGTTCGCCTCGTTCTTAATCTCCGATTTGATTTCTGCATCTCCAGTTGTTGCTTCGTCCGCAGGCATCTCCTTCGTGGCAGGTTTCTGCCGTTCTAAACCCAGGACGCACTCAGGATGCCACCAGTCCTCGCCACATCCACCCTCCTTTTCTGATCCTAGACCAAGACATTGAAACATTGTGCCCCTCTCCTTTTCAGCGTCGTATTCTTCGCCGCAGCCGCAGAATCTGTTCTTGAAATTCTTATTGTAAACATTAGCCGCGGCGGGCTCCTCAGAATGCACGCCACCCTTGGTGCCCGTGGCCGAGTTGAGTCGAAGTGAGCAAGGCGATGTAGCAGGAATGCGCGTGGTGCCACAATCGCAAACAAAGTTGCGCTTGCAGAATAACTCGACCAGCTCGTGCTCTCCATGACAGGATATCGAGCAAGAGTAACAGACGCCGGCGGGGCTGTAGCTTTGCGAATCTTGTGACAGAGGTGGGTTGCAGGTCAGGCAGGAGAAGATGCTTTGGCGCAAGGGTCCAAGAGGTTTTGTACAAGTATCAAAGGCCTGTCAAATGTCAGACAAAATTTCTAATCTAGTTTGGAAGCAGCTTACATATGGAAGCGCCTCACGAGCATCTGCTTCAAGGCGGAGTTGATTGGTAATGTATCTATAGTAGCGAGATCAGAAAGAGCTGAAAATGTGATATTAGCGACGTCATGTACTTACTCTGCTGCAGTTTGTGAGTCTTCAGATGCATTTGAGAAACTGGCTGTCCGAGAAGCTCGGCCTTGAGCAGCTGAGCCCTCTTTGACATCAGAGGATGGTGCAGGATGCGCCATTGTAACGGGGGTAGCAACGGTTGCTTGATTTTTTTTCTTGATCTAAGCAATATGACGGTAAATAGTCTCAGGAAAGACAGCTGATTCGTCTACAAATAATTGTTTCGTAAATGATTCAGACTATCTCCTATGATTTTCCTGGCTGGAGCTATCACATTCACACACACACTCTCTCTCACACTTGAGAGTCGCGACACGCCCCATGTCGCCTACCTTTCCTAAACGGGGTTTAATTGAAATCGCGTCGCGCGTCGTGTTTTGACGCGTCGAGTTCTCGCACCTGCAGCCGCCAAACCAACTTATCATCTCGCCAACATCTCCTTTTGTCCTTGAATTTCTCCACTCCGATAGACTTTACACACGGCAACCGCCTCAACGGCATCTTGAATCAAGGACCCTTGAACACCATAATCAGAGACCTTTTGCAAGCAATTTTAGTATTCTAGGACCGCCAGATGAGGTAAATATTTCCCCTCACGCAAATTCGATGCGCCCCTCAGAACATAATAACGATATCTAACACTTTGCAGTTCGCCTCTCCGGCCCAGCATGTCTTCGGCCAACCGTGGCGTCGACAATGCCAATCGTCGCAAGAGATCGAGAGAGCCCGATGATGATATTCCCTCCTCGGCAGCACCGCCATCAAGTCGTATGTTTAGCATTCTCCTCTCGGACATGTGTTTCGTCTGACAGATCTAAACAGCCCCGCCTTCCTCCCCTCCTATGCTTCCCCACGACGAAGACGAGGACGATATGGACCGGGAGAATGAGCTCATTGGTGACATTGATGATGCCGAAGAGATGGCAGAAGACGAGGACGGAATTGACCTTTTCGCCGACAATTTTGAGCGAGACTACCGGAACATTGAAAACGACACTTATGATACCCGTGACATTGATGATGAGGGTGACTTTGATGATTTGGATCCTGCCCTTCGTCGACAGCTTGAGGCTCGCATGAACAGACGGGATCGCGAACTCGCACGGAGACGCAGAATGCCAGCGGCATTTTTGCAAGACGACGATGACGACGGCAATCTTGATTTGACGAGACAGCCGAGACGACGAAGACATCACTATGATGAAGACCAAGAAGACGAGGAGATGGCAGACAACATCATGCAAGAGGAATTATCACTTGAAGCTCTGCAGGATGTCAAAGCCTCCAACTTAACCGACTGGGTTGCTCAACCTCACGTCTATCGGACAATCGCTCGAGAATTCAAGTCTTTCCTTACAGAATATACGGACGAGAATGGAATTTCAGTTTACGGTACCCGCGTCCGCACTCTTGGTGAAATCAACGCCGAGTCTCTCGAGGTTTCTTACGAGCATCTTTCGTCGTCAAAGGCCATCCTCGCATACTTCTTGGCCAATACTCCGGCAGAGATGCTGAAAATCTTTGACGAAGTTGCGATGGAGGTTACGTTGCTCCACTACCCCGATTACGAGCGAATTCACTCCGAAATTCACGTCAGAATCACCGATCTCCCTGTTCACTACACCCTCCGCCAGCTACGCCAGACCCACCTCAACTGCCTGGTTCGCGTCTCCGGTGTCGTAACCCGGCGGACTGGCGTGTTCCCTCAGCTTAAGGAAGTCAAGTTCAATTGCGGAAAATGCGGTGCAACCCTTGGACCCTTTACTCAGCAAGAGTCTGGTGTGGAGGTCCGGATCTCTTTCTGCCAGGAATGCCAGTCTCGCGGTCCGTTTACTCTCAATTCTGAGCAAACGATTTACCGAAATTACCAAAAAATTACTCTGCAAGAATCTCCGGGAACTGTACCTGCGGGTCGTCTCCCGCGTCACCGGGAAGTCATTCTTCTGTGGGATCTTATCGACACGGCGAAGCCAGGTGAGGAGATTGAGGTCACTGGCATCTACCGTAACAATTACGACGCGCAGCTCAACAACCGTAACGGATTCCCTGTATTTGCAACCATTTTGGAAGCAAACTACGTCGTCAAGTCTCATGACCAGCTGGCTGGCTTCAGATTGACAGAGCAAGACGAGCGCGAAATCCGCGCCTTGTCCCGCGACCCGCAGATTGTCGACAAGATTATTGCGTCCATTGCTCCCAGCATTTACGGTCATACGGACGTCAAAACGGCTGTTGCGCTTTCTCTCTTTGGTGGTGTGAGCAAAGAAGCTCAAGGCAAGCATGCCATCAGAGGTGACATCAACGTCCTTCTTCTCGGTGACCCTGGTACGGCCAAATCACAGGTGCTGAAGTACGTTGAAAAGAGTGCCCACCGGGCTGTTTTCGCCACCGGTCAGGGTGCCAGTGCCGTCGGTCTCACGGCCAGCGTCCGTCGGGATCCCATCACCAGCGAGTGGACCCTCGAAGGTGGTGCTTTGGTGTTGGCAGACCGAGGAACCTGTCTCATTGACGAATTCGACAAGATGAACGACCAAGACAGAACATCCATCCACGAGGCCATGGAACAGCAAACCATTTCCATCTCCAAAGCCGGTATCGTCACCACGCTCCAAGCCCGCTGCGCCATTGTCGCAGCCGCCAATCCCATTGGGGGCCGATACAACAGCACCATCCCCTTTGCGCAGAACGTCGAATTGACCGAGCCCATCCTATCCCGTTTTGACATTCTTTGCGTCGTTCGCGATACTGTCGAGCCCGAAGAAGACGAACGTTTGGCCAACTTCGTCGTCAACTCTCACGGCCGCGCTCATCCCTCTGCCAATACCGTCGAAGCCAGCGCCGCGGCCATGGAAGTCGAGCACGAAGCCGAACTGCGCGAACAGCAAGTCAATGGCGGCGAGCCCAAGCAAGAGGGCGAGATTCCCCAGGAGCTTCTCCGAAAGTATATCCTGTATGCCCGTGAGCGGTGCAGTCCGAAACTGTACCAGATTGATACGGATAAGATTGCCCGTCTCTTCTCAGACATGCGTCGCGAGAGCTTGGCCACCGGAGCCTATCCTATCACTGTATGTTCCTTCCTACCCTCTCCGCTTTTTCCCCACTTTGGCTTTTGCCACTCCATTTCCCCCTCTTATGCAAGCATCTTGAAGCTAATTATGCACAACAGGTCCGTCATCTTGAAGCAATCATGCGTATCAGTGAAGCGTTCTGCAAGATGCGTCTCTCGGAATACTGCTCCCCGCAGGACATTGATCGAGCTATTGCCGTCACAGTGGACAGTTTTGTCGGCAGCCAGAAAGTCAGCTGCAAAAAGGCCCTTGCTCGCGCTTTTGCCAAGTATACTCTCAAACGACCCGCCGCTCATCAACGCCCAGCAAGACAAAACGTGCGAACAGGCTACACTGCGCCCACCGCTGTCATGTAGAGGGAGTCTCCTTTATGTCCTTTTGAGTATATGTGTACTAGAATTATTCTCTTCCTTTTAGACCTTATTCTACGACGTGAGGAGTTTGGGAGTGCTTGTGTTGCTGGATGTCGTTTCATGCAGGGGTCATCAATGAGCGGGTTGCGGGTCACCAGGTTCAATTGTAACTTTTTTTGTTTTCTTCTTTTAAGATATATTTTGCGGATCATTGCGTCTCGCAAAAACGGTGTTAGCATGGAGATTCACAAGATGGACATGGGTATCTTTTTATCAATATCAAATATAAGCCCTGATAATAGATTAAATCTGGCATACAATCAATTGATTATGCTTGGAAGTGTGCCATAGATGTCCAGGATTGCAAGTGACAAAAGAAAAGGGGTGGGGAGAAAGGAAATAGTCCACGTGAAGTGCGCAAAGAAGAGGTCATAGGGAAATAAAAAATAAAGAAGTATGAAAATCAAATAGGAAAAGAGTGAGACACACACAAAAAGAAAGGACAAAAAAGAAAGAAAGAACATGCAACAGCAGGGATTCGCTGGTCGTCACCGACCCAACTACTAGTCTGCCGATCTGAGGCTTATGTATGGCAGAGCGGACGGGATGCCCAGTTCTCCTCAGTCTATGGTCGCATGTACCAGATTTATTAGTACGAAGGAATATAAGGTAATGCTAAACAAGGTTCGCTCTTTGCGGAATGAATATGACAAGAGTACTGTAGGGTAAATGTGCATGTATACCATCAACTCAAGTCAACTGCTGAATCTTTTATAGAGTGGTGTTTGAGATTTGTTTAGATGGTCATTAATTCGGTTATAACGTCTATTTTGAAGAATTTTGTGATCTACGAGACGAAATATCTGCTAGCTGTGCTCGCGGGAATTACAATCAATCATCCAAATAAAGCCTTCTTCGTATCATATGTATAGTTGAGGTCAAGGTGCCAGTAGTTGGGAGCAGTGGCCTTGGTGATGAGCCAGGCATCGTCGAGCGCTTTGACGACTTCTTCGGGCAGAGGACCCTTTTCGATGTCGGCCAGATTGGTCTGTAGCTGGTCGAAACTGCTCACGCCGATGATGATACCACTGTTTTGTATTAGTCATGTCCGATCCTGATTGTACTTGCACGAGATTGGGCTTTGTTCGAATTAGATGATGAATGAGATAATGCTGATAAAAGCAAAGTGAAGTTGAAGGGCCAAAAGAACATGGGGTGGTGGCACGTACTCATTGCCATCTTTAATCTTCAGAGCAGAATGGTGTACAGTCCATCTAAAGGCAGTTTCGACCATGGTGAGACCGTGCTTTTGCACAACAGGTTCGATCACCTTGAGCGCTTCGAAAGTCGCGTCTCGGAAATACCGCTTGCGATACATGCCGCCTATTTGGCCGAGGGAGTCGCTGTATCGCCCTTCCGTGGGGATCTCGCTGGTCTTGTATTTTCCAGACAAGAGGCCACCTGCGATGGGGTTGTAGACGACAACGTCGAGACCATAACGATGACATGCAGGTATTAATTCGGTTTCGAGAGAGCGAGCTATTGGACAGCGTTAGCTGCTATCTGCTGAGCCGGGGGGAAGAAGAGCGGATATAAGAGATGAAAGGGGAGGTCAAGACTTACTAATGGCGTTATACATGCCCTGGTAGACGGTAGGCCGGACCCAGCCATTTGCTTTGGCGGTTAGGACCACTTCGGCCACTTCAAAGGCTGTAAAATTGCTGAGACCAAACTGTATAAATTTGCCCTCCTTGTGCAAATCGTCGACAGCCTTGAGCGTCTCAGCAAAAGGGACGGAGCGGTCCGGAGCGTGCAGGTAGAAAATGTCGACCTGGTCCGTCTGTAGCTCCTTCAAGGACGTATTAAAAGCTTTCTTGAGCACGTCAGGCTTGTGCTGGCCCGGCTCCTTTGGATACCATTTCGTTGCAAGGGCGAAGCCTTGGTCCTTCCAGCCCGCTTTGGCGGTGAATGCTTCTTGAGTGCCGTTGGCGTAGATGCGCGCTGTATCGATTTCATTGTAGCCTTGCTGCTGGAAATAAGTGAGAATCTTCTTGTATTCGTCCAGCGAATTAATTCGGACTCCGTTTCCCAGTTCAGGGCCAAAGTTCATAAGCCCGAGAATGACACGGGGCTTGAGGTTCTGTGTGACTAGCGGCATGTTGGTGGGTGGTGTTTCAGCTCAGAGTGGGGGGTTATAAGGAGCTAATCAAGCAGATGATCAATAGTGAATTTATATATAGAGAATCAAATAAAAAAGAAGGAGGGAATTATTATTGGCATCTTTATATATCTATTGTCAAATTGTTCAGATGATGTGCTTTGAAGTGGTGATTTCAACACACCCCACACTTGCTGGAGTCGGCGATAACAGAGAGGGCGGGATATCTATCATCCCCGAGGATTCCGCACACGTCAAAATATGTTCCAAAGGCGGACATTTTCATAAAAACAACATCAACAATTATCCTTGTCCGTACCTCACATGATTCCCAATGTAGCATGTGCGCTTCTACTTTCCCTCACTTGATCTTTTATCATCCTGCGGTGATAGATTAATAGAGGATTCAATTATAATTATGTCAGATTGCAACCAGCTTACTCCACAGTCTAGTAGATCGTTATCATCAGCTATCGATCCCGATATCGCAAACGACGGGGCCGACGACATATTATCATCCCTATATTCGTCATCATCATCGCCATTATCACCAACTCCTTTCCCACACCGTGGACCAACTTCGACCAGGGGTGGGCAGCGAATAGAAGACCATCTGAATGGAGCGCAAAAGAAGAGTGTTTCTTTCGCTTTGAATAGACCGGGCCCGGAGCCAGATCTGGACACCAGCTACACCTACGTAGCTTCGGAGGAATTCGACCACGACCACGACAACCTCGACCACGACGATTCAGCAATGGCTCGTCCGCCCTACCACCGGCCTGGAGAAGGCCGCTCACAGCTTCCTTTGCTCCATGATGCCGACGACGATCCACGCCCAAATTATGAATCGTCCAATCGCGCGAACCGACCCCGACCGCTAAGCCGATCATCGACATTCCACGAGCGCGACCCTGTAGCCCACGCCAAAGCAGAGGCCAAGAAGAAATACGTTTACGCCGCTGGCTTTCTAGTCCTAAGTCTGATCAGTTTCACCGTTCAGACAGAGACTGCAGTGTATATCCAACACACGCTCGGATGGAATAAAGCATACTGCATGCTGTAAGTGCCTTGACGTCATTACATCTCTCTCGTCTCTTCTCACCTTCACTTCTCTGTTTGGCGACGATGGCCGCTCAATTCTTGTTTAAGCGCGCAATGGATTTAGATTGACAAAGCATTTCTATTATTCTAGATGGCTTACCCATGGTTCATGGTCACTGCTATGGCCCACGCAACTCTTGATCCTGCGCTATCAAAAACGTAAATTGTCATGGAAAGTCTTCTGGCGACGACACGTCTACCAACTGCGGACTACGGCGCAAATGGTCGAGCACCAGGACCTACATCCATCCGGAAGACACGCGCAAAAGTCTCCGGTGCCGTACATGCTCAAGATGACTGCCCTCGTCACCACGGCACTCACCATTGCCGGCGGATCATGGTACGTCGCCGTGGACTTGACGTCTCCTAGTGACTTGACTGCCATTTACAACTGCTCCGCCTTTTTCGCATACGTGTTTAGCATTCCGCTTCTCAAGGAAAAAATCCGGCTCGACAAAGTCGGCTCTGTGCTGGTCGCCGTAATTGGTGTGCTGGTCGTGGCCTACGGCGACACGGCTATCACAAAGCACGGCGGGCAATCTGGCGGCGCAGTGGGCGGCGAACCAGAAGACAATGAAGCCAAGAACCGTGCTCTCGGGAATATTGTCATTGGTGTCGGAAGCGTGCTGTATGGCTTGTATGAGGTTCTCTACAAGCGATTCGCATGTCCGCCCGAAGGGACAAGCCCAGGCAGAGGCATGATTTTCGCCAATACATTTGGAAGTCTCATTGGATGCTTTACGTTTTTGGTTCTTTGGATTCCGATACCCATTTTGCATGTGACGGGTGTAGAGCGATTCGCGCTGCCTCGCGGCGAAGCGGCTTGGATGTTATTCATCTCCGTACTTGCTAATGCCAGTATGCTTCCTTGTCCCCCCTCCCCCTTCTTACCTTGCCTGTCTTTTCTCAAATAACGACATTTCAACGACGCATCGACTAACGCGACAAATATAGCATTTTCCGGCTCTTTTCTCGTTTTGATATCTCTCACGTCTCCTGTCCTCTCTTCCGTTGCTGCTCTGTAAGTTTCTCTCCTGCATTTTTCACTCAATCATCTTTTGCACCACCCCCTCCTAACATCTCATTATTTTTTCCCTTTGCGATATGCCGGCCTCCCCCATTGGCTCTCTAAACCCTTGATGATTTCGCATGCACAACATACTAATCAGCTCCAGTCTCACCATTTTCATCGTCGCTGTCGTCGATTGGCTCATCACCGGCCAGCCTCTCTCCGCCGCTGCCATTATTGGCGGCATCCTGATCATTGCAGCCTTCCTCATGCTAAGCTGGAGCACGTATCGTGAACTCGACGAGGAGAGACGCAAGAAGGAACAAGACGATATCATTAGCTCGGATAGTGATGAATAATCTCCTTTCTTTCCCTTTTTTCCTGTTCTCCTTCTCTTCCCTTTCTCATTTTCCTTCTCTTTTTTTTTTCTTGTCCTTTTCTCTTGTACCTTTCTCTTATCCTGTTCACTCAATTGTATTGTTCGTCACGGTTACAGTCTTGGGTACGGTATCAGGCGTCTGCTTGGTTCTTCTGGTGTCTTTTCTTCCTCTTTACCCTCCTTCTCTCTTCTTTTCCCCCTCCATCCTCCCTCTCAAAACCCCCCCTTTTTTTAATCCTCTTTAGAAATCCCACAACTCTTGTCCATTTCATCACTATTCAACTCGTCTTAAAAACGATGGTCGAAACCCTAGAGCATAAGGCATGAGGCATGTTGAATTCAACAAGGGATACGACAAAAAAAATACATCAAATGAGGAGAGTAGGATTGGATTAATTGCATTTGCATTTGCACTTCTATTTGTATTTGTATTTCCTCGCAGAGTCTCAAGAGGTGGGGGTAACGTTACGGATAACATTCAAGATTTCACAAAATACAAGATACACGCAGGGTTAGACACACAAACGGCGTTGGTCGGCCTTATTTTTTTTTTTGTTTTTTTTTTTTTTGGTTTTGGTTATTGCAAGTTTTTCTTTAAATCCCGGAAATTTTTTTTCTTCACGGTTTATCAGCTTTTCTTTTCTCCACGCCCAACCCTTCCAAACGGTCGGCGTTTTAGGGGAAGCTCTCCATGCATTGATGCACTGTCGCACTGTATTTTTGCATCCATCCTTACCATATCATGTGTAATTGTATAGCCCCGGGGTGGACTAGTTTTCATTGGCTGGTTTTATATCGATGATCCTTCTTCTGCTTGGTAAAGAAAAGAAAAATAAATGAATGATTTTAATGGATTTTGGCATACACATCCGCATCACGACCTTCTTGAACCAATTTAAAAAAGGACAGATCAAGAATGATGGCGAGTTCACAAATAGTCAGACAAACAGACAAACGACGAGAGGGCACAATATAAGATATATAAACTTTTTCTTTTCGTACGAAAAAAAAGATTAGAGACTTATGGTGTTGGGGTTGGTGTATTCTATGCACAAAATGCGAAACAGAAAAAAAAGTAGATAGAGTAGTAAAGAGACAACATTGGTGGCAGAGAAACAAAGCACAGGACAAAGCCCCTCCCAGGAGCAAAAGGAGGGATCAATCAAAGACACATACGGGAGAGAGAGAGAGAGCGCGCGCGCGTATAGAGTGATTGACGAATTGTGCAGCGAAGATACAATGGATCAAGATGGTAGTCATTCATCTTCTTCATCTCGGACCAAGCTTCTGCAGTGCCCGCGCGCCTTCTTCCTCCCATTCTTGCTTCGTAACCCACATGTTGTCTTTGTCTGCCATCTGTTTGGTCGCAAAAATATAAGCGTTAGCCAGGCCTAGGACAACCATATACATAGGAGAATGCGACAGCCAAGACGAGTAAGCAAAAAAAGGGAGTCGACTTACAATGTTGGCGAGAACGGCTCCACCCAGGAAAACCATGTGTCTTCGACGAGGAGGGTCTTCGATACGGACCTTGAATTTCTGAAAATGATACTCGATTAGCTCTGGTTGGGCTGTGCCTATCAGGTATACGTACGTTCAATCTCTCAGGATTGCCCTGCAGCACTCTTGTCAACCACAGCTGCTTCAATTCCTTCTCTAATCGACTCGGCAGGCCAGGATACATGCTGCTGCCACCGCTGAGAACAATTGCCTTGTACAAGCTACTCCGGACGTCCACGTCGGCGGCTTGGATGGTGTTGAAAAGGAACTCTGCAATGCCGGGCTGTTCGACATCTACGAGATGCGGTTGGAAGAGACATTCGGGTGCTTCGAATCGCTCGCTGCCGACGCGGATGACACGACCGTCGGGCAGAGTGTAGCTTTCCACCAGCACCGTGGTGTCCTCGCTCAGGCGTTGGTCCAGCTCGAGGTCGTACGAGACATAGCAGAGCTTCTCCTTAATCTGACGAACGGTTTCAAAGTCGGCAGTACGGTTGAGAGCATATCCGCGTCGAAGCAAGAGTGCGATGAGATTCCGCGTCACGTCACGGCCAGCGACATCGAGTCTGCGGGTGAGGTGGTTGAGAACAGTGGATTCGTAAACGGGGACAATATGCGTGACACCGTCACCAGAATCGACAACGACACCACTGCTCAAACCTATGAAACACAAAATGAGCATCGTGACGGTCTTCTTGGCGGAGATATTACTACAATTACCCACCTTGAGCATAGAGGGCCAAGACAGCCTGAATGGCCACGTAGACACCTCCAAAGTTATACCGCTCGAACATGACCTCGCACATCTTTTCCCGGTTTTTGAGAGGGTTCATCGGCGGCTCGGTCAGCAGAATCTTGCGTCCGGTGGTATCAATCCCCATCTTCTCATAAAAGGTAAAATCCCAGAGGTGTTGCATATCATCCCATCTCTTGACGATACCATTTTCCATCTACATGTGACAAAGCCAAACCGTTAGCACCAGTATGCAATATCAAATACCGCTTTCAATGAGCCTAGCAGCTAGTCACGTCCAAAAGTCGAGATGATCATTCATACCGGATAGGTGATTTGAAGCATCGAGCGAGCGGCGGCTGCTTCGTCTCCGCACATGATATCTTTGACAACTATATCGCCATCGCGTTCTTCGGATCGCAGAATTGGTCGACCGACAATGGAAGGGTATTGGTGGTCCGGGAAGTTCTGCCACCGCGGTCAGCATCCAGTGAGCCTCTAAGGAGGGGGTGAGCCAGGAGCTCCTTGTGCATACCTGCCCCGCGTATCCTGCCTTGAGGAATCCGGTTCCTCCATCGAGGACTGTGAAGAAGTATATTAGTGAGATAGATGCTTTCAATGTATAGATTGAAATCCATACCAATCGGGGCGTCCGCCATGTTTAATTATATTCTGTAGGTAGAAGAAGCGTCGGCGCACGACGTAGGTGTTGATATCCACAGCTCACATAGGTCGGTCGGCTTAGCAGCCGACGTCGACGTACACCTACGGCATACCACAGCGGCAATAGCCGCGGTCGGGGGTCGGGCCGCCCTGTACGAATCTTCCCCCATTGTTTTGCTCCATTCCCCAGAGCTGTTCTCTGGGTAATAGTGCAATACTGAAGATTTCTATTCTTGATCCTATGTTTGCTCTTTTACGCGCCATATTATTATGTATAAAGATTGTATCATTTAATCAAAACAGAAAAATTTTGGTATGGTATCTATTCCATACAAAGAAAACTCGTATATCATAGCTATGCATTGTCCCATGTCGAGAAAGCAAACATGCAGTCCATTTCCATCTGGGAATTAAACAGTCTCCGAGACCATTTCCATTACGAAATTGTCAAGATTATAGACGTCCGCGATCAGCGTCTTCCTTTCCACCGAGATCACAAAAAGCTTTAAACGTCGTAAATGGAACTTCCGACGTGCTTTCCAAGACACACTCCGCTGTTGCGCCCACGAAGAAGACATAACCTGGCTTGACTTCTTCCACTTTGGGCCCAACTCTGATTTTTCCTTCTCCGCCCGTACAGATGAAAATACTAGGACCTGCGATAGGCTCAAAAGTGGCCTTTGCATTGGCCTTATTAAGCTCTGTCTTGACGACACTGAACTCATCAATCGGTGGGTCATAAAGTATGGATGATGAATTCGATGAGTAGGCGGCCGCAGAGAGCGTGACGTATGGATAGTCAACAGGATGCATCTTCTGCTCAGAAATTGGAGCATATGAGTAGGTGAGAGTAGAGACAAGAGTGTCAACGTCCTTGAACTTTGGTGTAAAGCCAGCACGGATGACATTGTCCGACGAAGCCATGCATTCGATGATATCTGTAAAATGTATTAGCCAGGAGCCCAAAAATGGTCCTTGTGTGGCCCAGAAACCGTACCTCCGCTCAAATAGGCGTGGATGTCGTCGGCCTTGAGGAACATGGCTTCTCCAGGTGCCATCTTGATGTAATTGAGGAAGAACAGAACGAAGAGACCAATATCGCCCGGAAATTGGCCGTTGAGCCGAATAACGAGATCTGCAAGCTCCTGGCCATCGTTTGATGGTCCACCGTCACCCGCGAAATTGTTTCCGTCCTTCTCTGCGGAGCTGATAAGCTCCTTCGCTGCAGACTCAATTGAATCCTGGTCGGATTTTAGGAGCGCTGCAAAAGCCTCTCTGAGAGCCTGCTTGTTCTCTGCTTTATCCGACTCCGATTCCGAGGTTTCACGTCCCTGAATAGTCGCCTCAAATTGTTTCGCGTTCGATTCTCCCACGAGCCGTCGGAGCGGAGGCACAGTGGCTAAGAAATGGGAGATCTCGGCAAGCGGGCGAAAGCCGCAAAGTCCGTCAAATTTTGTGATGGCAATGGTCATTTCCGGCTTGTGATTGTCATCTGTGAATACGTCAGTACATAACTCTTCACAATTCTTTTGACTCTTTCAATGCATACCCGGGTAGTTCTTTGGATCTTGTTTGTGTAATTGTTCTGCCAGTGACTTGTTCGGGTGCGCCTGAATACTAAGAGCTTTTCGAATTGACAGGACCTTAAAAAGAAATGGGAGTTTGGGGCCAAATCGCTTGCTGATATCTTGTGACATCAAGGCCTGGTTGTCTTGCACAAGGTCCAGAAGTGTTCGCTTGGTCTCGAGATCCCGCGACGGAAGTGAAGTGTGTGTTCCCATCCATAGCTACACAAAGTAAGTATGTATTTCCAATAGCTGAAGACAGTTTCCAAGATTCTCAATTCCTACCTCTGCGTAGGGCTTCTCAGACTCAATGGAGAAGTCATCTGAGGGAGTTGCGGAGGCAAACCTGGCGGCCGCAGATTCCTGGCCCACCTTGCCTGTGATGATTAAGTTTGCGATCCTGTAGTAATAAGATTCATAGTCGACAGTCTCTTCTTACCCCAGTCGTAGCTATTCACCCCTGATCGCTGTTAGCCCAAGGACCGTCGTAGAAACCCTAGTAAATCCACTTACCGCATTGCAGGCGGATCAGAGAAACTTGCATGGTCGATGCCCAAATTCAAATGGTTTTTATATCAATAGAACGTCTCTAAAGCGTCTCAAAGAAAATGAAGATTGGAGTATACGGTAACGACCTATATAAGGGACTTCTGGGACAAGAAGTTTGAAAATGGGCAGGTGGGATGATTACAGGCCCTTTTCGTATTCTTAGTACTACTCATAGTGACGCGGGACAGTCAAGAGAGACGTAATAGCCGGGTAATTAGAAGGAGGAACCCCTTCGTTCCCGCACTAACTAGTTATTACCTGTCCCGATGATTTGACTGGATCCCACATTTTCGGATGCGGCGGTGTCACATCGATGTCAGTTGCCCTTTGCGGCATTATCCGACATGGCCCCTCCACTCCGCCTTAAACCCCTTGCATCTTAGATCTTTCTTCGCTTCATTTTGGTCTATTCCCCAAGAGGCATAGCCACCAAAGGGCTCTCCCTGGCCCCAACTGCGAACCCGCATTTTGACGGCATCTCTCCCCCCCAGTCCCTTTGACGACCTGACTGATGGCGATGTGAAATTACAATTTGAAACGGCAACAAATCACAAGATGGCTGCCCGAAATAGACCGCGTGGTCTAGTCAAAGAAGACGTCGCTGATGCTCATGAAGAGCGAAATATGTGGAATCAAATTGTGACCGACATGAAGAAGCTCAAAGCCCTGCATGCACGTGCCGCCGAAGTCTCCAAGTTGATCGTCGAGACGGAAGAGCGACTGGCTGAACAAGGAAGTAAGCATTTATTTTTTGAACCTTGGTACTTTGATATTTGTGATTTTATTACTATCTCAATTTATGTCTTTTCATTGAATCATTCGCAATCTACAACCTTACTGAGATGTATTCCATCCATGTTGCTATCTGTTCGTATCACAATTCTTTTTTCTTGCGTGTTGATACCCTTTTTGTTTCTTTTTTCGTACCCCTTGCATCGTTTTGCAACCTCGAATTCTTCTTCAGTCGGTCAGATTTCCCGCTGTTTGAAAGTTTCCTGTTTCCTACTTTCACTCTATCACATATACTAACTTGATTCGATTAGCACCAACTGTGGCTGAGATTGACTCGTTGCAACATTTGTATCGAGAAGGGCTCAAATTAGCAGAGGAGGAGCAAAAAATTCTCAAAGAGGAACCAAATGATGTGGTTAAAAATATAAGCATCCTTACTGCGCTTCGGAGCGCCAGTGAGACAGATCCGCCGCGCTCAAGTAACCCTCTTAAGCCCCGTAATCCCAAGCGAAGGCTTGAGACAGACGGGGCGGGAGACTCTCCTGGTCCTTCCTCTGGGACTTCCAGTGCTGGTCAACGCTTCAAAGGGTCCAATGGTAGAAGTACCTCTGTTCCGTTCGGAAGAGAGGGCCGCGAGGTCACTGTGAAACTGGAGGATGGCGCGGAGACACCCAAAAACCCGTTTGCTGAGAAATATGGGCAGCTGGTTGTTGGTGCTGATGTGGCCTATAAACAGAGCAAAGCAAAAGGCGTTGAGGGAGACTGGATCCAGTGCAACATATCAGCCGTTCTTGGCGAAGGCAACAAGCGGCGGTAAGTCCGTCCCATAGTTTTCAAAGATCTATGGATTAACGTGATTCAAGATACGAGGTGCAGGATGCCGCGCCGGAGGATAACGGCGCACCAGCTGCCACTTACAAAACTTCCGCAGCCTCGCTGATCGTCATCCCAGCCCAGGGTACCCCGCTGCCGGAATATCCAAAAGGCAAGCAAGTCCTCGCTCTGTATCCGGACACTACTACCTTTTACCGAGCAGAGGTGATGCGAACTAAGAACAATACCTGTGTGCTTAAATTTGAAGGTGAAGACGAAATCAACAAGGAAATGGAAGTAGACAGGCGCTTTGTGCTGGATGTGTCCAAATAATTGTTGCACGCGAAGGGAAGGTTAGAATTCGCACGGCGGCGTTGGTCGTATAGGATTTCACAAGAGTTTTTGCTCACTTTTGTCTCTCTTGAAAATTTCCCGGGATCGGAGTCTTCAGGACGAAAAAATTCGTTGTAAATGTTTGGATATTAAATACCCACTATCACGTCATCTATTGTAGTTGCTTCAGGTCGCAGGAATGATGAATTTGTGATTGTATTACCTTCAATCCAGTACTTCAAATGTTCTTGAAAAGAGACCGTATAATCATTTCTGATCATTGTCTCTTCTGCAGGCTCCTAACTTTTCATGACGCATCATCCTCAGGGGTGCAGCCCTCAGCTGATAAGGGTCCAAGAAATGCATACAATACTCCGGTCCCATGTCGGTGACACGCGAAGGGAGCCTTAACTAGCGATTAAGGCCGCCACTAGAGACGACCAGTGACATCTTTGGCGCAACGTGACGGAGTTTCGCGCCAAATAGCCGAAGCCGATGCGCGCTCCAAGCCCCCTTAATTATTTCTCATCCTTTCAGGAGATTAAGCTGTCCAAGCAACCAGATTATTATCCCTGAACGGGCTTTCCGTCTACCCCCGTAACCCATTATCCAGATCAGATTGGTTGCACCCCGCTAAGCTTCTCCTCAAGAATCCCACAGTCCAGTCGCGCAGATTCTGATTGTCTTACAATCCTCTGCTCTGGATACACTCACGAGTCAACACTTATCTTCAAAAGCATAATCCGTGTTACAGCGGCACCGGACCTTGTGGGACCTGAGCACCTTACGCAATATTCAATATCAATTAACGATTCTTGACGACTTCACGCCACTACTGTCTTTTCTTCTGAAAAGGATCGGGATCTAATCAGTACTTGACTGCGCAATTGTGCAGTAATTCTTTCGAGTGACAATTCATTTTACACAACCGTCACCATGGGTGGGCAAATTTCCAAGATGATGAACAAGATCTTCGGATCGAAAGAAATGCGTCTTTTGATGCTTGGTCTGGATGCTGCTGGAAAGACAAGTAAGCAAAAAGAGCATTCCCCAATTGCCCGGGTGACATGGTTTAGAGGCCCGTTTATACCCCTCCCACCGGGATCTGAACTCATCATTAGAGGGGGATATCAATTGCTAATTACTACGTACAGCTATACTCTACAAGCTCAAGCTTAATCAAGACGTTACTACGATACCCACTGTCGGCTTTAACGTCGAGACTGTCACCTACAAGAACGTCAAGTTCAACGTATGGGATGTTGGTGGACAGGACAAGATCCGGCCTCTCTGGCGCCATTATTTCTCTGGTACGCTGCGAGCACCCCGACCCTTTCCTTTCTGTGTATCTACATTTCTGCTGTAGTTATAAATCCCTGGGCCATGAGCGGCATGCCACGAAGACGCTAATGCTGACAAATACGCCTCACAGGAACTCAAGGATTGATTTTCGTCATTGACTCGAGCGACCGCGACCGGATTGATGAAGCGCGACAGGAATTGCACCGCATCATCTCAGATCGAGAAATGAAAGAGGCTCTTCTCCTAGTGTTTGCCAACAAACGGGACATTAAGGGTGGTATGTGAAGATTTTAGCGGAATTTTAATGCTTCTTACTAACGGGCGATATCAGCAATGGACCCTGAAGAGGTCAAGCAGCGACTACAACTCGAGAAACTGAGAGACCACACCTGGTTCGTTGAACCTAGCTGCGCCATTACAGGCGAAGGTCTTTTTGAGGGTCTTGTAAGTCAATCCATGTTCCTCCCGATTTTACCTACCTGAGTGACTTTGTCACCGCAATCCTCCCATCGAACCTTTAAATTCGAACATTTATACTAATTACACTCCACCTTCTAGGGATGGCTATCTGAGCACGTCAAGCTCCAGGCCGCCAGGCAAGGGAAATAAACTTTTTACTGTATTAATACTCAGCTTGGAGTCTTCGGCCCCCTCGATCTGACTGCGGACATCGTCATTCATCTTTCCGCGGTCACTCATCAATCACAGCAGTGCGGCTTCAACGTTTCCTGTACCATATGATTTCACACTTCGGCATCTAGACAGCTACCAGCTTCTTCTTCTTCTTCTTCCTTACACGCAGTTCATCCACAGCGCTGCGGTAATGAGCGGAAGCGAAAGGACGCTGTCTGCGGACATCGGCTACACATGACGCTTTTATCATGCGCCAGATGCTTGCTACTTGTTTTATTTCAACCAACCCCTCATAGTCTTTTAATCTTCCTTTCTTCGCCTTTTGCTACTCTTTCTCCGGCATCTTATTCTACCATACTGGCATTGTAATAATACCCCTACTTTACTTCTTTCACTTCTTACAGGGGGTAGAGCGGCGAGCTTCTTCAAGAGACGGCATTTACCTTCAGTATGTTGTTGTTCGTCTTCTTTTGCTACGCCTCTTCTACCTAAATTTCCCAATGTTCGATCAACCTGCTACTACCCCCCCATTGTATTTGTCAACCACTGATACCACGCTTCTGTTCATTCGTTATTTTCCAAATTCGCAGCATACAGAGCTCGCGCCCTGTACCAATACTGCATATCACACTTTTTTTTCTCTCATGCCTCTACCTCTGTCGCAGCTTCCGGGCGTTGCGGCAGAGAAATCGGGCCTGCTGTCAATTCGAGTCGGTCATAAGTCATCGAAAAATACCCCTTTTCCACTTTTTTTTATTATGGCTCCATCCAATTGAATAGAAATAGAAATGAAATTTTTCGTGCGAGACCTGCCATTTCACATCGGGCTTAACATGCCATTATTTCTTGTACGACAGTCAAGACGCCATGCCTCCATGGCGCTAGGCATCTATTACTCTCTCTCTCTCCACCTATCAGAATATCCATCACACATTATAGCTCGCAGTAAAATATATCTTACAATACTCTTGCTTTAATTGAAAACGCCTTACAGGGTACCCAGCCCAATCCTTAAGACACAGAAACAACGCCATTGGCCCATTATTATTTTTCCCCCTAAACCGGGATTTCTCCACAAACTAGCCCGTTGCTTTCCGACTCACGCACATCCACACATGTCAACGCAATACAACGACTCTCACGCAATCGCTCGAATGCGTTCTCTCAAATCCGCTCCTTCTGACCCAGGCAGCATTCCCCAGCCCTCTCCCACCTCACCCACTATCCTTGCCGGGCGTCCGCCAACCACACTCCCACTCGGCACAACCATACCCGCGGGCAACACGGCGCCATCGAGAACCTTGACGCCGTCTTTGATGATGCAGAATTTCCCCAGCACCGCGCCCGCTCCAATCACCACGTGGTTCCCGATACTCGCGGCCTCGACCACCGCGCGCTCGCCCACAAGCACGTGGTCCCCTATCTTTTGCGCCACGTACGTGTATGTCCCTCTGTGCAGGCGCGAGGGCGGCCGGATCAGCGCCGAGGGGGCAATGACTGAATAACGGCCTATGGAAATGGCGATTTGAGGAGGTTGCGCTGCTGCGGGTGCAGATGGGGTTGCTGTTGATGTTGATGTTGAACCGGATGTGCCGCCGGGAGCGGACGTGGAAGTAGAGGTAGAAGGGGATGATAGCCGATGCAAGTCCCCGCGCAGACAGGCTTCTGTCTGAATGGCAGTGCGGCCGCCGAGAATGATATGTGGAGTCCCAAGAATAATAGACCGGCGGGATACTTTGTTGCCGGTGTCCTAGTAGACAGCGAGTTAGAAAAATGTGTGGAAAACGTGGGGAATACACGGTGTATGTGTTTGTGAGGACGAATTAAAGGTAGATATGAAATAGTACCGTACAGTTTCAATGTATTCCGATTTAGGCGCTTTGGGAGGCATTGTGTCGACTTATGTTGGTGCGGTCGATCGGGGGTAGAGGTATCAGATCTTGATTCGAGTGATGGGAAAACTTAAAGATACGGATCTGGACCAAGCAAAATTAATTAAGTAGGAAGAAGAGAACCGTCGACGGTAAGAGCGTATGATATGCGCGTCGATATTTTGCAAGATCAGTAGAAATGTTCAAGTGATGACATTGGACGTTGGAGGTTAGGATAACTCCGATAGGACCCTGGGTTGTGGTTCTGCCGCGTTTTTGTTTACGTTTGCCGAAGGCGGTGAGCCCAGGGACCGCCGAAACAGGTGGGAAGCTGCAGGTGCAGGTGCAGGACATATTGGCTTTTTGCAAGTATCGCTGTAAACAAGCTGACGATTTGTAAAATTTATAAAACGAAAAATTCTGCTTAAGGGATTTTCTGTGCATTAAATTATATAGTTCTCAATGATATCTAGATCTAAACTTTTATTGCGCGTTAAATCATACCAACTTTTATGACGAGTCTGCTGACGGTGCTATCTAAAAAGTATAAATAGACAGAAATCCCGGCTGTCCAAGCAGCCCCGTTAATATACTATTCCTTCTCTATGCTCGATTTTAAAAATCAAATTATCGAGCTTTATATCTGGAAAAAAGAAATGAAATGCTATAGCTTTCAAAGTTTGTGTTCGCGCCAACAGAGGGCGATAATGGAGCCGAAAAAGGTACAGCAGAGGGAGACAACTGCGACACGGTTAGTTGAAGCACAAATACTGCAAGACTCCTGTGAAAGATAAATCGAAATCAGACAGAGGCGGTTTGAACGTACAGTGTGTTTTTTCGAGGCTTTCCACGTATGCTTGAACGACGATTCGGCTTGCCCCATCTTTGAGATGCTTCATGTTACTAATGTCTGAAAGGACATCCCGGATTATCTTCAAAGTATATAGAGTCAGCTCGGCTCGAGCAAAAGTAAAGTATCATGTCGGTCCAATCATACCTTGTCTTTGTCCGCATAGCCATCCAGTCCCTTCTGCAGGCGAGGCTTCAAACAACTCTGCAGGACAGCATTGACAATGCTTAAGCCAGTCACTGTTCCAATGCTGTTGCTAAGATAGACCCCAGCCGCAGCGATGGCCATGAACTTGGTGTCGACACCAGCGCCAAGGCCTACAAATACGGAAGACATGGCGACACCAGTTCCGAACCCGCAGGGGAAAATATACAAAGACTCAAGGATGTTCGTATGGCCATGCCATCGAAGAATAAGCAAAAGATAGCCAAAAGATGCTAGTAGAGTTGCGGTCACGGTAAGGGCCTTGTATCGTCCAGTTCTAATTCAACTGTTAGCATGCATCTGGACTAGAGGTGAAGATATCTGCTTACCTCTTGATGAAAAAACCAGCACACAATGCACCCACTGCATTACCAGCCACAGATGGGAAGAGATGTACTCCGGCATTCGTGGCAGACGCATTCTCTGTGACTTGAAAGTAGAGAGGAATTGTAAACATCATCTAAAATGCGTCAGTCATTAGCTGACATGGCATAGGTAAGATAGTAGAATCACTTACTCCAAATTGGGCTGCGCTCTGCAAAACCATGATCAGGTAAGCAGATGCGATATCACGATTGACGAGGAGGTGCAGCGGGAAGATTGGTTGTTTTGCCCAATATGACTCGACAAGGACAAAGACAATTCCGAAAAAGAGGGACGCTCCAAAGGACCCTAGGACGAGAGGATGGGTCCAGGGAAACTTGTGGCCGCCAAGATCCAGAGCGAGCACAAAGTTTACAATCGTCAATGCAAGTGTTAAAGCACCAAGAATGTCGACTGACTTGAGCTTCTCACGTATATTCTTTTGCTCTTCATCCTTTTGCTGCCGCTCTTTTATGAAACAAAATACGAGAAAGCCGGCAACCAGCGTGACAGGTATCTCAGAAAAGAAGGACCTAGAAGTATGTCAGCGTACCGTTGAAAGAAAATTGCACCCACTGCCTACCATCGCCAGCCTATTGTATCTGCCAAAAACCCTCCAATCGGCCCGCCGAGACTTCTCCCAGTGGTAGCCACAACGTTCACATAACTCCTCCATGAAGCTACCTCGCGCATCGAGACCAAGTCTGTTGTCCAAATTAGTAAAGGCAATGCCTAAGGTGTGTGATTGCTTTACCAGTGATGAGGATTGATACGAGTGAAGTCATTCCCGCCGCTCCGGCACCTGCAATCGCTCGTCCGAGGATGACCAACCACATTGTGTTTCCTAACCAGCTACGGTCGTAAGTCTTTATAGCTAGAGAGAATCATTCCATTTGGAACATACCAAGTAGCTGCGCCAATGCTAAAAAGAGAATACGCCGTTAAGAGCATATTTCTCCGACCGAAAATATCGCTGAATCTTCCATACTATCGAGACAGTGAGCATATTGGTCTTATGTCTTTAACCTCAACCAAGATGACATACGATCGGTTGCATAGCACATGTTGCCAGTAAGGAGCCGCTGACAAGCCAGCCCGAGGATTCCAGGTCATCGAATTGGGAGGAAATAAGACTGTTCGTTGCCAAAACAATGGAGCCATCGCAATTGGAAAGAAAAACTCCTACTATATGTCAGATATGCCAATCAATTGAAAGAAAGTACCCTCGTCTTTCTGAACATACCAAGTAGCAAGACAGATATCACACCGGCAAGACTGCGTGCAGGTTTTTGTTCTGTGTCAGCCGGCTTCAGGGCCGGTTTATCGCCCACGGCCTCTATATCAGTAGCGTTTGTGCCATAGCTCCCCGCCGATCTTCTGTAACTTTCAGTATCCGCATCATAGTCCTCCTCGGCCTCAGGGAGTATGCTTCCTGCAGTTACGTGATTTGGCAAGAGCTGCGTGTGCTCATCATTGTGCACCTGCATGATTAATATTTTGCCCCTTGTCGCAGGAATATGTTTCACCTGGAACTAAACGCCAAAAAGCATTTTCAGGTCATGTTTGAAAGGCTAAATTCTTCTAAAAATTTCTCACTTGTCTAAATGTCCGTAGCCAATAAGAGCCGTCAATTTTATTGGAGGACCCGTATGCATGGCTGTGACAACTTAATAAGACCAGAGACATTGACACAATGAAAGCGAGTATTGCGCAATCGCCTTCCACATGGCGCGGGGTAAATCAACCCTGGTCAAGAGCATCTGTGCATTGTATGACAGGCTTCAGATATTTGTTTTTCTTTTTTGGTAAATAGATCGACGTTCTTAGCAGCTGCATCATTATCGGAAAAGTCAAATGCAGACGAAAGCTTCGTCTGTGGTTGAAGTCGCAAGACCTTAAATACTTTCGGGGCGACGATCACGAAACAACATCGGAGTATCGCAAGCGATGAGCAGTCCCGTCAGATATTGAATACCCAGGCATTTCAGAACCAGATATTTCCGCAATAAATTTGATGTAATCACTGGGTTGTTAAATTCAATCCATTTATTTTCTTTCTTCTTCTTTTTTTTCTAATATTTTGTTTTATTTTTTCCCCCCCTCTGACATTACAAATCATCTATCACTCTCTGTCATGCTTAATTCATTGTGATATTTTATGTGTAGAGATGTCCGGTTGATAATGTGGGATTTCAATGCAGAGTCATGTCGTTAGTTTTGTTCTAATCAGTTCCAATACTATTCTTCTTCTATTCTTCCAGACGCAATTTAGGTGTTAATTTCGAAAAAAAAAAAAAAAAAAAGAAAAAGAAAAAGAAAAAGAAAAAAAAAACAAGATTTTAAAGGGACTGTACTCTGAACGCTGTACCTGCGGACACAAAATAGAGAAGAATCACTCCCATCAGTGCCAGGTCCACCAATAAGTTTGTGAGTCAAAGCGTCTTATAGGGACTTTATAGGGACTACACCCACTCGCTCCAGCGCAATCCGTCTCTGTACATCAGCGCCTGCTTGGGACCCTCAGCATCGAGTATGTATCCCGGTTCGCATCGTGAGAATTCCACTTTAGCTTGCTCCTCTACATAAAATTGGTCAAATACCGAATCCAATGCATCCCACAAAGTGTTCACGTTGCCTGCAGGGTGCAGAACCCTCCACGGATGTATGCATTCATCGCGTTTGCATGACTTGAGTACTAGAAGAAGGGCATCAAGTCGTGCAGCTACTTTGAGCAGCGGGAAACCTAGCAAGGAACTCGAAGAGCTATCTGAAGCGTGGCCCTCAGAAGGGTCGAGCAGATTATTCATTTGGTATGGATCATCCTGACAAGTGAGCAAAATGGTAACAACAAGACGGAGTCGTGATCGGCAATTACCTCAAGATTGTAAAGTTCATGCTCATTGTTGCACCATACCGAGTAATGAATATTGTATCCTCGGCCAATCAAACGGAGAGCCTTGTATGTATTGTTCGCATGCAGCGCTAAAATAACATGAGCAATTAGTAATGGTATACGCAGTAAAAATTCCCAAGTCCAGCTCACCGAAATCCGGCTTTTTCAGGACATAGTCACCCTCTTCTATCCCGTAGCCCCAAAATTCCACGTTTACATGCTCGTGCCTCCCAGTTTTTGCTTGATCAATGCTTGCTCTTGTTATCGGGATAGCAACGCCATCAAAATCCTCCTTTGGCTCAACGCCAAGAAGCTTAAGAAATGTGGGAGCAAGGTCTGTGTGTGAGGTAACCACATCTGCAACTTCACCTTCAGGTACGCCGGGACCTCTAATAATAAGGGGTACATTGATGTCTTCCTCGAAACTGCATTCTTTTCCGGGCTGCAATCTATGTTGACCAATATGGTATCCGTTGTCACTCGTGTAAATGATATAGGTGTCCTGCAGAATATCATACTCTTCGAGGCGCGATATCAATCCATCAATAATTTCATCGACTGCCTGTAAGGCGCGCAGACGAGAGCGATAAAAGTGATCGTTGTACGCAACATTTTCCTCATCCTGACGTGGAAGTGATCGGATCCAGCTGACTGAGCTTGCCTGATTTTCACATCAGCTTCTGTGATAATTATACACAAAACATTATTCGTTACCTTCTCTGGGTTGAAGTTTTCTGTCCTTGGAATATGCGCATCCTGGAATAGATTTCTATGTCGTTCCGCCGGAATTGGGGCAGTCATTTGGAATGAATGCTTGCCGCCTTCTTCTGAAACATTGCCCTCTGAGATTTTAGCATTACTGTGAGGTGCAATTGGTGCAATGGTTAGGACAAAAGGGTTGTCCTCAGAAACAGCATCATCCAGAAAGCCAAACGCTTTCTCGGCCAATATGTCGGTCGAATACTCGCCCTCACGGCTGATGGGTTGCTCTCTGTTTCGTTGCCAGGTACTATTTAGATACTCATACGTATGTGGATCTAGCAAAAAGTCCGACCCGGTGAAGCCAGCCGGATAAGGGGAGGCATAATTTTCGAGGTTATGGGAATTAAAGAGTTTCCCGGTATAATACGTGTTATATCCGGCAGCTTGCAGCCAGACAGGTAGATAATCTTCGTTTAATCCTTGACTGACGAATTTTGGATATCCACCTGAAGCATGTTTCAGTATTATTCAATTGCGCGATCATGTCGACTGGGCATACCATATGGTGGTGACACATCCGTAACGTTTGTGTTGTGTGCAGCCTTCCCTGTCCAAAGAGATACACGTGATGGACAACATATAGCAATGGTGCAATAGTGCCGGCGGAAGAAGGTGCCACGGTCAATTAGATGCTTCTGCAAAAAGGGTTGATAATCTAGAGATTGAAGATGTAGATCTTGATCATCTGTTAGAATAAAGACGATATTTGGTCTTTTGACGTTATCGTGCTTGAGTTGAAGCGGTCGCTGGTCAGCCAGGGCCAGCGAGAGAAGAGCAGCTCCGGCCCCAAGCAGCGCAAGAGACAAAGTCTTCATTTTTGACCGCAAAGTTGAGCTGCGGCATGATAAGAAGGGATCTCTGCTCTATTGAAGGTATATTATTCAGATGCATATTAACATGAGTCCAGTTCTTAGGATTTATTTTGCCGATGTCGAATATTGCGTGCGTCGTAGGGACATTGCGCCATTGGATCCCCGTTAAAGCTTATCGTTGTCTTATAAGAGGCGAGCTTCCGTTCTATCCAGGCAGTTGTTATTTAAGCACCATTCACCATAACAATGTTCATCACAGAGTTTGAAAACTCGATTTTAGAGAAACCTTAACATTCCCTATCGTCTGAAATTTGTCTATATCACGGCTCCCCCGGCCAGATCAGATTCGCGACCTCTCTTACTGATTTAAGCTTCTTAATCATGGCTTCTTTGTCGATATCGTTTCCGAGAGCGATACTCGCAAAGCCAGACTGCGGACTGACGCCCATGCGCCCCAATGCTTTGCTCCTGGTCTCGCTGTTGCCCTCTGCAATAATGTCGGCGGCCTGCCATACACGCTCTTTCATTTTTTCTGGATCCTCTAACTGTGGGAGTTTAGATGATATCACTCCGAGGATCACGTTTTTGTCTTTGGGAAGTGCGGCGAGTGGCTCAAACCCACCTGCACGAGGCGTGTCATACTCAAGGTAAAATGTATCAACATTCATGGTTTGGAAGAGCTTTTTGGCAACCCTGTCGTAGCCACCTTCAGAGAAATGACGACCTCCAATGAAATTCTAAGGATCATTGGTTAATGAAATGAGTAGCGCATAATTTTGTAGAGCAGGCTCTTACTCCGCGACAGATGTGCACGCCGACATGCATATCCGCCGGCCGTTTGCTAATGCAGGAGTTATATAATGCAATGTAGACATCAAGAAGCGCTTCCGGTGTCCTGGTATTCTTTTAATCCTTTGCCCAGCCTGCTAGCATTTTTTCGCAACAAAAGTCTTTTCGAATCAGCAAAGATGGTATAACCCCTGAAAGTGTGATGGTAGTCGTCACGTACAGGCAAGATTCGGATCATCGAATTGTATGTTTCGAGCCCCATGTTCATACAGAGTTTGCAGCTCATTTTGGTATGCAGATGCAATGTCAGCAAAATACTGGTCATCATTACTGTACACCTCTTTTGGGTATGCGCGACCTTCTCGATAGCGCATGTGGTACCATTCTGGCGCCGGCAGGGTGATTTTACATTCGTGCAACCTCTTGGCTGATACGATGCTTCTGAGGTAGTCCCACTCTCTCAAATACGTGCTTCCTACATGCTTGATTTTTCCTGTACACAGAAGAGTCTCGTGGATTTCAGAGTCTGCAAAGGGAGCAACATCTGGCATATAGTCGCGAGATATTTCCCACGGAGGATTTTTAACCTGCTCAAAACCTTCAAGACCCGGGAAGAGTGAGCCCCAAACCAAGAAACGCCTGCAATAATTGTTTTAGTGGAAGCAATCTCCAAAATACAACGTAGGCGTGTTGGCGGAGCGGAGCGGGGCGGAGACGACAGGATTGCGGATGTAAACATATTCAATACTTGTACTCTCCATCGCTAATTGCATGGAGTCCGAGCGACAATTGAAGCTCGACAATCTCCTTGACAGCTACATCTTCCAGCCCATACAGCTCATCTTGCGACAGTTTCCCTTCCTCAAGGGCTTGTCGTGCCTTGAGCAGGTCGTCGGGGCGAAGTAACGATCCCACGTGTTCCGCACGAAACGGTGACTTTCGACGCAGATTTGCCTTCAAAGACATGGTAAGACTTCTAGGAAGGTAATTGATATTGTTTCCTCTTCTATCAATTGATGCATCTCGAAGGGTCTAAGAATCCGGTCTTTATATGTTATTTACAATATCCCTCTAATTGTTAGGTCATTATAGTGTCAAGACTCAAGTCAATGACAATTCGGCAGCCATGGTTCGGCAGTGACGTCGGGAAGGAGCTATAGCTTTTAGTATTATCTACCTACCAGCCGCTGTGCGGTCCATCTACCCCACACCTCCGCACAGCAATCGGATCGTCAATCATCGCTGATTCATTTGCCGTTGGCTCGTCTTCATATTTTCCGCAACTTCCCTTCAAAGTCAATAATGTATTTCATGGTCTCGGGAACTTTACCGTAAACGGACTGTGCTGTGATGCGATTCGTGCTATCATGCATTGCAGGCCGCCTTTGTGAACAGAGGCCCTCGAGAACCATTTAGAATGGCCGACGCATCATCGGCACACCTGCAGCACAACGGCAATTCAAGCAGAAAGCTTCGGCTAGAGAATCTGCCCTCTGAAATATGCGATCTCATACTTGCCTGTCTTGACTCTGCCGCCCCTTCTGAGCAGAGGTTCTGCGACGAGCCCACCTTTGAGCTCGTAAAATCCGACACGCGTCCGTTGAAGACCTTGTCACAAGTTTCCCGAGCCTGGCGATACTTGACTTTGCCGTGGTTATTCAGGCACGTCACGTACTGCATTACCGCAGATCCTTTCACGGAAGGTCTATATCCAACTGTGGCTTTTCATATCGGCCGAGAAGCAAGACGCCTCAACTCTTTTCTTGAGAAGCATTCTTTGCATCGCTACGTCTCTTCATTGGTCGTCTATACAACCGAAGACGTTTGCTATGGATATTTGGATAGGGAAAGTCGGATATTCACTGCAGATGAGAAAGGCGAGGCAAGTTTGGCAGATGCGCTGTGGCCTGTACTTTTGTCTTCCTTGAACCCTGATCGAGTCGTCATCCTGGCTCCTCCGTTGAGCTTGGGCTCTTTGACAGATGGCGTGCATGTGGATACGAAACATGCTTGGGCATTTGACAGTCCACTTCAGTCTCTGCAAGTTTCAAAGAAACGGCGACCCTATGGACAGAAAAGCTTGACTCACAATGGCTCAGCGGAAAGGCTCTTTGACGGCCGCCAATGGTCAGAACTTGCGGTCAACGAGGGCTCCTTTATCAGAGCTTACAGTACATACGAATATTTTCTGAAGGAAAAGCCCTCTACCATTCCGAGTCTGCACTGGCGTGCCCTCTATGGCAGCAACTTTTTCCGTCAACTGACATCCCTCCATTACAACGCAATTTTTCCATTCTACAATACCCTTGAGCTGTTCCTAAATTTGGCACGAATATGTCCGAATGTAACGCGATTAAGTATGCAATTAGCGCCTAGCCTGAAGAGCGGTTTGCTCACCAATAAGGAGCGCATTGGCACCTCAGACCTCCGAGATATGTGGATGGAGCTCGAGTCGGGCTACCAGTTGATCATCTTCGCCATCAAGGATATGACACGCGAAGGAAATCTGCGCGAGTTCAGGAGCCTAGACTATGTATCGTGGCCCGACGACCTGAAGGCCGTGTTAGATGAAGGTATCTCAGACGATACTCTAGGCTGGCAGCCCCGCGAACCGGGCTATTGGGCAACCGCTTGGCCATTCAATGCCGAACTTAGCAACTCTGTGACTACCGGAGAAGGGTGAGCAGCGGAGACATAAGCTACTCAGACTTGATGAACGGAAACACAAACTTCCAGTTCGAGAATGCCATAAACGGAAGTCGCTGCCCTTTGTTGATGGAAGGCACTATAGATTGATACCACAATCAGCGATTTCGCAAAAATTTCGACTTGACCCAATTCAATTAGTCTTTTTCGGATCAAGCGTTCAATAGCCGACCTGCTCCTGAATGCTCTGATGGGGCATGTTCGGGAGCTGTGTATGAGTTGCAATACAGAGTCGGTTTCGTCTTTCTGTTCAGCCTGTTCAATCGTTGGGATAAGAATCACTGTCATACTCCTACGGCTGGCAGTCACACTTTGGACATGAAAGAGGGCTATTGCCAAGGTGACCCCGTGATGCATGGGGGCAAAAGAATTTCCAGTGCGGGGCAGGCTCGACAGTAATACTCAGAAAGAACTCGCGCCCACCGCGCAGCTGATTCATAATAATGGAAGAATTGTACCTAAAGAGCTGCGTTTTTCAACATATAAAGCACTTGAATATTTTGCCCAAGTTTCTTGGGGATACAGTTGTTTACTCCACCAACAGAAGAAGGGCGGACGAATCTTGAGGATTCTAAGTCAGGCGCTGGCCGGACGGAAATAGAATCATCAGTGCTGGGGTGGACAACTAGCAGAGCAACAAATTACCGCGTGCCCATTTTACCCTGATATTATTGTCTAAAATAGATTGAATGGCCTAGATATGCAAATGTAATTAGGGGATTAGAGGAATCTCTCCTGCATTGACACGTGATGGCCGCAAGAGAGTGCGATTCTACCCCAGTCCAGTGGGGAATCCCCCCAGCTTGATGGCAGGTGCGACCCGGTAGCGAGGACGCCTATAATTATACGCTTTGAACTCCTAGGACTCATCTCACTCTTAACTATTCCAGTTAAGCTTAGTGAGAAATTTAGGTCTCCCTTCCTCATTGCTAGAGGCGACAAACCCGACCCCTTGTGCAACCCCCTTCCCGCAATGATAGACCGGTCCCTCTCCACATTATTTACCTCCCCGGTTATCCTCGCAATCTGTTCCTTCCATAGGCGATCTCAACATCGGCATACGGAGACCTCCGACCATCTTCAGCAAGAGGTACAATTTTTGATAGACCATACACTTCATCAGCGGCGGCGGCACGGGTTGTTTGGTCACAAGCTCATCTTCTCGTCTCTTGACAGCTGCGGGGCCAAGATTGTAATTGGGGAAAGCGACGGTAAATTGATGACGTCGTATTTCTAGCAATACAAAACCCGTAGGTAAGAGCTCCCCAAACAGAGCAGCAGTTTCTTCGTCAAGAAGAGATTTGAGACTGAGTAAGAGTCAATCATGGCGACTGACAGGCTAAAAAGAGTTACAAGCACAGCAGCGTACCAGACTTTTGGGGAACCCAGCATTTCAGCCGTCTCGAGCGAATCGAGCGTCATGGTCTCTTTGAATGCGTCCTGGCGCGACACGACGCCTTATTTACTCTATATACTGCTGGTCTCTTCCATCGGACCTTTGCAATTTGGATATCATTTGGTAATGGAGTCGCGCACCTTGTTCTTGTGAACTCTTGACTAATTGTTACCGTGTTGCTAGGCCGAACTCAATGCTCCTCAAGAAGTAATAAATTGCAACCGAAAATCAATCAAAGGGATTACTACCATATCGAGTTCCAAGCTTCCGCAATGTATTCCAATGAACCCAACCATTTTTGGGCTTGTGTCCTCCATCTTCACATTGGGCGGCTTGGTTGGTGCCCTCGCGGCTGGTCCCTACTCGAGCAAGTACGGACGTCGACCGACAATGCTTCTCACAACTATCTTTTTCACCATCGGGCCACTCTTTGAAGCCTTGGCCCCCGACGTGACAATCATGGTAATTGGAAGAATATTGTCAGGGATGGGCGCGGGCGCTTCCGTTGTCGTGGCTCCACTTTACATTTCTGAGACTGCGCCTCCGAATGAGAAAGGAGTGTTTGGAGCGCTCACGCAGATCATGATTAATGTGGGCATCTTCATTGCTCAACTGCTTGGATACTTCTTGAGCCATGATCAAATGTGGCGTCTCATTCTAGCCATCGCTGGTGCCATTGGCCTCTTCCATGCCGCCAACCAACTCCTTGTCCCAGAAAGTCCGAAATGGTCCGCTGATAAGGGTCGCACTCGGCAAGCTATGAATGACTTGCAGAGAATCCGGGGCCCAACGGCCGATGTTACTGAGGAGATCAATGCGTGGGGCGTCAAGAGTGTCGACGAAGGTAGGGCGGCCAATATCCAGCTTCTCGCCATGTATAACATTACTGACGGTAACTCAAAGCAGACGAGGAAGAAGCTTTGCTAAGCGATCGCCCTCGAAACAGTGTTGCTTCTGCAAACTCTGAAGCCCACGTTGGTATCATTGGTATCGCAACCGATCCAAACTATCGACCTGCCCTTATTGCTGTGGTCGGCGTCATGGTTGCCCAGCAGCTATGCGGTACGTTCTAACTCTCGACGGGGAATGGAAGAAGAGAAATGAAGCAATCGGTCTGACCTAGGGGATTATAGGCATCAACAGTATCGTCATGTACTCAGTTTCGCTACTTTCGCACCTGCTCGAATCCAACGCGGCCTTACTGACGGTGGTCGTATCTGTGGTAAACGTAGTGACAACTACAGCTTTTGCGCCGCTGGTTGATCGCCTGGGAAGGAAAACATGCCTTCTCATGTCCATTTGCGGGATGGGTATCTGTTCCGGACTATTGGCTATTTCAATCATCTACTCGATCCGCATTCTCTCAGCAGTTTCTACGCTTTTGTTCGTGACAAGTTTCGCTGCAGGACTTGGCCCTGTCCCGTTCCTACTTTCCTCTGAGCTGGTGGGTACCGAAGCTGTGGGCGCGACTCAAAGCTGGGCGCTGGCGGCCAACTGGATCGCCACATTTGTGGTTGCCCAATTCTTCCCTGTTGTCAACAATGCACTTGGCAAGGGCCAGGTATATTTTGTGTTCATGGCGCTGGCAGCTGTCTTTTTTGTGTTCGTGTCCTGGCGGGTTCCGGAGACGAAGGGCAAGAAGAACCCTGACGAAGTCTGGGGCAGAGCGGAGCGTCGTCTTGAATAGAGGTGCATAACGTCTCTGACGCCCTATACTTTGTACAGTAATGATTTGACTGAATGGAACCATTTTCATGTGGGAGTTGGGAGTCTTGTATTAAAACATGTGAAAGAAGCTGCATGTACTGATTTTTTTTTTTTTTTTTTTTTTTTTCGCTCGAGTGGAAAGGCTCACATGGGCTGATGATATGTCCGATCAATTCAGCGTCCATGGGCCAAAGCCCCGTGATCAGCCAGCGGTGGTCAGATTGGATCATTGCTAATCTTTGCTGGTCTCATCGTAGCATTGGTTTTCCTCTTCCAACATGAGATGTATGAGCCTCTGTTGCTTAGCTGGAAGGCTTCACAATTCCGCGAAATCACAAAAGCCAGTCAATTCAAGGCTGAAGCTGAAGCTGCAGAGCATGCGTCCTTATGGGTACTACCCACTTGGATTGGCCGGTTCACTGTACCTACACAGAATCGATCATTATGATCTTTTCCCTCTATCTAATCATCATCTATATTGTGCTGTCCACTTTTTATGAATGGCTATCCGTTCTTTGTCCAGCAAGTTTATGGCATTTCTCGTGGATTGACCAATCTCCTGTCGGTGGCACAAGTTGTTCGGGACATGATTGCCCCTGCCATTGATGTCTTTGATATGTGTCTGGACGAGGAAAGTGTGTGGAAGGTGGATGACAGCAAGGCAGACCCTTTCAACGTAAAGTTTGCGATTGGTTTTCTTTTCTCAAAGGCTTCTTTTTTCTCCCAATTGGCTCTATTCTGGATGAGTTTTGAGCTGATTAGTTTTCACTCTCCATACCCATTTCGAAACTGATATCTCTCCTTCTGACATATTTTACGACTTTCATCAAGGCCGCAGTTATAGATTAGGATTTCTATTGTTTATGCTGATTCTTATGGCCAGATGCAACACTCGCAAATGACGGCGTTTTAGATAATCGTGGCCGTCAAATCAAATGCCTTTAAGTCGAAGTTCTGGGTGACCGTCCCTTTTACAAAGCTTGATACTACAGTTTTTTTTTCGGTTGATAGTGTCACATATTATGAGTCTCAGTGCCTCCCTTTTTTTTTAACAAGCGCTGCCCGATCAGCCCAATAGCACGTACAGTAGTATTGATTCGGGGAGCGCGGGACGAAGTGGATCTGTGTTAGAACTTTTGGGTAGCGACCGCGATTGAACTAGCAGAGACCGATATTTTCGGACCGCAGGCGGAAGGATGTGGGTCTTGCAATCAGAATGGAACGGGACATTCTTTTCTCGCTGCATGTATGGCATCGTGAGCATTAACTATTGGTCGGATGCTCATTTTCTGCATCACCTAACAAGAATTTACTTTAGCTGCCACAAGGGTGCTCATGTGCGGTCTGTAAGTCATGTGTATGCTCTTGAAAGTGATATGGATGAGTGGAGCGGCACTTTTTCATTATGCACTCTCTTTTCTACTGCTTGCAGGAGTGAAATAGGGGAGGAGGGAATTGAAATCCTCCAAACAGAGTTGGAGGACGAGAGCGTGCAGGGATGGCCTTTTCCGCAGCTCCGGCAAACTTCTCACCAGCTCAAGGCTCTAAATGTAAGCTAACTTCACGATGCCCCCCAGTTATAGAGGTTGAGAGGATAAGGCGCTCAGTGATGCGACCGGGATCCGAGACATTGGGATACCCCTTGGGCACCTATCTCAAAACTAATTCACCTTGGTCTCTCTCAAGGATCATAGACTTATGTAAAGAGAAGAGTAGTACTCCGGTACAGCAAAGTAAGGTTGATTCGGAATGTCATACCAAACGGTCACTTGTTTCGGATGGAATGGTCGGAGAAAAGACCAAGGGCATCATGGGGAAACTAGGTACAGAACAGATCAGAGTTCAATGATGATGAGTAAGTGGAGGATCAGCAATACACGGTGCTCATATAAGCTCTTGAAGCTATATTATTAGGGAAAATCATCGCATGTTGTTATTTTTATATGATTGTCAGGAGGGAGGTACGAGGAGCTGACGAACACAATCCGCAGAACCAGGACCTGGTTGAGACGACAAGTCTTGGTACTTGATATCTTGGTCAACCAACCCTGATAGCGCCCTGGCTAACGTGGTCTAGACGCGCAATGGACCGTTGCTAAAAGTACAGATACCTTCTCTCGTCCCTAACCCACGCGGACACGCATTACCACCGATTGCTCCACTCTGACTACCGTCTCTCCTCTCTCTTCTCTCTTCTCTCACGTTCCCTCAACGGGGATTTTGCCTTTTCCATTCCAATCCCTATCCCCTTGTCTCTCTACGCACCTTGGCTCTGCCCGGATTCTCCCCTAATGACGCAGGCGTCTCGCACATCCACGCATGTCTCATCGGCATTTGCATTTGACGTCGTGTCGTCGGGGCTCTGCTTGTCGGGGTAGGGGTTAATCCCAGCAGCTAGGTCACGTTTTACGTTTAGGGCAATGCAATAGAGAGGGAGTAGAAAGGAAAATCAGAGATCCCCAAGTCATAATTCGATCATGCTATCCACTCTTTGAGGCAGGTATTATGGCAGGGTTTCTCTAACATTGAGCGGTGTCAGCATGGATTGAAGCGCTGTCGACCAGGTGTTCACGGTCCAACCGTCCCCATTGCCGGGTCCTGATAATGACCAAGAGATTCAGCGCCGCGAGCTCCGATTACTATGACCGAGGTTCTAGCCCAGCGCTTGTTTGGAATCCGATATAGCAACACCTGGCGACGAGGATAGTCCTATTCTTTCACTACTGCTCTTTCTTGGTTTCATGCTTTGGATTTTTGTCAGGCTATGGCATGGCTCCACTCTTGGCCGACTCTCACGGTCGTTACCGACCATGGCGTCCCCTAAACGCGCCCCAATGGTCTTTAGCATCCCCGTCTCCCGCTCACTATCGCCTTCCGGCCTTGATCCGTTCTTGGAGTGCACACCTTTTCGGACCTTTCCACGCTTTAAATTTTTCCACGCCAACGGCCCAGAGGCCCGCCTCTGAGTCGATTGTCTGCTCACCCTTTTTGTTCCCCAGGACCAAAAAAGAAATTTGTCTGGGTCTGATCTCCTCTTCGCGCACAGTATATCTAGTGCAGAGATACGTGTTCTGTCTTTCGCGTTGGCCTCTTCCCTTCATTCTGTCTTCTCGGACGCCCAAGTTCAACACCTCTTTCCTTTTTTTTTCCATGTCTTGTCTTGAACGCGGCAGTGTTGTGCTCTCTTACAGGCTCGGTATCGGAGGATCGGCAAGACGGTCTTAATCAGTTTGACGACCATTATTGGCTCTCGTCTCGTCTCTGATTTCCCCCACGTTCTTTCGGGACGGATTATTCGCCTCGAACAGCAGCCAGCTGCTGCTTATCCGACTACGAGAACCCTCCACATACTCAAGTTTTACGAAGCGATTTACTTTTTGGTGGGTCCACTTTGAGGCGAGCGAGGAGGAATTGGTCGAAATTGAAAGAAACTCGCTCCTTCTGCTTCATCGCCTCCCGTTCTGCCGGCACTCAGTGACGAAGCGAGGAGACGGGTCTCCGAACTAAACCCGTTGCATCACCCCCCACGCTCCCGACTGCCCTCCCAAGTCGCGAGACTGTGACATCTGAAAGCACAACAGCTCGCGCGGCCAAAACGTCACCGCCGAAGCCCCGCCGGTTGTGCCGTTTGGCTCAAACCTTCTTTATACCGTATCATTGTCGCCCTCACCCATCTCCATACTCTCCTCGTTAGACCTTTCCTCAAAGGACACATTTCCCTCTCGTCTGGGGAAAGCTTCTTCGCTGTTTAACCTTCTCCAGTTCTTGAACCAGAGGTTCGTCATTCGTTGGACCGATAGACATTTCACCCGTTTCTCACCTTTCCATTGGAACTGCAACGCTAGTACCTTACGCGTCTTTCGGAACCCTATCTTCTGTTTTTCTACTCTTTTCCCTTTGGGTTCTTTGCCTCTGGACCTTTTTTTTCCCCCTTTTATAACGTTTGGCTCTTGCCTCTTTCCTCGCCTTCGAGTGGGGGAAAGATATAATCCTTCTCACATAGAGTTGTATTTTCATTCGTCTACCACGGCTTCGTTATTGAAGCATCTCGTGGCAACCGCTGTCTCCTCATGGCGGGCACACCCCCAATCGAGCAGCGCCCTCAGATCGAGCTCAAGGCCCCAGAGGCTGCCCACACCGCTGAGTCGAGTGCCGATTCTACACCTTTTATCTCACAGCCAACGAGTGGTCCGCCCTCACCAACGGAAGGTGGTACCCGTGACCCTAATCGACCAAAGCATCGAGTTCGATTCACACCTGGAGGGGAGTCAGTCGATTCTAAAAACAACCGCTCGACATTCGAAGTCCGGAATCCTTTTGCAGAAGATGTGCAGGAGAAGAGCGCAACTCCTCCGAGCCGATCCCCTCCCGTCTCTCGCAAAAGCTCATTCCAATCACTCAGAAGCCCTCGACCTAGTTTTGGCGAACGCCTCCGTCCAACCAACTTGATCAATTCTGATCAATCAATAGACATTGTAGATTCAAAGTTGAGACGACCACAATTCTTCCGCAACAACTCCAATAACTCGGACATTGAGGATATTGTCGAAGAGAGTGATGACGAGGAGGCACTTCGCCGTGCAAATGCCAACGAGACTTCTCAGGCTTCGGCACAAGAGCGTGCCCTAAGATTGGCCTCATTAGTCGGAAGCCACTCTGCCCCTGGTTCCCGGACGCAGTCTCCTGTTCATTCGCCCGTTCTTTCACCACCACCAGCACCGACATCCGGCTTGCCCGTCCGTGTCGATGATATACCCATGATCGATCTCAACGGCCAACGATATCCTGAAGAAGACGAAGACTCTCTTAAGAAGGAACCGGTGCCCGAGCCGGCTCCAAGGCCTGCCAGGACCACTAGTGAGGCTCACAAGCTTGTCCGAGCACACACGAAGCGTGAGCCATTCCACCTGTTTCGCGTCATCTCCCAGAACAGCAATGGCGGCCCTCGTTCCGGTACGACAACGCCGACTGGTGCTCAGGATGGAGAAGGCTACGTGCCGCCCCCTCAACAATATCGCGGTGGAGTCTTGTCCTCACTTTTGAAGCTTTATAGCCCGCCCAATGGAGGCACACCAAGCACTCCAGGGACCCCGGGACATTTTCCATATCGTCATCTCCGGGCTGCTAGCAGCAGCGCTGTGAGTCTGGCCGATCATACGCCGCTCACCTCTCCGCCCCATTCGCCAAGCTCTTCTGGTGCCATGACGCCCAAGCCAAAACCGCAGAAGTGGTATTACAAGCAGAATGAGCATAAGCATTCCAGCAGCGATGTCTTTTCCCACCTTATCGGCTCATCCTCCATGCTCGCATCACCGGCTGCCTTTGCTGGTGCCGAAGCCGACACTCGAGATCAGTACAAGTTCCACACCCCGCAGCGATCCCGTGCACAACGAGGCTCCTGGGGTGCTCACGGCCGCAAGAACAAGCCTCGACTCGAAGATGAAATTAAAATCACTGTTCATATTGCAGAGATTCTCTCTCGACAACGCTATCTTCTCAAGATCTGCCGAGCTTTGATGGCTTACGGAGCGCCCACCCATCGTCTTGAAGAGTATCTGAAAATGTCTGCTCGCGTTCTCGAGATCGAAGGGCAATTTCTCTATATCCCTGGTTGCATGGTCATTTCTTTTGATGACCCGTCCACTCATACCACCGAAGTCAAACTCGTCCGCACCGCTCAAGGCGTTGACTTGGGAAAGCTGCGCGATACGCATGACGTTTACAAGGAGGTCGTTCACGACGTCATTGGTGTCGAAGAGGCTACGCAGCGTTTGGATGAGATCATGAAGCGGAAACCCAAAAATCCCAAGTGGCTGCTCATTCTCATCTACGGTCTCGCCAGCGCCTCCGTGGGTCCATTTGCCTTTGAAGCCGACTGGATCGACCTGCCAGTCATGTTCATCTTGGGCATGGTTCTTGGTGTCCTTCAACTCATTGTCGCTCCACTGTCAGACTTGTACGCGAATGTCTTTGAGATTGCCGCCGCTGTGCTCACGAGCTTTTTGGCGCGGGCATTTGGATCGATCCCTCGCGGTCCGCACGGTCGAATGTTTTGCTTCTCGGCCCTTGCGCAGTCGTCCATTGCGCTCATCTTGCCTGGGTATATGGTGCTGTGCGCCTCGCTGGAATTGCAATCCCGCAGTATCATCGCCGGCGCTGTGCGCATGGTCAACGCCATCATCTACTCGTTATTCCTGGGCTTCGGTATCACCATCGGATCAGTCATCTACGGTGCCATGGACGGGAATGCCGTGTCCCAGACGAAATGCGAGCGCTCAATGGGCAATTATTGGGGCTTCCTCTTTGTACCAATTTTCACCCTCTGTCTGCTCATCATCAACCAGGCCAAGTGGAAGCAAGCGCCAGTGATGCTCATCATTTCTTTTGCTGGCTACATGGTCAATTTTTTCTCCAGCAAACGGTTCCCGAGCAATGCACAGATCAGCCAAACCCTTGGTGCATTTACCGTCGGCGTCCTCGGCAACTTTTACTCCCGTCTCCGCCATGGTGTGGCCGCCGCGGCCTTGTTACCGGCCATTTTTGTCCAGGTGCCTTCTGGTCTCGCGGCCGGTGGAAGTCTCATCAGCGGCGTCAAACAAGCCGACCAGATTGTGCATAACACCACCACCAACACAACTGAATTGCAGACCACCTACAATACTACTGGCGTGGATGATGTCGTGTACAATGTCGGGTACTCGATGATCCAAGTCGCCATTGGTATCGCAGTTGGCCTCTCACTCAGTGCCATTCTCGTCTACCCTCTTGGAAAGAGACGAAGTGGTCTCTTTAGCTTTTAATCATGTCTGCCATCGTCCTCCACATCTTCCTGATTTTTTATCATCTCGCCACCGCACCTTTTTACACCACAATCCACTCAAGACCTTTACGAGTCCTTTCGCAGGCATGGCATTCCTTCCTTTTTTTGCACCTGTAAATGTTTTACAGGTGTTCTGATTTCTATCATCACCATAATACCCATTCCTTTGTGTTGCTTTTGTCATTCTTACTTGTATATTCTTGCACATAATTCTTTCCTTTCTCATCGTCATGGGTCCTTATAAATCATCATCGTCGTCATCCACATCAAACTCATTATAGATTTCCTCTCCTTTTTTTGGTCGTTGGCCTTTGCGCCGCACACGACCCGGGCTCTAGACTTTATACCAGCCCACCATGGCGACCTTTTTACATTTATCTTTTTTTATACATTCCCTTTTCTATTAGACTGCTAGACGGCTAGACCACTGGAGCTATACCACTCTCGATTTTGTTCTTTTTGTTTTAGATTTCAAAAAAGCATTCACTCTAGACTTAGAGATATAAAGGAAGGAAGGGAAAAGAGAAGGAGTCGATTATTTGGGAGGTTTTTTCTTTTTCTTTTTTTTTATTATAAATCATTCGGGTATTACTTTTGTGTTATTTGGGAACTTATATTGGTGCGTATGGAGATTCTTTTTGAGGGTAAGGGAAAAGGGACAGTTGGGGGTTGCATTGATTGCATTGATTGCATTGATTGCATTGATTGCATTGATTTGCATTTAGAGATATTAATCATTATACTTTCCATCTTTCATTTTTTTCATGGTCATTATCATTATCATTAATGTGTCCATTTGATCATGATTATCATTTCCATTACCCGTGTCGGTGTCATCATCATCCCACTTTGACCAAACACCTCCGTGATCATCCCAGGTATTGTTGTCACGAATGTCCATCTTCAACTTCATCTTCATCTTCATATGATCCTGATCCTGACCCTGATCCTGGTTTTGGCCTTGACCTTGACCTGGAATCCGAGGTTACGGATATCTTCAGATATTAGAATAGATATCTATGACACGCAGAATATAATACTGGACATGCTGCATTGCATGAATGATAAAGCTGTGTGTCAAGCCCGATGTATGAAGAAGAGTTATGACGAACTTTTGCACTGAGCCACGATGCTAGATGCTAAATGCTAGATGCTGGATGCAACAGGATGCGGGATGTGAAGAACGTAGCATGGGGAAAAGGGACGAGGGGAGGGAGGATGGCAATGCAGCGCGATCGGAGAATAAGAGCATTAGCAAGATATGATTTGAAGTTTTTGCAAGAAAATAGAATCAGAGAAAATAAAATCAGAGAGAATATAAATAAAAATAAACAAGTGTATTAAGCGAAATTATACGCAGCTTTTCGATTACTTTTTGCTAATGTTGTTGTTGTTGTTAAATCGAAGAGATTTTGCCGCGCCATACGCCGTGTATTTTCTTTGAAGTGTGACTTGGGCCTTCAGTTTAAGGTGAAACAAGAAGAAAAAGGAAAAAGGAAACGGCAGCGGGAGGAAGTAAGCCAAGTGAAAGGGAAAAAAGCAAGAGAGAAAGAGATGATGTGTTGAAAAGATAGAAAGCCGAGTGGCCCATGTCATAAGTAACAAAGATGCAGCAACGGGGAAGGAAAAGGAAGACGTGCAAAGATGACGAATGGGTATGTTTGAAAAGCTAAAAAGAAAAGAAAAGAAAGGAGAGGGGAAAAGAAAAAAGAAAGACAGAGAAGAAGAAGCAAATGTACGTGGCAGGAACAGAAAATTATAGACATGATGAAGAGAAGATGCAGGGAAATGGCGGAGCGAAAAGCAAAAGATGAGAGAAGCCATGATGGGAAGAGCAAAGCGCCCGAGTGATACCATGATGCCCCGCATAAACCACACGTAGATGGAGAAGAGCAAGGAAGTGTATCCGGGTATCTAGAACAGCAATGAAACTTTGATCGTTGAAGCACGGTATGTCAGAAATCGTGATAATGGTACACCTCGGAAAAGTAAACAACGCGTCCAAAGATTATTATCACTGCGCTTGTTGCTGCTCTTCGTCATCAGACTCATCGACGGGCAAGCCGTGGAGCAGACGAAGGACGCGGTTCTCATTTCTCAGCTCTGCTATGGTGCGAATTGTTTCGTTATCTGTCTCCGACGCGTGGCGGTATGCAAGGCGGACATTTTCGGCCAGGTTCCCCAAACGGCCCTGCCAATCGGCATGTTCGAGACGCAGTTGAAGATTCTCCTGACGCTCAACGGTCAATTGTTCATTGTAATGCTGATGAATGGCGATATTGCGGAGCGACTCGGTGAAACAGTGGTGGCGGACCATTTCGGTGACGCGGCCAATACCGGCTTCGTACTGCGCGAGCAAATTTGCCATTTCGTTATTCTCATTGTTGAGCGCTTCAATGTCGCGGTCTTTGGCGGCAATGCGGGTTTCTAGCTCGGCGATTTTTGCGGCGTCTGTTTTGGAGATGGCATTGTCAGGCACACACACCCGTATACACAGAGATTGGTAGATTCCATGCCATTACTTACCACTGATTTCGCCATTGACTTGCTGAATCAAAGGACTGGCATTGTCCGAAGATGCGCGGTTCTTGAGTCACAAGTGTTAGCGATAATGATCATATTTGCATAGTTGTCCAACTCACTCTCAATTCCTCAACGCGACCAACAATATGTTGTGTCTGTGTACGATTCGTCTGTAGCACGGCACTCAATTCTTGCACGGTATTCCACAAGTGGTTCAGATCCATCTGGTGTCCAGGATTGGGGGGAAACCCGCCCATTGGCGCAGCAGCTCCAGCCAAGCCATTTGCTTGCACATGCTGGGCCGGCGAAGGCGTAGCAGCTCCGCGCGTAAGCTGGTTCGGAGACATGCCCACGGCGGGAGAGTCTAAAAACGACGGAAAGTTCATAGACATGTCGGCCGGCGGAGGTCGGACGCGGCGCAGCGGCGACAAAAAGTCTTCGTCGTGCTCGTCTTGATTGATTTCGTTGCTGCGACGGCGGCCGGTACGCCTAATGGGCTCCGGCGGAGGAGGCGTCGGTGGAGTAATGGTGAATGTTGGTAAATCAAACTGTCCTGAAGGTAGGAAGCGTTGGGGCTGAGAAGCGGAAGCGGCAGCGTCACCGGCAGCACCGGAGGCGTAAGGGACAGTTGAATCAGAAACAATCAATGGGCTTGAAGCCTGCAAGTCGCGACTCTGATGGTGCTCTGAAGCAGAAGCTGGATGGGTTGGATTGACAGGGTGTAGTCGTAGAGGGTGAATCGGCAGTGGAGGCAGCGGATGTGCTTGGACCTGGGGCGTCTCGCTAAAGCTGTAAAACCCCGGGGCCGCTGCAGCGCTATCCCCTTCCTGACAGACATGGTCCGTGCCTCTTGGCCTGAGTTGATGGCATTTAGGGCACGTGGTCCGCTTGTCATCTGTTGTTGTGGTCAATGATGATGATGATGATGATTCTCCTTTCAACTTCATTCGCATCATCAAATCTCCACCATCATCAAATCCATCCCTCTCCTCCACTCCGAGTTCATATTCTTCAAGCCCTGGAAAGGGCACCGCGTCGTCCTCAGGATTGTTATCATTATCGTCGGCATGTAACGGAGCTGCTGGGCGTTGCTGACTGCTTTGAACTTCATCCATCTGCTCGAGTGGAGGAGTTTGACTAACGTCTTCGACGTGCTGGACGAAAGCCTGCTCGTCGTCTTCCATCCTAGAGACAATGTCTGGATTTGTTGAGAGCAAGAGGTAGAGTCTCTCAAGCTTTGTTGGCACTGGATAAAGCTTACTAGATTGGCAACAATAAAGAGTGGTTTAGGAACGCGCGGTTTTCTTTCAAATGAAGCCTGCACGAACTCCTGGCCAGTTTTACACGTGTGTATGTCCTTGTACACAACCTCCCTAAATAAAGGGGATGGCTCTTAGCCCGCCGAGACTTCCTTTACTGCATGAACTACGGTAGTCACTCCAGAGTCACTCTTATCTACCGTCCTTCTACTGCCATTATGCCTCAAATGTCTTAGATGCACGTGCAGTAATTAAGATGATTAGGTTTCTGAGTTACTCATCTATAAACAGACATTCTGCGCCATCTGTAAAAAGAAAAAAAAGTGCAAGCGCTGAAAATGCAACCAAACGTACTGAATCAGTCCTCTTTCCCTTTAACACTATTGCGCTCCCAAGATGCCAGCTAGTTTCTCTTCTGTGTTGGACATCTGCACTTCATCCTCTATATCGTTATTCCTTACATCTGCCAGCTTTCCTGTCACTCGTGCCATAAAGATGCGCATCTTATCCAGTTCTTTACCAAGCTCACCATCGCGTGTCACCAAGTTTGGCTGAACATTCTCGTGAGCATTTCGAAAGGGCTCGACCAGCTTCTGGAGCTGTTTATAATGCTCGAATCTCTGTCTTTGCGCTTGACGCTGTGTTGAAAGCTCAAATAATCTTTCTCGTAATTCTTGGTACCTGCTTGGGATTTCCGTCTTAGCTCAATAAATCTACCTTTTGGAAGAATCTGCTATTTGGGCTGCGTTATCGAAATGACATACCGCGCGACAGCTGCTTCATCTTCACCTTCACCAGTTGGCCATTCTTCTGGAAGCTTTTCGATCGTTCTTCGTTCACGTCAGTGGACCATGTTGCGCCAATCTCAATTGCAACTCAAGGCGACGCTTACTCTGGCTGTGCTAGATCTGCACCAAGCTCTAAACCAGACCTGTCTTGCTCATCTGCTCCCCCACTAACCGCGCCAGACTCCCAGTACAGCGCATCTATCTGCTCAGCAACATGCCTCAGTGCTTCGGAGGAGTAGGCACTTTTATTGTGCCTGCGAGCAATGGCGTTGACTGCAAAATGATATTAGTGATAATCCATTATACTATTATGTAATAGAAAAATGAAATAAAGGCAATTCAAAGGATATAGAAAACGCTTATATCTATTCCTCGGCCGGCTTGGCCCAGTTGTCTCACTTCTACTTTTGTTTTGCTTTTCGAGCCGCCCTTACGGATTGGGAATTTCCACTCTTGGAATCGAGTTGACGCAACAACAAAATTGTTGCGAATTCGGCCATAAGGAAAGCGGAAAACAATCATGCAAACTAGACTCACGCTTATGCAAAACCTCATCGACAACTTTCTCTCTCAGAGGGCCGTTCCCTTCATCTGGTGCGCGATCCCTCCAGTCCCGAGAGATCTGAAGTGGCTGACTTAAAAGCCGAACTTGCTGTCGAAGAAAAGCTTGTTTAAGGTCGACAACTGTCTCTCCGTTTCCAGACATGGATTTATCGATCAAAAACGGTTTCAGAAAAAGATCAAATAAATAAACACATTTATCACTTTATCAAGTGCGTTTCGTAGGCGGTCATTCCCATTGTAACGTTGATTCGCTTAAAGTAGAAAGTATTCAACGTCCGCAAAGTACAGGTATTATAACGAGCGAGGGACGGTGAGCGAAGAAAGGAGCTATCGCTAAGCACCTTGTACCAGCGTTTTGGTACGCTGTTGTCAAGCAGACAGCGCACCACTTGGCACGCTGTGTTCCTATTTTGCCGCCATGTGAAATTCACAGTCCAAGTTATCTGATGTCTTAGACAGTGCTAACAGGGAGAGCACGTGTCTAGCCAACCTTATGTCTCAGGGAGAAGTTGGCCCAGTTGCATAAATTGAGGATGAGATCAACCCTACAACAATCAATCCCACATTATTTGGATCAATTTTTATCATGAGGCGATAATCTACACCCACAAAGCTCCGTTCATCGTACAGGATCAGCATTACAATTATGACATAATATCGTTGCCCAAAAAAAAAAATTTTCTCCTACTTTCCCGCAAGCGATAATTCAGAGAAGCTTCTTTTACTAGTAATTTCAATCTCAATTTGCTGCTATTCAAAAGAGTGGAACGGGAAAATAAACCCTTATTAGAAATTACAAAATGCGATTAAAACATGACAGCGAACAAGTCGAAAGCATATGAGACCAATGACTGGCGTTAAGGCCAAGGTCGCGAAGAGTTTCGTGGCTGGATGCATCCCGCGTGTTGAAACCTAGACACATCCTCCTCAAGCAGACATTGCTCTAAAAGAGCTTGTGCTCCAGAGTCATGTCAGATTCCGGCTCAAGGCCCACGCATGCACGGAAGATGTTGGTCAACGCGCCACGCTGCTTGCCAAGGGCATTGACAACCGGGGTGCCGGGAGGGGTGAGAGGGGCCTGCACAACACAAGTGAGTATTATCATCCATGGAATGGAATTAGGGGCCGAATTGACGAACCTTTAGCATGTAGCTCAGAATACTGAGAACGCTGTGGAAGCCCTTGTACTCAGCAGACGAAGGGCCCTCGGGTCCATGGATTCTCCATGTGATCCGGGTCATCATCTCGGCGATGAGAACCAAGTCGATAATCAAGGGAGACGCCAAAAGCGAATCTTCACAGACATTGAAAATGCTAATGGTCTGATGACCACCCATGAAAATCTCGGCGTAATATTCATCCAAGGCACGCTTGTTGTCGCCAACAGCAGGCATGTATTTGATCACGACGGTGTGGTCTGGATGCTCATTCTCCTTGTACAGAACGGTATTGGCGGCAACCATGTCGTCAACCACATTACTCTTGGAGATTTCCTTTGAACGAAATTGGCGCTGAGAACTGAGATTTTTGCCGTCATTGTTACCCAGATGGTTGTAGCTTGCAATTGAAGTCAACTTGATGCCGGCATTGATCAGGAAATCGACGAGCGCAGACTTCATCTTGGTCTGGCCAGACTTAAAGTCATCTCCGCCAATGAATGCACCATATTTCTCGGCAAGCTGAAGCGCTCCAGGCACGAATGTATTTTGCGGAGAGCCGTTGATGAAGGGCTCGCCCTCCAAAATACAAGCGACGGCGAAAATAGTGGAAGGAGCCACCTCTTCGTGTCCGGACTTAATCGCCTTCAGGAGGTTGTCGGCGGTGTCGTTGACACCCTCAACAATGTCGGCATAACGTTCTGTGTTTGCAGTCCATTGAACAATGACTTTGTCGAGGCCATTCTTCGCTTTGAAATCGCTGTGTATCGTCAATTAGTCATGCAAAGAACATTGTTCAAATACGGCCATGAGTCTTACCGAATGTCCTTGCGAATCTGCTCAACATGCGCCCAGCATGCCTTTGAGCCCTCAACAACATTGTCGGCACGGTCTTCCTGATTGGCAGCAATGAAATCCGGATAGTAGATGCTGGGAAGAGGCTTCATGTCGGCCATTTCCTTCCTCACCAAGCTCTTCAAAGTCGGCTCCAAGACAGCCGCTCTGTCCATTGAATCCGCAAGGTTGACGCTGCTGATATCCCAACCTCCAATGACAAGATCATTGGGGTGGACCATGGGTAGAACATCATGGAAAGGAATGTTGATCTCTTGGCCGGTCTTCGCGTCGGTGCCAAGCTTGATCGTGGAACCCATGACAACTGAGCCATAGTAATTGGCCGCCTGTTTGCCCTCACGAGTATCCCAGACCAGACCTCGGCGGTTCGCAAGGATACCTGCAGTGACTGTGGTGCCATTGTTGCCGCCCCAGCCAACAAGCATCATTCCAACCTTGGGGACCTTCCTCTCCACTTTGAAGTCATAGACAGTCTCCTTGGGAGTAGCTTCGAACCCACCATCGGCACTTCGAGTAACAGAAGTTGTACGATAGGTGTATTTACTTTTGATTTCGTTCTCGGTATAGCTGACATTCGGAGACTTTACGGTAAACGACGGCTTCGGCAAGCCGCTTGACGCAACATGCTGCCGTCCATTGGCAGACATATTGTCACCTTCAGCGTGAGGAGCCATGGTAATTCAAGAAAGTACGGAAATGTAAAAAGGTATTGGATCAAGATGATGTTTAACCGTTTATTTGGTAAAAGGGCTCTCAAATGCCCCGCCCCTAGCAGAAGAACGGCGGGCTCCTGCAAAAGGGTGGTGGATCCTACGCAGTGGAAACCGTCAGCAACCCCAATTATCAACTACAAAGGTGATATTCTTCCAAGACGAAGAGGTGGGCGGGAAAGGAGTCAAGGGAATCAATTAACGAAGTTATTGGTGGCACATGTGAGCATCACCAATTACACTCATTGAAGGGTGTGACGCACGAGTTTAAGAGATTAGCAAACGTCTTGGCGGTTTAGATGATCGAGACCTTCTGCAGGCTCGATCTGGATTAACGGATAATGGAAATATTGTGTTTGGCGTCTGGCGATACAGAAATTGAAACAAGATGATTTGAGGTATCACAAACTGAAAGAAGGCGGCAGCTCTTTATACTTGCCACCTCTGTATAGTGTGCTGTACTTTACTGTAGCTCCTCTAAGCCCCGCTATGTCCTCACGCGATTAACACATGCTCTCCACATTTTTGCCCCAAAAGAGGATCGCCAGGTCCTCTCCACATACGACGGCTAGGTACTGTATGTAGGTAGGTACCTCAGGGACAGTTCTCACCAATCCCTCACTGAACGGTACTTGGAAAACCTCGCTAATCCCAAGTAAAGAGCTTACTACCTCGCTTCTTCCTCGGTCACATCGGAGTTGTTCATTTCCGACTGTTAGCCAAAGTACCAGCCCCAAAAGACCGCGTCAGTCGGCAGCCACAGGAGCGGTCTATCAGCAAATGGACGTGATTATTTTCTCACCAACCCTCTTACGGCTTGACCTGAAAGGTTTCTAGCTTCCCGACAGTCTCTCAGTGGGTCAGCTTAGAGACGGTACTGGGAACTCGACCAAGTCGTTTTCGCGACACAGCGAAAGCATCTTCCGGCCGCTTAATGCAATAGAAGAATAGAGATGGGTCTAGAAGGAATCGTTGGTCGTCTGTGAGTAGTGTGACCCTGTTCAAAAATGGTTGGCTATGTCCAATGGGTGGGTGCTTCACGGTATGCAACACGAGCTTCTTGCATATCTTTCAGTGGCACAGTTATCAATTGAGCCGAACACAATTGCACTTGTCCACAATAATGAGAGGAAACCCACTCGAGGTAAGAGTCATGATTTCTACAGCCGATGAACCAGGTATATGCCACAAGCAGCTACTTAAGGCACTGTATTCGAGTCTGCCAGCCTACAGCATCAGTATAAGGTATCGCTGCAGCTATTTCTGAAATGGTTAGAGGCCGTCCTAATAGCGCAAATACACGTTCAGCATGCAGTTGGCGAAAACGACTCGAAAGAGCGGTCAACTGCGGCACTTCACTTGCCAATCATGCCGACTAGAGTGAAAATGGCAACTGGTCTAATCAACAGTTCCTGAGGGCACAAGATGGTCTGGTTTCACTGCGGGGGAATTGCGACATCAACAGACCACTGAAGTAGATACAGCTATCTCAGCGACAACCAGTTGAATGAATTGATCCAATGCGTTTTGATTCCTGCCAGTGTGAAGAAGGGAGAGCCGGGAGTCAACTTGCCACAGACCTTTTCTATGGCTCCATGGATGCGAAGTTGAACGTTTCTGGAGGAAACTGTTTAATCGAACTTACGAGAAGAAGGACGGGTGATAAAGATGCAATTAAATCGATTTTCGTCATGAAAGAAAGATTGCCATCTACAATCCAGTATACATTTTGACGCGTCAACAAGACTCGAGAAAACAGGAAACAACAGCATCACCCTGCAAGTTATCTTGACAGATCAGAGTGCCCATCACGGCAGTCGGGTATGCCACTGAAGTATCGTGCCGTGCCCTTGGCCGAAAGGCGAGCTATTTACAAGAGTTAATCTCCGAGAATTTATGAAGATGTGCATCATTTGGACTCGAAAGGGATTGGAAGCCGTCAATCAGGGGATAGTGAATGGCGACGGGCTACTTTTGGTTGGCACGAGGACCCGGGTGCCGCACTGCATTCGCAATTTGGTCCCTGATTGGCTTCTAACCGTAGCCCAGCGGCAAAAGCGACCCCTGAGCAATCAATGACGGTGATTTTGGTGGAGTTCGGCAGGTTGATTGCGACCCTTTAGGCCGTGTGAAACCCCTAAACTTAACCGTTTGTGGCACCCACTACAATAAATGGCACGAGCTGTCAGATCCACCTTCACACCTGAGAAGGCAACACGCATGGCTTTTTGCAAGCCACGGCGCTCAACGGCGCTTCCTACAAGCATGCGCTGCATGAGAAGCATCGCATGTCTCAAAGGGTTTTCAATCGAAACAAAATGCATTCAACTCGCTCGACCATCTTTCTTGCCAAAGTCGCCGAAAAGGAGCGACACAATGGCTACTTTGGAAAGGTTGCGTCAAAGAGGATGGAAATCAACCCAAATTTGAACCCGTCCCCAGTGTTCGTCCGATTTGGGACCACCCTGGTGCTTTAGCCATCTCTACGACTTTTATGATTTGCTCATTCCCCTTGGCAATGAGGGTCGCCCCGAGCGTAGCGAGCTGCTACTTGCTACAATTCTCTCCATCCATTCTTCCTGGTCGCACTTTGCACCAGGGGTATGGTTTCCAACGCACAGTGTGAACGGGCATTTGTCCTTTCGTTCGCACGGCCCTGACATGATGAGTGATTGACCCTTTTCTTTCCCGGTGGAGCAGTCCATCTTATGACCTGAGACAATGGACCGCAATAACATTGAGTGATACGCGACCAAACTCGCCCCGGACTTGACCCCGGGCTTTCTGTTGTCCCCCGTTTCTTTGCTCGTTCGTGCTTCATTCTGTCAATTCCACCGCAGACGTTTCATCCTTCCTGTGCTACTCTTTCGCACCGTCTGGCGTTCTTGAGCTCTCCAATCTCTGCTTTCCATCTTCTCTCGTAGCAGAAATCCGGACAGAACTGGCATCGTCGCGGATATTGTAACACGCACCCACCACAAGAGTTACCAGAAGCCCAGTCGCGTTGGAGATGGCGGCGGTATCAAGGCCATCACTTTTCCTCCCGACAATCAAATGCTCGAGCTGCAATGCAGAGCTCGAAATCTCCGCCATGGGGGACCATGTGTGTTCCGTTGAACCGAAACCCACGATGGGTACGATACCAGAGTCGACAAAAAGAGACACCAGTTTCACCAACTTCATGGACCATCCATTAACACGTAGTTTACAGAATGGTCACAGTCGGGAGCCATCAAGCAATGGAAGTGTAATGTCCGGTCGCCCAGTGTCACCGGGTCCGGTGAAGGCCACAAGAATGATGCCACCACGGATCGACCCTTCTGTCGCGAGTATGTCTGAACAAAAGAATAATCCACTGAATCGAGACTCTGACTTGCTCCCAGACCGACAATTTATCCGGCACAATGACGTCGGCTCAGTGAGCAGTGCAGCGAGTTTCCGAGCAAAATCACCGGCGCCTTCCCACGCTGGGACAAAATCTCAATATCGGATCCCACCTCGGAGCGCAACCTCTCCTCTACCAAGACCGGTCAGTCCGGCTTCTCCAGAATTGCTCAGTTTTGACTGCGCATTTCCGCCCTTCCCAACGTCGAAGCAGAAGAATGCAACACATACAAGCGTCCGATCATGCAGGGAGGGTAGCATGCTGCGGACAAATCATAAACCCGACTACAGCTTTGCGCCAGTGAGCCCTATCTCGACAGGCGGTGACAGTGTCATGAAGCGGATGAACACAATTGCACCTGGACCTTTCGATGTGCGGCAACGAAACGGCAGCTTCGACCTCCGCGCTTCAACCAACGATCAGAATGCTCTGATGCGGCCAACGACCCCCAGTTCCAGCGCCAGCCTTGATCGACCTCATTCTGCACGACCGTCCACGGCTAACACCGATACATCTGGGGCTTCAAGCGAGGATAAGCAACAGACATCTCCTACCGGAAAGTCTCGTCCGGGCCCTACCAAAGTTCCACCCCCGAGGCCTGCGCGTGGTGATGGCCTGTTTGGCACACCAGACGACTCATCCATTGCCGGGGCCATCCCAAGCCTTGACATGTTTCGGTTTGAAACCCGATCGCAAACTTTTCCTGTCAGAGCGGCGGAGCAGAATAAATCTTTATCCCCTGCTCATGACATCAACCGACGGCCGTCCGAACCGCTTCTGTCGTCAGCCACGACTCGGCCTGCCTTAACGGCATCAATGCGAGCAAATACAGACACAGGAGTGGACCTCCTGGTAGACTCGCAGATGGGAAAGCCTCAAGAGCGGAGGTCTATGATGAAGGGGCTGAAGATAACGCCTGTAGCTCCAAACCCCCGCGCTGTTCAAAATGAAGCGACGAAACTAGCAAGTGCACCGCCGGTGTTGGTCACCGATTTTGCAAAGGAGTTTTCCAATGGAAATCCGTATCATGCACCCTCGGACTCCATGTCATCTAACGATTCAAGCTATGAGTCTGACTCCCGAACGGGTAGCTCAGAGTCTACACCGTTGTCCGAAACCTCCAGTCAATTCAGCAAGCAATTACCTGGAGTGAGTCCTGTCGATGTCAAGAAATCTCAAGATCCAGCACCAATGGAGGAAGCGAAAGAAGCTCAACTGGTCAAGGATGCGGAAGCGGCGGAAGCAGCAGAAGACGTAAAAGCACTGTCCCCCGCACGCGTTCCTTTCTCCCCCCAGCCTCCAGAGTCACCAATGGACCCAGCAATGCAGGGAGGTCGATTCGTATCACCGTCAACTTCCAAAACAGCACATTCGGAATCTGTCGGCAACACTCCTCGCCTTGAAAAGCCTCCCGTTGCCAAGAAAAATAAGGGACTTTGTCGCGGCTGCGGAACCATGATCCAAGGCAAATCTGTCAGTTCTGCTGACGGGAGATTGACCGGTCGATACCATAAGCGCTGTTAGTTACGCATTCTGATTATAAGTGTCCCTAAGTTGCTGACGTCTTGTAACTAGGCTTCGTTTGCCAGACTTGCAAAGAACCCTTCCAGACGGCCGACTTTTACGTCATCAACAACCAGCCGTACTGTGAGACCCACTACCATCAGCTTAACAATTCCGTCTGCCAAAGGTGCAATCGAGGTATCGAAGGAGAATATTTGGAAACGGAAGCATCACAAAAATTTCACTCTGCCTGTTTCACTTGCAACGTAAGTCGTCCTACGAGACCTTGGAAGAACAATCACAACAGTTTTCTGACAGCTCAACTATAGGAATGTCGAACGGTCCTTCGTGACGGATATTTTGAAATGGGCGGCAAATTCTATTGCGAGCGTCATGCCACTCTTCAACGAAACTTCCTCGGCCCAGGCCGCAAGCATCCCGAACGGCGCACAACGCGACTTATGGTGATGTGAAACGACACCGACCCTTTGGACTTTTTTTTTTTCTTTCTTCTCAAACTTCTTCTTGTTTCTGCGGAAACTATATTGTATACCCAATTGACGACTGGCGTTACCTGTCTTGGTTAAATCTACTTACTCTGCGCATTCATACTTGCAAGGCTTATTCTCGGTTTTGCATATACCCGTGCATATACTCGTTTATGCATTTACAAGGCGCTCTGCGTAATTTCTAATGTCTAATTTTCGATTTCATGTCTGACGGAAAACGCGAATTTTTACGCTCGTTGAAAAAAAAAAAAAAAAAGGAGTCTTACCAGTGTGGCCACCGTTTGACTTCTGAAGCAGGATATCGCAGCGTCAATCAGTGGCAAGGCAGAGCAACGCACAAAATGGATAATTACATAGCTTAATGGCGAGATAAATACCATCAGTAATATTTAGAGAAGGGACTTTTCAATGAAAAAGGTATCCAATTGCTATGTCGGGCATTTTGAAGCATCTGGGGAAATTTCTCGCCGATATTCGAGCACAAAAGAGGACATACCACCAAGATTCGTGACGCTCTTGACAAATGTCATTCTGCTAACACTCTAGTGTCTGAAATGTGCAAGTATCATATGAGAGCTCGAGCAGCTTAGACGACAGCGGAATTAGTTCACATCCGGCCAAACCAAGATCTCCAAGCGGCATTTGCTTTATATAACAGGGCATGGTCTGCGATTATCGTTTACTGAGCGGCAAGCACAGCCCGTATGGATGTTCGTGCGGATATCTCCTGGAGATTGCCGGGATATACATCATCGTTGGAATGATGCATCTATAGAAAAGGACAGAATCCACTCCGGTATAAAATGGTGGGAAGCAATGATAGATTTGCACTTATGCTTGTATCTTAATATATTATTTTGCCGAAGCTGGGAATACTATCTAATATACGGTGCGTGAAAGACTGTGCGAAATTCCTTGTTTCAAAACGTATTGGCCAGGCTTCTGATGCATTCAGTCAACGAGTACTGAATGTTACAACTGGTGCATGCTTCTTGAATATCGGAAGCCAAGGGATAGGGTAGCTATAAATTTCCCCCAGTTTCTATCAAAGTTATGCATTGTTGGAGTTTCAGCTTTCGGGACGTGACTTGAGGTGGAGACTATTCCCCATTTGGACAGACCCATCCCTTGCCGAGAGATCGTCCGTTACTACTTGAGCCATGTGAAGTCGAGCAAGAATGTACAGCCAAGTTTATCCTTAATTTCACTTTGTCTTTTGTTTCATCTTCGAGAACTCAACTAATTTTCTGTCCGTAAGTCACCTTAAATAAATTATGGACAGAGCTGGGTACGAGAGGATCTATCGTCTGCTCATCTTTGGCCCCCTGTTAACTATATTATACTCTTTTTGGCCTGATGATCACAGCCGATCCAGTAGGAGACAAACATTGGTGCAAGGTCAAGTCGTGACCAATCGTAAGGCGCGAAGAAGCCACTGGGCGCCACAAGCACACCGAACTCTGTTCACGAGCTGCAGTCCTTTCAGGGCCATGCCAAGAGGCTTTTGCTCTCCGTCTTCCCTTGGGAACATTACTGGCTGCATATCATTCGCTGCGACTTCTGGCGCTGACCTTTCCTAATATCGCTCGGCACAAGATGTGAAAGAATACAGCAGGGGGAACTCTTTTTTAAGGCATCAAGCCGGCAGCCCCATGCCCATCTTCCCACGCTCCGAGCGCTCCCTCCCGTCCATTACTAGCGGTGGCTCGCAGGGCAGTCGGGATTGGTATGTACTCTTACCCGAATTCTGGTAGATATTCACGCTGTCGGCCTCGTATTCGGTACTTTGAATTGGCATTCTGCTAGGCTGTTAGCTTCAAAGAGTACGGAGTAGAACGCACAGAGCGAAGAGGTTCAGGCCGATGCCCCCGACTAAAGTCACTTCCATTCCCGTCACCCAAAAAAATCCTCTACTGTGTACAAAGTACGAGTACTCTCTCCCTCTCACGCGCACCCACACGCTCCTCCTACTAACTACTACAACACGCCTTTCTCTTCTCACCTCTCGCTACCTCTCCAACGCACAAGGAGACTCTTTACTCTTCTCAACTCTCCCTTCTCCTTCCCCCCCATCCCCGTATATTCCCCCCCTTCGCCCATCGTCACTTTCGCCATCATCACTCATCTTCTATCCTCCCCTTCTTCCTCTGCCTCTGCATCCTTCCTTCTTTGTCCAATTACTTCTTCTTCCTTTTCTTATTGCCTGGGTTGCATCTGATATCCACTTGTTCCAAATTTCTCTCCGAAAGAGCGTGTGCCGTCCTGCGAGGAACCTAGCCTTTTGCCCTTGCTCGCTTGAACAAAAGGAAGTCCCCACGCGCTTTCCGCCTCATTCCGCTACTACGATACAGCCAACTGCTTCTGCTGCTGGCCTGTTCCTTCAACCTTCGTCCGCCTGGCAAATCTTCTTCTGTCGCTCCTTGTCTGTGGTTTGCAGTGCAGAACACAACAGCTAAAAGCGTCTCTTTCCTGCCTTGAGAATAAACCCTCAAGCCGGATCTTCGTCGATCTCTTTATTTTAATTCTCCGCTATCAACCCTTTTGTAATTCACTTATTAGAAAAGCCTCGCAACGAGAAAGGGGCTTAATCTCGAATTCACTACTCGAGTGCCATCGTTATTCACAGCTCCGTTTCACGAGCAAGCATCACCTTCAGCTTTGACTACGACCATCGATCGCTATTGTCAAGCATCTTTCGGCACAAACATACCTCGCATTCGATCGATATCTTCCATCGACGCGTTTAATCTTCTAATCATCGGCGTCATCTTCGTTTCCACTTTTCTTGCTGCCGACTCGCCATTTCCGGTTGCCAAGTGGTCTTTGCCCATATTTGACTCTTACAAACGGCTTCTCTTACTGTTGCCCTTGTCTGTCTGCTACCAGCTTTGAGCTCTGGCAAGGTCTTAGTTGATTTTTTCTCTTTACCAGTCCCTTGGTTTCGCCATTGCTCGCTTTCTTTGAGCCTACATTTGGTGGTCTTGTTTTACACTTCGTTATCTTCAACACATTCTTTTAAGAATAATGGACGCTGGCGGTCTTGCCCAGATGACCTACAACAACTTTCCTTCCAACGGCGGCCTCGGCGTGCCTGGCTCCGGCTTCGCCTCCCGCGGAAAAGGCGCTCATATCAAGCGTCTTAGTGTCGCACCTCCGAGGGCCTCTATGGTTGATGAGGACCGTTCTCATGTGGCGCCGACTCCTCGAACCAGTCGCTCTCACTTGCTTGCGGGGCTTCGAACTGCGCCAAAGTCGCCCATGAACGTGCCTTCCTCGGCTCCCTATGCTCAGACTGAGCACCGCGGTGGTCTGGACAATAGCAGATATGCCGAGCGAGGAGGACTTCGTTCGGGTCGTGGATACCCCCAAACTGCCATTGGGTCGAATTTTCCAGCCCACGAGGATAACTTCGAGTCCAATCAACAGCTCTATTCCCTGCCAGAGCAAATTCTTGCGCCGCCCGCTCTGCCTGCCAACATCGACATTGACGGCGAACAAATGGACCCGAACCTCTACGCTGAATTGGTTGCCACGAACCTTTACCTCTCCCAGCAGCAACAGCGGCTGCAGCAGCAGCTCATCAATGTCACTGCGGCTGCCCAGCAGTTTCAGGGGCTGAGCCTCGGGAACAGCCTGGGCCTGGCTCAGCCGCAGGTGCAACAGCAGTTTGCTGGTGTAGCTGGCTTGCCCAGTATGAGCTTCTACAATCAGCAGCTGCAAAATGGTGTGCAACCTGTTGTCCAGGAGGTGCCCGGACAGCCAGGGCTATATTCCGTCTATAACCCCATGACCGGTCAACATGGAATCTTTGTCGACTCTAGCGCTCAACAACAACAACAACAACAACAACAACAACAACAACCACAACCACAACCACAACCACAGCAGCAGCAGCAGCAGCCGCCCCAACAGCCGCCGCTCCCCACTCGGGCTTCTGCCTATGGCGCTCAGGTCAACAGGGAGTTTAATCAGTCCCCTCTACGGACCGAGTCTCCTTCCTTCCGAGCTCAGGTGTCGTCTCCTTCACCCCAACCCAGTATTTCCGCTATTGGAAGTGCTCGAAGCCTATCTCCACCAAAGCCAAGCGAGTCTCCTGTGCATGACGTTGCGCCTCTTCCACCTCCGTCCGCCAACGCCTTCCGCCGTGGCCACAAAAAAGCATCCTCCTCCATGGCATTTCCTGGACAGTCGATCTCTTCAGCAAACGCCGAGGGTACAAGGAGCGCTGGCCCCAAGTCTGCTGGGTTTCCTCAGACCCCCTTGAGTGGTACTTTTGGCCCCGGTCAAGGCCGTGCCGGCGAGCATCCGGTCCGCCAACCCCGAGGACCGCCTCCGCTTGAGGAGTTGGCTGCAAAGCCCACAACCAAGCATGAAGGTAGCAAGAACTTTGCGACTCGCCAACGACGTCGAGCTGTTCATAGCCTGGTGCGAGCTGGCATTGAACGCCGTGGCGTTCGTGGCTCAGGTTCCATTGGTAGTGCCGGAAGCATGACACCAGTCAGTGAAAACGATGTCACATTTTCGCCAACGTCCGATAATGATTCCGAGAGCGTCGGCAGTGGATGTCTCTCAGGTAAACCCAGCATTGGCAGTCTTCGTGCCGCTGCAAATGGTGCTATCGGATCGGAGCGAAAAGAGATGAAGGAGCGCTCCCGCGAAAGAAATTCCGCCGATAGCAGTCTGAGTGCCCGCAGCATCAGCAGCGACGAAAGCTCCGGTTTGGGCGCCAGATTGAATGATGTTAAAAATGATGGACCACATGTTTCCCCTGCTGGAAGGCGTAGGGCTCCGATGCTCGTTCTTACTACCGCCGAGAAGAGAAAAGGCTCCATGTTCTGAGAACACCGGAGCCAAGCGTTGCGTCTGGTAGGCAGATCTCTGTTCTAGTTTACATATTACTAGCAAACTGGAGAAGCCGCCCCCGCTCTTGTTCCTCTTATATGAGCCTCTTAAAGGATGTGGGACAGGCGCCCACTGTACCTTTTCGACCTCATCTCGATTTTCCGTCTTAATTTTTCGTTGCTCAATCCATGATGGCCGATCACGACAAGTTCAATTTTTCTAGTTTCCTCACTCTTATTCGTTGTATGCATCTTTTTGTTCTACGCCGATGTCGTTCGTAGGACGTCAACTTCCACCGTTCATTGAGAGTATCTGCGATTTGCGATTACGCTCATCCCGAGGGCTCGGCATATAGGGTATGTCATGGCGCCTGTGGATGCAATTCGGCCTTGTCGTCATTCTCATCACGAAAGCTTGTCTGTAAATGTGTTGAAGAGGGGGATAGTATTCGAATCGACCTCCTTTCTCGCCTGTTCTTCTTTGAAGGTGTTTTGGAGATTCGTTCGTCTCGATGACCGTGGTACCAAGCACTGAAATAAGGAAATGGTCGGGAGATGATCTATGGTGGACATTGTCTGAGATATAGGGCATGAAAGAAACTTCGTTTAATTTATCTTCCCAAGTCTGCAAATCTTTTAATTCGCTTTCGAGCATCCTCTCCTTCAAGACCCTCGATGAATAGCTATCAATGGCTGAGAAAACATATTTGAAATAAAATCATATTGTCTCGTAGTTCGCGCTGTTAAATTTGCCATCACTTTTCTTCTAACGTTATTGTCATGGCTATTTAAAACTGGCATTAAAATTGCTCCCCTCTACGTGCTTTCAATTCCGATTGCAAAATCGAAGAAAATTTAAATTTTTCATTGTCAGCTATCAGCATTTTAATGGGCTGAAGTTCATCTGTCGCTGGGGACAAAAGCACTGGACGTCTGTTCCTGGCTGCCATCCCCACCGCAATGACGGCCCTAAACCGTACCCGAACGCGGGTTGGCCCAGGATGAAGCCACGCATCAACCGACTCCAGGGTCTGGACATCTAGCGGAATCGCCCCAAACAACCATTGCAACTACATCGCATTACGGATTAGAATTCGATCATCATGGACCCTTTCTCTGCAGAAGGAGGTAAGTCTGCAGTGAATTATTGCTGCACTGCCTTAGTCGCTATTCTTGGATCAGTCCAGCCCTGGGGGAAAACCCACCCAGCCAAAGCGCATCGTATGCGCTTGCGTACATACTCATACGTATCCAGCCACAGTTCGAAAGCGCGGAGACCAGGAGCTACAAATGAGATGGATTGCACTTTGAAAATGAAGGCTAATTAGTTCCTCTCTCCAGAATTGCTTAATATTCACAATGCCTTTCATCAGGGCCAGTATCAAGCCGTCATCGACTTCGACACCAGCTCTCTCTCTCCCGAGAACGCACTGGCCGCTCGAGTCCTACAGCTTCGCGCACAAATTGCCCTTGGACATGCAGAAGATGTTCTTGCAGATATAGAGGGTGAAGATGATGAGGCCGATCTTGCTGCCGTCAAAGTCGTGGCACAGTACGCTGCTGGCGATCACGCAGGAGCTGTCTCGGCCGCCCAACAGCTGGCTGCTTCATCAGCCGACAATGCCACTGTTCAAGTTCTTGCTGGTACTGTTTTGCAGGCGGCTGGAAAGACCGACGAGGCGCTGGCGCTTCTGGCAAAACATCAGGGGAGCCTTGAAGCGTACGTATCCTTACGCTCTCGTTCAGATTGAAATAAGCTATCAACAAGCTGTGCGGGGAAAGCTCGAATTTTTAAATGTTTATTACATTGGAAAGGAAGCTAATGAGTACAAAATGATAGCGTTGCCTTGACTGTTCAAATCCACCTTCAGCAAAACCGGACCGACCTCGCCGTTAAGGAGGTGACAGCGGCAAAGAGATGGGCTCAGGATAGTTTGCTTGTAAATTTGGCAGAGTCCTGGGTTGGTTTGAGAGTCGTACGTTTCACCCCGATATTTCATGTCTACTGTGAACGCAAGACATTTATTGACAAATTCTTGCCGATGGTTTAGGGAGGAGACAAATACCAGCAGTCATTCTACATTTTTGAGGAGCTGGCTCAGGCGCCTTCGAGTTCCGCCGTCAAGAGTCTGGTCGGCCAAGCCGTGGCTGAGTTGCACTTGGGTCGGCTGCCTGAAGCCGAAGCTGCTCTGCAACAAGCTATTGAGAGGGAGCCTGACAATGCGGAAGTAATTGCCAACACTGTGGTGCTCTCGGCTATCCTAGGAAAGAGCGTGGAAGAACCATTGTCGTAAGTCTACGATTGTCGTCATCCAAGTCTTCAAATATTCGAATGGTGGATTAATTTCAATATAGGTCACTTCAGTCTGCAGCGCCCGAGCACCCGCTTCTGCAAGACATTCAGGAAAAGAGCGAGCTGTTCGACAAAGCTGCAGCAAAGTATACCCCCAAAGTTTCATCATAAAGTACCATATATTAGGGAATCATGCACTACACGCACACATGGGAGATCCTCGCGCATGGCAAAAGTAATAAATTATTAGATATGTGACAGGTATCAAGTGTTCATTTGGGAGAGGGAGTCAAGGGCGCCGGATGGAATGATGATGTGGCTGTGCGTGAAAATGATGCGCGTGATCCCATATGATTATACAGTCGTACAGAATGGTTGATAGGTTTCATGGCTTTCCGGTCCTACCGTTGGCGACTGATGGTAGCACGAGCCGTTAAATACAGGCAAAGAGGATTGGTCAGTAGCCACGATGACGGTCAAGCTGTTCGGATTTCGCAGTACAATGTTAAGGAACTCCCGGGACAAGATATGAAAATGGCATCGCAAAGTTCTGTGCATCCCCCATGTGGTGCTACGACGATTGGTAGCTTTGAAGAGAATAAGAAAAGCAAATAAGATGGAAAAGATAGGAATGAGCTGAGATCATACTCAAATTTGTTTGGTTGTTGAAAATTCAAGACGTGAAGGTAGGAGCATGGGCATCGTATTGCTTGGTTCCGGTGGAAAGTCCGGCAAGCGGTACACTAAAGTACAACGCCTTACTGTTAGCAGTGTGGGATCAGTGTCTTAGCTGGCGCGTCAACTGTCCTAAGACTCTGTCATCGCGGATCTTTATGAACCCCCAGCCCATTGCTGCAACATTCTGGCCGTAGGTCTCAGCACGTCCACGCTCTGCTAATTGAAAGCGAACTGGATGAAGAAAGCGTCTCCACGACTTATGGAGAGTGCCGGGGTCTCCTCCACTTCCGATACTACTTGGTCCGCGAAAATGTCTCCCCACAGAGATAAACTACGGGAGAAAGAAAATTAAAAATCGACTAACAACAAATTTCCATGGCACACGCCTTTCAGGGGGATTAAACGGTTTACAAATTATGAGGTAATGCACGATACATCCCAGTCTTTCCTTTGTTGTCCCTTCGTGCTTGCATCTCTACGGATAGTTGCTTTGGTCAGGAAATGCAGACGGTCAAACGTATGACACGGCGGCGTATTGGACGTTTGAACAAGTCTCCCTTCGTGGCTGAAAACCCGCATTGCAGTAACGGCAAAACCAACCGGAAAATGCTGCCACCTGTTAATAACCAAGGAAACTGAGCTCAAAGGAATGGAATCTGAGTCTGGCTAGTGATTGCGCATGAGTGCTCACCGCCCGAAACAAAAAAAGAGAAAGCCACCATGCCGGCCAGACCGGTTGCAATCTGTGGGTGTGGTTGCCACCGGTGCATGATGTGATTCGCACGGCTATTACTATTATACTTGAGCGCCAATCATACATGACCAAAAGAAGCCCATGCTTGGGGCTATCGGCTCCAAGGCGTGGGATTTCAACAAGACCGGCGTCCTGTGTCCCTGATTGTCATAACTTTCGGGAAATAAGATGGAGGGGCAGTTGGGGCAATTACTTCATCGAAGCGATAAGTCGCCTAAGAAGGAAACCCCGCTCTGGGGTTGTGATGGAACTACCCACTCGCCATGGGGTCTCCATGCCGGGGGAGAACCAAGCATTTTGACCATTCAAGCGGCTTTGGCCCCAGCCCACACACACACATCATTTCTCCAAAAAAGGTCCCTTGAGAATATCATTAACACCCAGGGGTTTAGCGTGTCATCTTACTCGAAACTTATTGCGAATTTTTTTCGCTTGACCCATTTGTCTTTGGGAGGCAACATGACGTTGCCGTTCAAACTCGGGTTTGTCGCTCTGCCGCCGCCCTCCCACGCCGCCTCAAGGCATCCCCGGGACCAATCATGGCCGCACGAGCGCATGAGATGGGCCTGGCCATCTTCGCGCTATTAGTCTTTGGGGGCTGTCATCTTTTGCTCGGACTTAATCCCGCTGGTGAGAACATCGTGAAATCACTCCGTCCCTTTTAGTCTCGGTTTCTGTGTGTTTCCCCAGACTATGACATGGCTCTCCCTTTGCCGCCTCCCTGATATAAGAAATGGCCCACGTCGCATATTCTTTTGAGTTTGTCTACCAATTTCAACAATATCTCTTTGCTTTCCACTATTTATTACTGACCTTTTCCGGATATTCCGGGATTTGACCACGTGCTCTGACCCTCTTTGTACACTTAATTTATTTACTCTGATCTAATATCGTGACCCTATCATGGCTGTCTCTACTGCCAAGGCCCCTTCGATCCCTAACGGGGTCATTGGTGCCAACCCTGAAAACCTGAAGGCGCCTAAAGTCAGTTATGGCGTCCCCACAGAAAATATTGGCACCAAGAGAAAGATTATTTGCTTTTCTGGTAGGCCATCCTTGTCATCTTCCCAGAAAAAAAAAAATGTAACAAGCTGACCTAAATCATCCAATTATAAAGATTTCGATGGCACCATTTTCATGCAGGATACTGGCCACGTCCTTTTCGACGCACATGGTTGTGGCGCTGAACGCCGTGAACTTCTCGAACAACAAATCAAGTCTGGCGAACGATCATTCAAGGATGTCTCCGAGGAAATGTGGGGATCACTCAAGGTCCCATTTGACGACGGCTTTGATGTCATGAAGCAAACGCTTGAAATCGACCGTGACTTCAAACAATTCCACGAGTTTTGCATCAACAACGATATCCCCTTCAATGTTATCTCGGCCGGTCTCAAGCCTGTTTTGAGGAGGGTCCTCGATCAATTTCTTGGGGAGACTCTGGTACGTTTCTTCGTGTCGTGCTACTCTCACTCCGGCTAGCAGATCGAGTAAATCTTTTGCTAATATCCATTACTCTTCTAGTCGTCCCAAATTGACATTGTTGCCAATGATGCGCAAATCAGTGAAGACGGCAGCGAGTGGAAACCCATCTGGCGCCACGAGTCGGAGCTAGGGCATGATAAGGCCCTTTCCATTGCAGAATACCGTGATGCTGCCTCGCTTGAAAGTGAAGATGGCACCATTCCCATGATTGTCTTTATCGGCGACGGTCTTTCTGACTTGCCGGCGGCTCGGCATGCTGATGTGCTCTTCGCTCGTAAAGGTCTTCGTCTGGAAGAGTACTGCATCGAGCATAAAATTGCGTATATTCCGTTTGAAACTTTTGCCGACATTCAGCGAGAGATTACCAAGATTATGAAAAAGGACGAAGAAAAGACCCACGGCAAGGGCATGCCTACCAATTACAACCCCAGAGCCAACCTCTGGAGAAGAATCTCGAGCAAGAACCAGGTACGTTGTCCCCCTTTGAGCTCCCCCTTACTCTTAATGATTATTGTTATTTTTTTCCTTTCCTTAAGCCAATCTTTCTTTCTTTTCTCTTTGCTTCTTATTGGGTTTCCCACCATACATCTTGTTATCAAATTCAACTGGTTAGCTAACAAAAGCGACATATAGATTCCCAAGTATATCGCCCAAACCCCAAAGGAGGATCGTATGTTCCTCTGGCCCGAGACTTTCTCGGAGCTCAAGCAAATGGAAGCTCTTCATGCGCAGTAGGACGCCCCAACTATGGAAGGTATTTCCCTCTATACTTGCCCTTAATTAGCTCTTTTATCCTCTTTTATGGGCCATTGTTGGGCCCTGTCATGACCATATTCTTTCACGTCATGGTTTTGTTCACTGGAAAAGCATCATATCCGTCTGCAGGTTTACGCTTTTGCATGGAGACTTCACACGAGGCTTTATAATTCAAGCATATTTGTTGGCCTCATTGGGTGGAGTCTGGTGTCACTTGTCTTATCACATTGTATTAGTAGACACGATAGGATTATGTCAGTCATTCAAGTATTATTTTTTACATGGCAGTACCCCGTAATACTCGAGCCAATTAGCAATCCATTACAGAAAAGGAAAAAAAATCTGTTTGATCTTACGAGTCGATTCTAGGCCTTCGCTCGGACTTTCCTCTGTTGTTTAACGTGCCAACATCCGGGTCGGAAACTCGTTATCTCCGTCAACAGAGTACGGTAGAGCAAAAGGGTTTCGTCATTCCTCCACGGCCGAGGCGGGCTATCCTTTACATACAGATCCGATCACGTTACGTGATATTTTTGGTAACATATTCGTATATGACCAAAGCGAAGAATAGTATTCGGGTCAACGGTTTGCCCGATTGTTATGTCCACTGAATAAGCAATGGCTCTCACGATTCAAGCGGACAAACAAGAATTGCTTGCTCGTGTCCTTGAGACACAAGATACAAGCCCTTGTTCGCTCTCGAAGAAGACAAAACTTGATTACCTGTAAATATGCTAAAAACACTACTCTACGGACACGACTCGGCCGAGGCATGCATGAGGCTACCCAAATCGAAGCTTGGCGATGATATGATTGCATTGCCGAGCGGAAAAATCTAGAGATTATGCTACTTGCCTGCATGAGGATCTCTGCATGGGAAGGATAGAAATTTAAAACGGGTAGATGAATGGCAAGCATATCAACGGCCCTGAGAAAATTGTGAAAATCAATCGAAGTTTCTCGGTTGTGCACGTTTAAACACTTGCGACCGAAGGGAAGGGTGCGGCAGAAAGAGCAGATAGCTTGGCTAGCTCAAAACCATATCTTGGAAAGCTGCACTGTAGTGCAATACTTGTACCATTGCGATCTTACTAGGAAAGCCTTTCAAGGCTTAAGTTGAATCTATGTTAACTATCCTATTGATTGTGCATTGATACAGTTATAACTTAATTCAGCCAAGCGAGAGGGAGTTTTCTTCTCATGCACCCCCTTTGGAGATCAAGGCATCGAAAATCTCTTGATCTGAGAAATTTTGGGGTCGTAAGGGGGGCTGAGGCCAAGCCTTTCTTGGTTCGCGGTTCGACGGTGGTTTGCTTGTGCTGGTGGAGTGCTCGGCCCGCTTTGGGTCGGGAATTCCATAAGAAGAGCCAGATTGGTCTTATTTCTCTCTTTGGCCCGCAACGCTCAGCAGTCCGACCTGTCCTGACCACCCAAAAAGATGGCAAAACCCAGAATGTGATTGGAAGGCGGTGCGGGCACCTCTCCACACCGACTGCTGCTCAAGTCAGGTGCAAAGCTGCTAATCACTCCAAGTCGTTAGTCCCCCGACTTGTAGTGTGCCCTTAGTATTATAGTCGTTTTGGACCCCCCTTTGCAAACGTAAGATGATGGAGACAAATGGAGAGGCAGTACAGGTAAACTGTGTACCCATAGTGGGGACCATACCGGAACTTCAGAATGCCCGACCTCAGGCGCGCCTGTTGGCCTCCATCTTGTTTTCCCATGGTGCTGGGTCCCTGATCGGATATATTTCTGATCTGAGCTTGCAGTTACTACTACTACTTACTCATGTTTCAACCATTTTCTTCACTTGTATAATTCAATCGTACATTTGGGGTGATTGCTCCCTAAATCTTTCCTATTTTCTCTTTCTTGTATATTTTGTATCGCCGTCGTCGTCATCGTCGTCATTGTCCTCGTCGTCGTGGGCGACGAGACATAGATGATCCATTATCGAGGCATTTGACTACGGCTTGGAAAGCATTCCTGGCTCACAAATCTACGCTGTGTCCCCTCGGGGTTCCCGCTTTTATATTTTTCTGTCGATATAATTGTCGCTACAATCGTCCCCTTACGAAGCCAGCTTCCCCTCGTCTGACCCGCCGCGAGTGTCGTAACCAAGTTATTCTCGATCCCTGATTTTCCTGCCTTGATCCAAGGATTTCGAGTTGATCGGTGGCTGCTGGTTGGCCCAAGCTACTCGATTTCCTTTACCGCAACACAACAATTGGTCGCTTTTCCCTCCCATTGTACGTTGACGTTCTCCGATTGACGGCGCTTGGCGCCTTTGCCCGTTCGCCCCTCCTACCGTGTTGATCAACCCCCCCCCCTCGACCATGGTCCGCCTCTCGACATTGTCAAGCCGCCTCAAGGCTGGAGGCAGTGGCAGTGGCTCAAGCACGCCGAGTAGAACTGCCAGCCCTCGTCCTCAAGCTCCTCCGACGAGCGATCCTCGAGAAAGAACGGCAATGTTGACTCTAAAGACAAACGTCATCAAGGTAATGTTGAGCGACTTTTCAGCTTGCCCCTCCTCGATAAACCCCGCCATGCAGTAAACGCTAACAAAAGGCACATTCAAGGCGCGCAACGTCGCAGCTGCCGACAGGAGTGGGACGAGTGATCCGGTAAGATTGTTTCCTGGATTTACCTCCAAGAGAAAGTGGTTTTGGTAAATTAGTTTACTAACGGTGCTTGTGCGATTAGTACCTTGTCGTTACTCTCGGCGATGCCAAAGAAGCTACCCAGGCCATCTCCAAAACCTTGAACCCCGAATGGAACGTTTGCTTTGATCTCCCGATCGTCGGCGTACAAAGCTTGTTGCTTGAATGCGTGTGTTGGGATAAGGATCGCTTTGGCAAGGACTATCTTGGAGAATTTGATGTGCCGCTCGAGGACATTTTTGGAAACGGCCAGACTACGCAAGAGGTATGTCGACCCCTGCCAGAGAACACGTCGAACCATTCCACATACAAGGACGCAATTGGAAGCTGACTGGCGATAGCCCAAATGGTATGCGCTCAAATCGAAGCGCAAGAACGGAAAGAAAGGTTCCAAAATATCGGGCGAAGTTCAGTTACAGTTTTCGATCCTCGACCCGACGAACCCTTCGGCCACATCTGAACAGATTTTCCACAAGTTCCTCGGTCTCGTCGCGAGCAGTCCTGGCCTTGACGACGATATTGATGAGAACACGATACTTGCGGAACAAGACGATGAGGCTGGAGCTGACAAGGACAAAGACGAGGAAAGCTCGGAGGAGACTGACGATGCCGCCAAACCAGAGGCGGTCGAGAAGAAGCGGAAGCGTCAACGCCTGGCGCGGCTTCGGAGGAAGACCAAGGCAAGGGCATACGAGTTCTCGGGAGGTTCAGATGTCCTCGGCATTCTGTTCTTGGAAGTCTCCAAGATCCAGGACCTCCCACCCGAGCGCAATGGTAAATACATTCCCTTTGATATGTTTTTCGTGGTTTTCGAGGGTTGAGAAGAAATGATCCCCTGGGATTCCTGTTCTAACAATCAAGAACAGTTACGAGAACTTCATTTGACATGGATCCCTTTGTCGTCATCTCCTTGGGTCGCAAAACATTCCGTACCCGCGTTGTCCGCCATGATCTTAATCCCGTCTACGACGAGAAGTTGATTTTCCAGGTGCTCCCTGGCGAGAAGAACTATTCTATGAATTTCACTGTAGTGGACAGAGACAAGCTCTCCAGCAACGACTACGTTGGAACGGTAAACTTTCCGCTCCAGAATATCATTTCTTGCTCGCCGGAGGCCGACCCTGCTACTGGCTTGTACCATCTGAGAGAACCTGTCGAGTCGGGGACGAGTACTGTCGCATCGTACACCTCTGGTCGCTCGAGATTCCGCCTTCCACTTTCCCGTTCTTCCTCTGGTACAAGCCTGAGCAAAATGAGCAGGCCGGTTTTGCGATCTCACTCATCTCAGGGGACGCCCCCAACCAGCTCACAGTTGGACATTCCTCATGCGCCTACCAGTGTTCCGGAAACGTCTTGCCTCAGTCCTCCATCATCTTCGGCCATTGACGAAAGCGCCCCTGCTCCGTCCTTGCCATCGGATGACCCCGATCTGAAGTCGTTTGAGCTGCCGATTAGCTTAAAGAATAAAGACAAGTGGGAGGACAAGCATAATCCTACCCTGTACATCAAGGCCAAATACCTCCCGTATCCAGCACTGAGACAGCAGTTCTGGCGGGCTTTGCTGAAGCAGTACGATGCGGACGACTCCAACAATATCAGCAAGGTCGAATTAACGACCATGCTCGATACCTTGGGTTCAACCTTGAAGGAATCGACCATAGACGGCTTTTTCAAACGCTTCGCATCGGAATACACCCCTCAAAACCCGTCTGAAATCGAGCTTACATTTGACCAAGTCATTATCTGCCTCGAGGACCAGCTCGAAAAGGCATCGCAACGGCGTTCTATGCAAGACGCCGTCAAAGCGTATGCGGCAAGTCTCCAACATAGCTTGTCGCTTGGCAGCACAGATGAAACTTCGGAATCAGACACGCAGCCGAGCTCGTGGTCGGCCACGCCTTCGAACGCCGCTACGCCCATGAACAACCAGTCGCAGACATCCATTGTGCCTGCGATATCCGTGGACGAGATGGGAAACCCTGGCGAAATGGGCGATGCCTTGGAGAAGGATGACCTGGCCGACGAAGTCGGTGAGGAACATGTTGTTGAGATTCGAGAATGTCCCATCTGCCACCAGCCCCGTCTCAACAAGCGCTCCGATTCCGATATTATCATGCACATTGCTACGTGCGCAAGCCAAGACTGGAGACAAGTCAACAACTTTGTCATGGGCGGCTTCGTCACTTCGAGCCAAGCTCAGCGTAAATGGTACTCAAAGGTCATCACCAAGATCAGCTATGGTGGCTATAAATTGGGTGCCAACTCTGCCAATATTCTTGTGCAGGACAGAATTACTGGGCAGATTAATGAGGAACGAATGAGCGTCTACGTGCGCCTCGGTATTCGGTTGCTCTACAAAGGACTCAAGAGTCGTGATATGGAAAAGAAGCGAAGTGAGTTGTTCTGCCAGAGTCGTAACTTTGATTACGTGTCTCTAACTTTTCTTTTTTCCAGTCCGGAAGCTTCTCAAGTCACTTAGTATCAAACAAGGCAGAAAGTTTGACGACCCTGCTTCTGCCAGCGAAATCGAGTCATTCATCAACTTCCATCAGCTGGACATGAGCGAGGTGCTTCGCCCGACGGAGGAGTTTAAGACATTCAACGAGTTCTTCTACCGGCAATTGAAGCCCGACGCTCGGCCTTGCTCTGCACCTGACAATCCCAAGATCATCGTCTCTCCGGCCGATTGTCGGTCCGTCGTCTTCAACAAGGTTGACGACGCGACCAAAATTTGGGTCAAAGGTCGCGAATTTTCAATCGAGAGATTGCTTGGAAACGCGTATCCGGAGGACGCCAAGCGTTACAAGAATGGAGCTTTGGGTATCTTTAGATTGGCTCCTCAGGATTATCATCGCTTCCACATTCCCGTTGATGGGGTGCTTGGTGAACCCAAGCTGATAGAAGGAGAATACTACACTGTCAATCCCATGGCAATCCGGTCTGCTTTGGACGTTTATGGCGAAAACGTCCGAGTTATCGTTCCCATCAACTCGACCACCCACGGTAGGGTCATGGTCATCTGTGTCGGCGCCATGATGGTTGGAAGCACAGTCATTACACGCAAACCTGGCGAAGAGGTTCATCGCGCAGAGGAGCTGGGCTACTTCAAATTCGGTAAGTTTGTTCTTTATTTGTCAATTCATGGCGGTAATTATGCTAAATCATTCTCAGGTGGAAGCACGCTGGTAGTGTTGTTTGAGCCTGGTGTCATGAAGTTTGATAATGATTTGATTGAAAACTCTTCTGGTGCTTTGGAGACCTTGGTAGGTGCCTAAGTTACGATTCAATACAGTGAACTTTTTCTGACATGATTGTAGATCCGTGTAGGCATGTCAATTGGTCATAGTCCTGAACAGTCTGCTCACACTCCGGACATGCGCAAAGAGAATGTGTCGGCGGAGGAGAAACAAGAGGCTCAGCGGAGAATCGCTGGTAGCGTTGGTCCAGCTCCTTCGCCACCAGATGCTGCCATTTGATTGCATTAATGATAATCATCATGTGGGATGAAAAGGGGAGGGGAGAGAGCGCGGTAAATCTTTTAATTTGGACAGAAAAGAGGAAATCTACGACTGGATTGATATTCAGCGGCATGGGTCCGGGATGACCCCAAGTCTTGGTTGATAAACATGTACATTTTCACGAGTATACGAATATGTAGCAATCATAAGTTTGCTTCAATCATATGTTATTTTGTGTCTCCACAGATTTAGAATGCATGTGCTTAGGACGAGACCCATCAGATGTCTGACCGGAAACCTAGGGGATTGCGTAGCCTTTTCTCAGCAGCTGGCTGACGGAATATCCGTAGGTTTCGGAACTTTTATCTCTCAGGAAAATAAGTATTGTTGAAAGTATAGCTACTTATAATCACTGTGGTGGTCGAGCTCCGTATCGGGTTAGCCCCACACTCGTTACTTATTGTCGCGCGCGCCAAGACCAAAACACAGCTGTGTGTGTATCCTTTGATCATCATACTTGGAGACGGAGGGGCTGTACGATAACCTGGTCGGAGCGCAATCAGCATTACCGGACTTTATTTTGACATGATATACGCATCTTTAGACCGCCAGCGACACGACACATAAGCGCGACTGAGATCTATCAATGACAACGCTGGCGATTCGCTCGCCATTGCATATTATCACCATGGGCGCGTCCGGCAAAAGAAGGAAAGTCGGTGAGTAGTTACAATGCGATCGGAGAGGTGTGATTGTGGCTGGAATTAGATTATACTGACTTGAGTTTTTTTCTCTTCAATGAATCAGCTTATGACGAGGAGGATGATGGATTCATGTTTACGAGAACGAGATCAAAAGCCAAGGCCGCAGCTGCCGCACCGCCTCCGCGTGTTCAGGAAAAGGCCTCTGAAGAAGTAGGCGACCAAGAACCGATCCAGGTACCGACGCCTCCCGCAAAGGAGAAGAGGAAGACGACTGCAAAGACGACGAGGAGTTCAAGGGCAAAGGAGGCGGCTTCGGAGGAGCAGGATGCAAAGGAGCGAAAGGAGAATGAGGCGCCGGTCGAGAAGAATAATAGTACGAGGACACGACCAGCAATTGATGCGCATTCTCCGAAAAGTTCGAGGGAAAAGAAGGGCAAACGAGTCTTTACAACACCAGTCACGAAAAAAACCGCTGCTGTTATGCCCCGGCGAAAATCCGCACGACTTTCGGGCGAGGCTGCCCAGCTGCTCTCTGAGCCGCAGCAACAACAGCAACAGCAACAACAACAATCGAAACCACGAACTCGAAGATCACTCGTTAAGGCTGCACACGAAGAGCGAGAGCCTGAGCCGCAACCTCCAGCTGTGCCGGCAGAGCCGGAGGTAGCGGCCGTAGCAGCAAAGGGGGCAGCACCAGCAAACGAAAGGCGTGTTGGTGGAAAGGATAGCACACCTCCAGTCTTTGAAAGGTCCAACGAGACGAAGATCGCGCTGCCTTTTGCCGATACGCCTGTGATTAAGCGGAATAAAGAGCTCAGAAAGGGAGGTTCGCAGGGCGGGCACCGACGAAGTAGTGTGGGAATGCGAGGACGAAGGGCAAGCTCACTCATCGACAGTGGCACATCGAGCGGTACGTGAACACAATTAATATTCTCGAGAGAAGAAGGAGCGGAGAGTTTTGAAGTATACAAACTGACCCCTTTCGTAGCGATGCCTCACAGAGAAGTCGGCGAGGCGGATTTTTACAAGCACATTGAAGGCGAAGGACTGCCGGAGCCTCGGCGCATGCGGCAACTGCTCATGTGGTGTGCTACGAGAGCCCTGGGTGACAAGCCTTCATACTCGACAGGAGACGGGAATGCCAGGCTGGCAGGTGAGTTTCTAACTGCATGCTCAATGCGGGGAGGACGATTTATATTGGATATGACAGCGCAACTGACTTGTTGAATCTTGCACCAAATAGCGCGCGTCATTCAAGAAGAATTGTTAAAGGACTTTTCAAATCGAGGAGATTTATCAGATTGGTTTAGCAGGGTATGTCATACACCAAGACTATATATGATGGGGCATGGTTGACAATTAAGCTCCAGGACGAGGATTCTGCCCCGGCAGTTGTGGTGAAGAAACCAAATCCGCGAAATGAAGCCAACGCGGCAAAGGTGCAGGAACTGGAAGCCGACTTGAAACGGTATGCCAATCTCGAGTTTATGTCTCGTCTTTTATCTTTCCATTTTTCTTTTTCTTTCCGAGCAGCATCTTCTTCTGCTTCTTTCGTTTTTTTTTGTTAGGGGAGGGGGGAGGGGTGTTTATAGAGCGTGACGCTGACGTCGCTCTACAATAGAATAAAACAAGAACGAAAAGCATGGGAAGCACTCAACAAGCCTCCCGACCACACGCCCCTTCCGGCACCATCTGTTCCGCCGGACGCACATCCCGCAGCATCCTCTACCGCATCTTTATCAAATCAACCCACTTCATCATCCTCTTCTTCATCAGCCCCATCAACTATACCTACACTACCATCCACAACACCTACATTACCATCCTCATCTACATCCTCTTCCTCAACCGCACCTCGCCTTCCGCCCCCATCAACAATACCAACATCAACACCAGCATCGACATCAACAGCCCCATCCACAATCGACCCCTCACTGCTCGACCCAGAACAAGCCAACTTCCTCACATCACTCACCGCGCACCCGGACACGGGCGACTCGACACAGCACCACCTGCACGACCTCGCGTCGGGGCTCGAATTCAAAGTCGACCTCCTCGCCGAGGGCCTCCATCATTTATCCCAGTACCGCGAAACCGCCGACCACGTGGCCAGCCGCGTGCTCGCGCTCGCGGCGGATAGGCTCGAACAGCGCGACGTGCAGGGCAAAGAAGCCTCGGGCACGCGGGATGTTAGTACGCAGGATGTCTTGCGCGCGTTGAGCCGTGTGGATCGATAGTGTCTTGGCTTTTTCTTTTTTCTTGTTTTGTTGCTGACTACTTTTTTTGCGTTGCGTGTTGTGTGTTATGTTGTGTGGTTGTGGTAACAGTGTTGTGTTTTGTGTGTGTGGGGGCGTTGAGTTATGGAGTTTTCCTTTTCCTTTTCCTTTTTTCTCCTTTTTTTCTTTTTTACTCTTCACCCATCATTCTTCCTTATTCTCTTTCTTGTCTTTTTTTGTGTGTGTTTCTCTTTCCATATTTTCTTGGCTCTTATCCCCCCCCCCCCCCACCTTTTTTTTTCTTCTTTTCTTCTCTCTTCTTCTCGAACTAAACTATCTTTTCCTTTCGTATGCATTTTTTATCATCCATTCTGTTTCCTTAGCGCGTAACTCGTTGGAATGAACTGGACTTGACTTGCCTTAACTTGACCGTACTGGACCACACTGGAATCGAATGGGATGCGATGGGATGGGATGCAGAGTATAGGTATAGGTTAACTTATAACCTTTTTTTTTTTTGTTTTTAAATACCATATGCAAATTTATTAAATACCATGTGCAGAATTGCATTTACAGGTTCTTTTTCCTTTTTTCTTTTTCCCTCCTATAAATATATTATGCAGATAATTGATTTATGTCTCTTGTGCTCGTGCTCGTGCTCGTGCTCTTGTCCTGTTGTTTGTCGTTCTGTTGATTGCGTTGATTGCGTTGATGCGTTAATGTATTGTTCTGTTGTTTGTGGTGTCATTTTGTCGTCGTCGTCATGCATCGTTTTGTCATCATCATCATCATCATCATCATCATCATCAATATTCTGCTTTTCTTTCGTTTCTTATTTTTTTTTTTTTGGCCCATTTTCATAAATGTAGAGCTTACGTTTGGATCTACGATTTACAATTTACAATCAACTATCCACTATCCTTTATCAACTATCGACTTTTAAGTATCAGCGTTGATATCTTGATATCTTGATAGGTTGATATCTTGATATATTTGCTGCCATACATATCATGACTTATTACGGAATAGGTCACGAGGAAGAAGTTGAGGCGGAACAAAAAAAGACAGAAAGGGAAAAATGTAAATTTTATCATCAAACACTAATGGTATTAATTAACCAAAGCTGGAAAAAAAGAGGAAAAAGACAAAAAAAAAAAAAAAGAGTAATCTCAAAAAAAATCCAATCTCGAATCCACAGCCCGTCCTTGCACACCCTTGCAATCCATCTAAAGACCTTAGACCTTAGTCGGTCCCAGGCTCCCAGCAATACATACGAGTCATCACCGTCTCCATATTAGAACCCTCCACGACGTAGTCGTCGTCGTCTGCAGGTGTGGAATAGTAAAAGAAGAAAAGAAGAAAAAAAGGGGGTGGTAGTAAGAAGAAGAAGTAAAGAGAGAAAGAAAAAAAAAAAAAGTTAAAGAGGTTGTAGCCTCGAGAAGTGAAGTGGTAATAAAGGGTAAGAAGGGAAATAAAAACAACAAGAAAAGGCAAGCAAGGATATTTGTACAAAATCTTGTCCTTGGCAAAGACCTTTCAACGTGGGGGGAATGCCGTCTCTTGCCAAACCCTCCTCTCTCTCTCGCGGATCTCTGTGGAAAATCCCACGATACTTTTTGAAGTTTTTGTCTTGTCTTCGCTTTTGGGTGGCCTCGATATTCACACCCCTCAAATTATCAAATTAAGTTTCTTTTTTTCTTTCCAAAGTAGAAAAGCGGACACAATTGTTAAAAAAAAAAAAAGGACATTGGAGTAGTCGTCTGCTGCTGCAAGCTGCAAGCTGCAGGAAGGCCCTTTCGGGGATCCGCGCACTCCAAAAGCCCATCTGGAGGGCAAGAAGAGTAACGCTGTAGGGCTGATGAGCTTGTTTTTAATTCTTTTTGCCGACACCAAACACGAGACCCAGGACGAGGGCGAGAATGCAGCAGATGATGACAACAATCCAAAAGGTCCACCATTTGAGTCTGCGCGCACGACGAGCGTGTGCAATGCCCGAGTCAAGCTGTTGCTCGGCGCTCTTGAGGTTGTCCGTGGTGCGTTGCGTCTGCTCTTCGGTCTCAATGACCGGCGCCTCCTGCTGCTCCACAATCGTCGCCATCTCGCGGAAGAGCTGATCAATCTCGACCAGCGTGCGCGTAATCTGTTGGATCTCAGAGTGACGTGCGCGAACGGCGCCAAGCACGCTCGTAGCGGCGCCGGATCGGTTGCTTTTGAGCTGCAGCAGATGGTGTTAGCACGTTGTGCACCTTCAACAATAAATGAGCCCCCCAAAAAAAAACACATACCGCAGTCTGGAAGACACCCTCATCTCCCCAGTCAGCATTGGCGGCTTCTTGGACCTCGGCCTCGGTTGCCTCTGGGTTGACAATGCGGTATTGGCGCGCCATTTGCTCGCGGTACCGCTGGCGGTAGGTCTGCTCCTCTTTCTGGTATCCCTTGAGCTCGGCGTCAAAGTTGCGCTTCAGGTTGCCGACTTGCGTAGACTTGGTGTTCTTTCCCTTTTCGCTTGGCGTCTTGAGGGCATCGGCCTCGAGCGATTTGATATTGTCTTTGATCTGTGTGTTGAGAATCTGCGTTTGCGTCACGAGATTCTCGAGCTGCGCCGAAGCACTGCCATCTGGACTGGACAAACTGCGTTGATGCAGAGTACCAATCTGGGACACATTCGAGGTGAGGTTGCGGATGCTTTGCTTCACAAGATCGACGCGGGCAAGGAAATCTTGCAACGTGAGGACGTTGGGCGCCGCCTGCGAATAGTTTGAAGCTTGCGAGTAATTGGACATTTCATGATTGAGCGGGGGAGCGGCTCCTTGAGGCTGTAGTTGCAATTCCCAAGATCAGCTACCATACTCCTTTTTCCTTTTTTTCCCCCCTAGCCCCAGTCGAAAGCTTTCTAGTATCGCCTTCTAATACCCGTCTTCGCGCGATGCATCCAAGACGAGGAAATGACGCAGAGGGAACAGAGAAGCACGTACCGCATTGCCATAGGGATTTTGCGCTCCATATCCACCTTCAGCGGCGGGAGCGTCCGCATATGGATTGCCCCCATATTGCTGATAATTTCCGTAAGATGACATGATGATCGTGAGTCCTGGTGTGGAAAGATTACAATGTGGTCGTCAGGCAGTAAGATTGGGCCAGGGGCTAAAGGGAACAATGGCGACGAGTAATAGGCGAATCGCGTTGATCGGGAGTCTCACGGGAAATCCAGTTCTCGAGAGAGTCTCAATTCGATTTCAGAGTTTCAGAAGCGGGCAAGACAAGTAGAGAAAACCCGTTTCAAAACTGCCATTGACCTCCGAAGAGCTTGGGAGACGAAATTTCAAGGAATGACACGGAGGATGACGAGAGGTTGAAAAGAGGCTGAGGCTGGGAGTCGCTTGAGGTCGGAGATTGGGGCAGTGTGGAAGAGGTTGTGATCGGGCGGTTAGGTAGGTAGGTAGCTTGACCATGTGCTAGACGTTGCGGGTTGTATGGTACGACGCAACACTGCCACCGCGGCAGTGATATGAAGTACTTTTACGACTTCTTTCGTTCTCACTCTACGCAGAGACATTCGCTTTGCCTTTGACTAAGGTACCTACAGGTAGGTAGGATCGAGGGATTCTTCCCTCTGTGCCTGCCAAGCAGATTCAACCAAATCAAATAGAGCGCAAGCGCACAAATCAAGGCCAGGGATACTCCGGCAGAGCTTTCCGCGGGTTGGGATTTTTTTGATGATGATGGTGATGATGGCTGTACCTGAGATACTTTGTGGATGGGCAGGGTGGGTAGGTTAAAAGTACCTTTAATTAAAGCCAATCACCAGGCAAAAACTTGTGTACACACCAATAACCAGTCGGATCATTCATTCCAAATCGGGGTCCTGTACCCAGAGAGTACTAGGACACGCCAATCATACACGGATTGTTTGCAAGACTAAGTATCGCATACCTTCAACCTACCTGACCTCGTTCCTCTTCGCCTTTTCCCGACAACAAAGTCCCTCAAGCACACAAGCACACAAGCCTGCAAGGTGTGGTGATCCTGATCTTCATGGCGATTCCGAAAGCCGATATGGACCAACGTCTTTCAATGAGAACGACCGTCTTACCTCAGCCACGTACGGCGTAGTCATCAAGAAGCAAAGGCCATGCACCGACCTACCGTATTCTTCAGCAGCGTAGAGATCTAAAGGCAGAAAGTGCAAAAGACGTCATTATTATAGGTAGTTGCCTTTTCCAACTCCCCAAGTTTGACTGTTCTTTTCCCCTTTTACTACGATGTTTTGCCTGCACTGCCCCGGCCCACTGTAGTTCTTTCACCTCCCTTCTCTTCCAATTGGGTGTATCTGAGCTTGAATCGTATTCTGCTCGCTGTTGCCTCCCTGTGTACTCCGTAGATAATAGTATGCTGATAGCTGCTTCTAGGCAACACTCAATTACTCCGTATAGACCCGTACCAAAAATAACTAACAAACATCTCATCCATAAGTGCTTCCTCACATGACCAGACTCATTTCCATAGGTCATTGTCCATTCGGACATGATATCCAACTTGCAACGGGTACTGAACAGTACACCTGAGTTAAAAGTGGGCATAGATGGATTAATCGCCCAACGACGCACGTGAGAAACGACAGAGAATCGCTCTTTTACGGGAGTCTCCCAATCCACCAGTTTTGCCTCATCTGCACCCCCGTAATCTGTGATATGACCAGCTGTTCATGCTCCGACGTATCACGGGGTTGCGAGGGACACCCCAGGCTATTTGTGCCCCTTGGCGATGCTTTCTTTAGCTCGTCCACAAGAAAACTTGGTGATTCCAGAATCAAAGCACGGTCCCGCTTCCAACCCCCCCCCCCCCCCCAATCGCCATCTTGCATAACCGTTCCTGTCCCTTCAAACTCGCTTGAAATCCAGAACGAGAGAAGCAGACTCGCTCTCGGTTCTTTCCCCGATCGCCAAACTCAAGCCACGACTACGCCGTCTGTCACGCCCCAGCTGAGCTCGCTTTCCTGTTCCAGCCATGATCGGCGCCAGGGTCCAAACCCGATCATCCCCTCGAACCTCTACCCTTCAGCTGCCTTCTTGCACTCCGTCGCCATCCTAGTTTCTCAATAAGAAGCGATGCTATGTAGTGATCCTAGTCTTCAACTTTTAAAACTCCCCCCTGCAACACTCATTGGTGGCGTCACAGGTCAAACCGTATGCCCCGCTATTCATCACACGAAATGCCATGGGGGCGGTGCCAATGCCAGCTGAAGAATATCCATAGTCCAGACCTAAGATTCAGAAGAGGTGGTCAACGTGATCGCAAAACTTGAGCGTGTGCTAGGCACCTGGCGTAGACAATGTCTTGCAGTGGGGCACCGAAACGATATTCCTTCAGGAGGAGATGGAATGTACGAGTTCAAAGTACAATTTATATACCCCGTGTGTGAAGCCACTTCTGAGGAAATGACATTTTCCCCTGCATTTTGGATGGCATATATCGTCACTTTTTGCGATAAGATTGACGAACCTTGCATTGTATCCGGTAGCGTGCTCGACACTTCTGCACTCGCTGCATGCTTAACTGACCATAATTAATCAAGAGAAATTGTTTCCCCTCAGCCAGAGATTCCAGAACTGTTTCCCCCGGGTTTAAGAAATTTTGATCTGGGTGATCGGTTTCTCCCAGATGCCAGTTGTTACTGCCAATAAAAATCGGCCTTTGCCGTCACAGTCAGGGAGTGCAAAGGCATGGTGGCCTCTATATGATGTTGGCATCGGCGTTTGGTGGATTTTCTTTGCTGGATGCGGCTTCCTTTTATCCGTTGTCATGATTTCTCGAATTTCCCAACGTTGGCGACGTACTTCCGGGCGAGCACCATCACATACTGCGTATGACCAGGACGAGAAACGCTGTATGAATCTAGATGCACATTCTCCAGCGTTCGCACTCCCACCATTGGCGAACCTTCAGCAGACTTCTCAAATGTCGAATGCATCTTTTCCCCCTCCCACTATCAGGCGACACTCGCATCCAGCGTCTGAACCGCAATCATTCCCAACATTACCGCAATCATATACTCGATCTATCCCATCAACAAGTGACCGCTATCCTGGAATCATTCAGCATGGTGAAATATTCGAGTCGAACGACCATCGTCGGCATGTGAAGACTTTTCACATTGCTTAAAAAGAAAGAAAAGAAGAGAAAGAGCAGCAATGATTCGTTTCATGGGCAAAGATGATATCACCATCACATCTTTGTAAAAGCAGAGAGACCCGAAAGCCGATCCTGGAAGGGCGTTGACGGACACTGGTTCAAAATTAGAATCATTTCCCGCAAAGGGCTGGGGGTTTCGTTTTGTATTTATTGTTGCAATTGAGCTTATTTCATAAAGCCTGCCGCAACGAGTCCTTTTTTTTTCAGTCTGTTAGCACTCTTGGGAAAACACAATCTACAAATAATTCATGAGCATGCTTAGCGCTTGAGAATCTTGTTATCACTTTAAATTCGGTTTTCTTTTTCTTTAAATCAGGCTTTGGTCAAGATTTCCGTCTCGTTGTTGTTGGTCTGTCAACCCTTGATTATGCACTACCTCCTCGCGCTCTAGGTCTTGTTTTGAAACTTGTTGCCCATCCCCTTCGAGCTCTGCATGATTGACGATTGCGCCGCCGCTTGCTTCATATATTCCTGCAGAGCTTGGAGATTCAACATATCCGTCTGCAAGCGCCATCTCAGCGCTTAGGTAGGATGATTGCATCGCTAGGCTTTCTCTGGGCCTTGTGATTGTGGTGGAGAGCTCGTTTGAATCCATAATCGACGCTGGTAATTCGGCTACAGGCCTTGGAATATGTGGATCATATGGCTGGTATGATGAAGTGATGTCAACTGCAAGTGAAGAAGGACGTGGATGCCAGGACAGAGGAGGCGAAGCTGGCCCCGAGGACATAGGAGAAACCCCGAGTTCGGGACTTGATCTGTGGGATTCAAAACTCGCTGGGCTCCAGGGTGGCTCAGAAACCACAACTAGCTTTGGCTTTCCGGAGAGCTCCTTGCTGTCTAGTTGAGAAACGCCTGGACCTTGTTCTAGAGGCTCGTTCCATAATCCTGGATGGCGTTTCCGATTCCCAAAGAGACGCATATATTTTTCTGAAACACTTCCGGCCCCTCGAAATCGATGACTGGCTAGGAGCTTGTGGCGGATACAGAACCAAAACACCAAGAAAGCAACAAGAGCAAGAAATGCGAGCCCGGCAATTGCAATACCGGCAATTGCTCCAGCACTAAGAGTGGATGATGAAGTCGGAATCGACGAAGGCTTTGACGGGGAGCCGGTTACAATTGGTGACTGCTTCGAAGAGGAAGCTGCATGGGAATTTAGTGCGTTCTCTGAGATACTGGAGCTAGGCGTGCTAGTTGCCACAGCCCCGATAGATATGGAAGATGTCATTGTTAATGTTTCCGTGACTGGGACCAAAGTGCTTGCCGCAACTGAACTCATGGAAGTGACCGCTGCAGGTGGAGGGGTCGCCGTCGAGCCCGAAGTGATCAAATTGACATAAGACAGGGTTTCGACCGTCGCCGTGGAATCACACCACATAATATACTGGTCTTCGAGGACGTTGGTGATTGTGTTGCAGTACGGCGCAGCCGGTTTACTATCGTCCACTGTTAATATCCGCTAGAAATTTTCATTGCGTGGGATCTGCTCACCAAGATAGGCACCCTCCAGTATTTGGATCGCACTCAATTGTTCTCCCAGGCTTGTATTCTATGCACGTTGTCCGGGCTGCGCAGCTGGACCTGTACAGATAGCCTTGTTAGTGTGATAACTCGAAACCGAGAGGGAAAGCTTATTACACGGAGCAACAGCCAATGAAGCCATCCAAGCCAGTATAGCAAGTTCCTATCGGGCATGTAACTGCAATTGAGTCTTAGAATTTTCGTGTTTTTCTCTGTCTCTGAGCGCCAGCCAAGGAGCGACTTACAGGTGCCGACTCCATCACAGTCAGTCAAGGCTCTACGACCCAACCATTCGTTCGGAATTTGTCCATTCAGCTGTTGTGCATCCACGTATGCTGGATCCGAGGATTCTTGAGGCCAGAGAATTTGCGGAGCGGCAGTGATGAGAGTTTCAGGAGCCATATCAGAAAGCGATTGCAAGCAAACAAGGCAGTGGTGTGAGTTAAGTAACAGTCGCCAAAACTTTAGAAATAAGCTCCGCGTCTGGATGAGGGATGTCGGTTAAATCAAACATGCCCCTTGGCAATTTTGTCCTTCATCACTCAACTACACAGGGGATGGTCCAACTCCACTCGACCTTGAACCCCAAACCCACCGTGTAGAGTAATGCACCTTCCCGACATTGCTTAAGTACCATCGTCCCACCCATGAGGGACGCAGGCCATGTGCTACCATATTGAAATGAAAATTAATGTTCAAGGTGAAAATTGTGGAACGCAATCTGCTGTATAATTGGACCCGTAGTTTTGCTTCCCTTTTTTGGCAATTGAACATGGGTGTCTTATCTCGTCTGTTGCGGCACAGCCTTCCCAAAATCATAGCAACCAAACTTTTCTCGTAATGACAGAAGAACAACCAAGAGTCTATTTGTGGATCAGAAGCATAGTGGGATATTATTTTCGCTTTGCACAAAAAAAAGGTGGCAGTGAATGGTCTCGTGTTCGAACCACGGAGCCGTGGGTCAGTGTTGGTTTTTGCGCACACACTCACGACTTTGAGATACGACATTATCATGGGGATGATACTGAAATAAGTCTAATGCAAGGCCGCGAGGGAAATTTTATTTTTTAAAAAAAAAAAACATTAGAAAAAGGAAAAAAAAAAGGTAAAGGAAATTTAGTTGCTCCTCGCTCCTCCCTTGGCTGCTCGCAAGTCTTCCATTTTGGCCACTCGTTTTTTAAATTCTTCATACTGGCATTTTTCATACGAATGTCGCTCATTCTATAGGAATATCCACAATTAGTATCTAATTACCTTCAACATATGATATAGAATCAACTTTGCATTGATATATTGAAGGAGTTTGCACGTGACATACCTCGCACTTCCATGGAAGATAATACTCCTCATAACGACATCGGTTAAGAGGAATCAAGAGGTGAGCACAGCTATCCCGATACTGTAGCGGTAATCGAGCATCTGACATAGCCTCGTGTGATGCCGCTATGCAAACATTCATAGAGTTAGCTACCGCCAATCATGCCACTTGAATCCTCCTCAAGCTGCAATGATGGAATCCCATTTCATGATGCCATTACTGCCAGACCAAAAACAAATGGATGGGAGTATGGAATTACTCACGGGCCGAAGAGCCCAACCCGACAGCATCCTTGATCTTCTCTACGACAGTCATAGTTTCGCTGACGAGGACTTTCGATGGTACCAAAAATATCTCAAACGAGCCTCTAATGACCGACGCAAAAGCACAGAGAAGTGTAGAATATCGTAGTTGTATCAATTTGCTGCCAGAACGTGTGGAGAGACGGGCAACAGCTGGGGAAAGCAGTGCTGCCAAACAAGGTATAGCGTCTCTCATCGGCTGGGGAAGAGAGGGGGAACGACAGACCAATCACCCGCCGCTGTACCGCTTACGGTAAAGTATATGGGGATGGATCCTTTTGGTCAAGTACCTGGTACCTTTTTCAACACTTAACGCGCCTGCGCGTCCTCCCAACTCATCCCACACGCTCTTGGTGTTCATTTCGCGTTGACCGTGTCGGACGACCATCCATCACTGCATAACCAAGCGTTCAACCGCCACATCCTTGTCGCCGGGCCTAAACTCTGGCCGTCGGTGTTTGTAGGATATCTAGCTAGCCTTAATTCCACAGAGGTTTGGTGGAGGGGTGAATGTAAGGCAGGACTTTCAGTCAAACGGACCAAAAAAATTACCCAGAGGATGGCACAGGGAGATGGATTTGACCGGATTTATTCCGCGACATATAGCAATGTAAGGATCGATCCTTGTGTTGATTTTGACGTTCGCTCGGGCTGAACATGATCTTTAGGTACCTGTGTATGAGTTTAACGCCAACGGGAACCATGTGATGCGGAGACGATCGGACGATTGGATCAATGCAACGCATATTCTTAAAGTGGCAGATTTCGACAAACCCGCCCGCACGAGAATTCTTGAGCGAGAGGTGCAGAAGGGTGTACATGAAAAGGTCCAGGGTGGATATGGAAAATATCAGGGTGCGTAATTTCCAAATTACCCCCCTCTTTCTTCCGGGCGAGAATGTGACTGAAGGATTCTGAATAGGAACATGGGTGCCGTTGGAAGATGGCCGGCTATTGGCTGAACGCAATGGCGTTTTGGAAAAGCTACGCCCGATCTTTGAGTTTGTGCCTGGAGACCGAAGTCCTCCGCAGGCGCCGAAGCATACCACTGCGGCCTCAAATAAGCCCAAGGTGCCGAGGAACCTTGGTGTTCCCCGAAGATTGACGAGTATGTATCACCAGAAGAGCCTTGAAAAGTGAAGCATTGCTGAGAATGTGATAGATTTGACCCCCATTCCGCCTCCAAGTCAAGTCAGCGAGGACCACTATGATGCTATGAGCGGTCAATTACACGACGAGTATGGCACGCCGGACAATACAAGTATCGCTTCCGAGTCAATTCTAGCAGACGAGGAGCTGGTTCCCATGTCACAACACTCGACGCTATCACGAAAGCGCAAACGGCGTGCTCCCGATGTAGAAGCGTTGTCAATGATTGAGCAACAGCATCTAGTTTATGCGGACGAGCTCTTGGATTATTTTATGCTTTCATCCAATGAACCCGTATTACAGATTGCTCCGCCCGTACCGCCTGTGCAGTTTGACATTGACAGGCCTATCGACGACCAAGGGCACACTGCTCTACACTGGGCCGCTGCAATGGGAGATCTTGCGGTAATTCGTGACCTTCTTCAGCGGGGCGCCAAAACAGGGGCGCTCTCAAACTGCGGGGAGACTCCGCTTATGCGAGCTGTCTTATTCACGAACAATTTTGAAAAAGAGACAATGCCCAAGTTAACACAATTGCTTCTTCACACTGTGGATATGCGAGACTTTTTCGGCTCTACAGTCTTTCACCACATTGCTGCCACAACGAGCACGCGAAGCAAATTCCTCTGCGCGAGGTATTACATGGAATCAATAATCAACAAGCTCGGCGAACGGATGGCCGACCACGAGGTTGCAGCGATTCTCAACGCCCAAGACGACGCGGGAGACACGGCTCTCATCATCACAGCGAGGCATGGAGCGCGAAAGTGTGTTCGGTCACTCATCGGACACAATGCTCTAGTAGACATTCGAAACAAAAAGGGTGAATCGGCAGATGATTTGATCCGGGAGCTTAACTCGCGTCGGAACTACCACTTTTCTCAAGCCTCTTCGTCGCCCTTCCAAATGAACGACGCACGACCGGCAGGCGATGACGTTGAAGGCAGCACCCGGAGTGGCAACAATCTCTTCGACGGCTCCGGTCTTGACAAGGCAAAACGCAAGTCGGACGCCGCGATATCCGTCATGCAGAAACTCGCACCGATGATCAATGACCAAGCAGACAAGCTCGCGTCGGCATTCGACCTGGAGCTCGCAGAGCGCGAGACGGACCTCAACGAGGCCCACCGGCTGCTCAAGAACATGCAGCAAGAGATTGAGCAAGTTCGGAAACAGTCATTTTTCCTCTCCACGAGCGGCGAAGACGAGGTGGTCGAACAAGCTCGTTTACAAGAATACAACAAACTCCTTGCCGACAACGAGAGCCTCCTAGAACACCTGCAAGGCGTTGAATTAGGGCGTCTCATCCATGCCCACGAGGAGAACAACACCTCTACAGATAACAACGGAATCAAGACAACATTAGGCAATGACCAACAAGCGCAATCGCATCTGCGCCCAGGAGACGTCAAATCCGAACCCGGCATCCTACTCGACCAACAATCTACAACTTCCACCCTCCAGGAAAAGCTGCGGTATTGCTCCGCCCTCTACCACGAACAGAACACCCGCCGCGCTCTCGTCCGCGAAGTCGTTCAGAACCAAAGCATTGCCGGCCTCGGCGAGCGCCAAAAGGACTACAAGCGCCTCATCGCCAGCGCGCTTGACATTGCCGAGGAAAATGTGGATCATATGCTCCCTGAGATTCTGCAGGAACTGGAAGCAGCGAATATGGCAGACGGCATTGCCGATTCTCACTCCCTGCCCCAGGCAGTGGAGGGTTAATATTCGTGTTCTGTTTTATTTTATTTTTCTTCTTCATTCCCCTTAAGATGATTCCGTTCCTTGTTTTTTTCTTCGTTCCCTATAAGATGATTCTGTTCCTTTTTTTTTTCTCCCCCACTCTCTATAAGACGACTCCTTTTCCCTCGTCAATCCCGTTTTAACAACATATCTTTTCCTCACTCCCTCTCTCTCCCCCTTTCACCCTGGTTCAGTGCCCCTTGGCACACACATCTTGACCCATGCGAACCAGCTGTCTACCACTGCATTCCCGTTTCCATTCCTTTTTTTATTCTATTCTATTCATGTCTGTTTCTATCCATGTCAAAGTTGGGAGTTTATGGGGTTCCTTTTCTCTTCTCTTCTCTTTTCTTTTCTTTTTCTCTCTTGACGGGTGGGATATAGGTTAACTACGGCGTCATACGTACCTTTTCGATATTCTCTTCTTCTTTTTTTTTTCTCTCCCTCTCCTCTACCTATTTCAGTGGTTCCGTGTTACTCTCTACCTTTTTTGCTTTGTCTTTCCCTTACCATCCATCATCTTCACAGCCGGAATGGTTTAAAGAGTTATTTGGGTATTCCTTAAGACTGTGCAGTAGGATATTAGGAAATTAGGATATAGGATATCATTTACATCTTTTTTACTGTCCATCTTTTTCTCAGATGCTTATTTTTGGTGTATGATATATATCATGTCACGCCTTTTATTCGTGTCTTAGTATATACCCCTAGCTGGGTGAGCAAGATTTTACGTGCCAAATGATTTTAGAAATTGAAATCTCCACAGAAGATGTTATGGTCAATTGTAACTAAAATTTTCGATGCGACAGCCAGGACTATAGCAATTATCCAAACCTTTGAATGAACCAGAGTATTACAGTGGCATAAACAAAGTAACTCAGCGATTGGGGACTTTTCTTTTTCCTTCGCCCGATTAGAGGCTCTCATCTCCAGCACGCACCCCAAGTTTCATTTTGAATCCTTAACCCGGCCCGAGAGAAAAACGCCTCTGCATTGGGCTGCTGAACACTTACGACACTGCAACTTCAGCCGGGCCGGCCAAGGTTCCATACTGCGTCAATTGGGCCTCAGTCAAGCCTCCCGAAAAGGTCGTGAGGACGGCGAACGCAACGCCCGTGATATTCGCAGGCAGGGGTACCGTGCCCGTGCCACTGCCCGTCTTTGTGACTTCTTGGAAGATGGGCGCCTGGACATCTTGATTGATCAGGGCAATGTACAGGGGTGCATTGGGATCGACCGAGACGAAAAACTTGCTTGGATCCCAGGCAAAACTGAGCGTGGTTCCGGCGGCGACAGGAGGCTGCAAATTCTGCGGCGGCATGGGCGAGGTCAAGTTGAGTTTGGGCAGCACAATGATGGGAAGAGGCTGCGGGCAGGAGACAATAAACATCTGAGCGAGATTGTACGCGAACACGGGTGTCAAGGCCGTATCAAAGGCAGTTGGGAACGGAGATGCGCCTATTTCAGTACGAACATAGGCATCGTGTCGAGCCTCGACGGCGAGAATGGATCCAGCAGCCGTGAGAAGCTGCTCATTGTCGCTGAATCCGGTTGCCCCGCCAATATATGCGCCGATACCCACGCTGCATATTTAATTTGCGTAAGTCTGGATATTTGTCGCTGGGAGGGAAGAAGGAAGGACAGGAAGGAGGCTAGAAGATGGAGGGAAGAGAAACGTACGTAGAGACCATATTTGCCAGCGCAGCAAACGATTTGGGATCGGTAAAAGGAAATTTGTATTGGCAGGTCGGAATAGGAGTTATTCCATTCGACGTAAGGACCGTAGTGAGTAGGTCAATGTGGGTTTGTTCATGCTAGTAAACACGGGGTATGTTAGTCTTTTGTATATATTAAGAAGCTTTAAAAAAAGGATTATAGCCCCATGATGCTAATTCGCCCATTTTATGATGGGAGATGTGAGAACAAAGCATATAGTGAAAAAAGGAAACTGACCGATGCAATGACTCCAACATTGTCACGGAATCCGGGTGGAAATCCAGCAGATTCATACTGTTGCTCAGTAAAGTTTTGGAAGCCTGAACTGTACATGGCATGCTCCAGATGCTCAAGGTACAATGCCAATTCGAGGACAGATTGGTCAGAGGCGGATAGTGCCCGCTTGGTCAAAGGAACAGAGGCGACCAAGGGAAGCACCCCAATGGCCAATGGAAGAAAGGACAGCAGCTTCATCGTAGCAGCTTCTCGATGAACCTGTGGAGGCTATGTAGATTATGCACAATACGACAATCCTGAGAGATTGAAGATGAGATGCAAGCAACGGTGGAAGATGAGCAACTTCAAAAAGGATCTGAAAGGAGTCTCTTAAACTAATGCAGGTGGAGAAAGTTTCTTCAGAGGCAGAGGCAGAAGGAGGCGCAGAGTCCCAACTATATGCCAAGCTGGGGTGGGCGGGGAGAGGTCGGGCACGAAATGAACACGGACATGTAAGAATATAAACCTCCATGGTACACACAGCGTAGTCGACCTTTCCGGAAAGAAGAACCTTGTTTTGAATTGACGGGATCCTGCAGTCGGTTTCGAGAGGAGAAAGTGGCAGATGATCGAGTAAGGGGATGACGGTTACAGTTAGATTGGAAACACTTGTCAATCCCCAGTCCCCAGAACGCGGGACGAGTGACGCCAACAGAAAAGCATCCTGGGCAGGACTTTGTTCTTCATACTTGCAAAGCAAGGAACTGGGTAGTCACTGCGACCAATGTTTAGAAAGAAACGCGGGGGAGGAAGAGGATTACTCTCTGTGTGTGAGTGGACGTATATGGATTCATCTTATGTTGACATCACGATATGATGAGAGAGTGAGGGTACTAGCTGGGATGAGGGTTCTAAACTAACCCGCTTAGCTAGACGGGAAACTGATTCGCCTAAGCTTCGCAACCGAACATGGCCTTTTTGGCGATTTGTAGCTTATGATGAACCCCCAGAGCTTAACAGCCGGAACTACCCCACACATCCCCCTCTGCAAAATACGTTACGGCAGGGAAAAGTCAATCATCCGCACTAACGAAAGAGGCGGCAAACAATGGCAAAAGAAATAGTTCCTTGGCAAGTGCGGAATATCATCCCCCGAGTCAGCCAGCTACATTTGGACATTTGATATTGATTCGTTAGGCGTTAACGATTTTGCCTGTTATCTACAGCATTTGCAGCATTTTAGTGTTCCCCATTGGAAGTCATATTCATGAACCCAAGGGATCGCTCCGATTAGATTTGTCTATATACAGTTGCTCTCTGCAACAAATACCCTTCTATACTATATCCATGGCGCAGAATTAGAGTTATAAAATGAAAAGGGAAGAGAAAAGGGGGAACCATGTCTCGGAAAGATCATAGTTAGACGGTGGATATCGCGCTTTCTTCCTGCTCCCGCCACGTGCCGAGCATTTCATCCCCGAGCCCCTCTCGACGTCCTTCTGGCGTGGATATGCTGTTGGCAGCTTTGACCAGGTCATAGCAGATGCTCTCACTGACCACGCTATCCTTCTTGTATTCCGCATGTGTGCCAACAAAATGCCGCAGCCACTTGGCCCCAGTCCAAAGCTCTCCATTGGCTCGCCTTCGAATTAAGCTTAGATATCGAGCAAGTTCGCATCGAGTTTGCACATCCACATTGATTGAATCGAGATAAGTCTCCACCAATGGAATGAGACCGGGGAAGCCATCCCCGGCTGGTCGTGACTGACCATTAATTATTTCGTCAATGGTCATCAATTCATATTCATCTTCGACCTCGCCAGGCGGCGTGGCCGGTCGACTGGTGGTCGTAGGCGTCGTGGTGCCAGAAGGGGTGCCGGTGCCATTGGCCTTTGTGGAACGTGAGGGGAAAGGGCGCTTGCGGAAGTAGAAGCGTTCATCCAAAACAGCGTTACGCCGATGCGCAGTCTCCATGTTTTCTGTTACCTTTGTAATGGGAATGTAAAAGTTGAGATCAAAACTTAGAATAGCCCGAGTGACCAGCACGATGAAGATGGAAAATGCCGCATTTTCAAAATCGGTCATTTGGATTTCCATGGACCGAAACTCCACACGCCAGCCGGTGTCCTTATCGGGTGGAGGGGGCTTGAACCGCATGTGCTGCCAGTTGGTAGACTGCAAGTTTTCAAAATGGTCCGTCTTGTTCAAATCAAGCTCCAACAAGTCTTCGCTGAAGATGACAATGGGATCGCGGATGAAGAGATGGGCAAAATGCGTGGCCAACAATTCATCCATGCCGCCCTCGATCAATCTTGCTTTAAGCTTCTCATCAGTGACAAGATCGGGATCGAGATATTCTGGTCGCAGCCGCGGGTCTTGAGCGATGTACGTCGAGTTCGACGCATATCGGGATTTGGGAATCCGCCATCGGTCATTCTTTAATGGCTGCTTCATTGTTAGCGCATCTTTTGCTAGGAAAAAAGTTAAAAAGAGCAGTGTCCCGTTTTGGTCACTAATACCTTTTCACCCAATTCCTCTGGCGTCCGGTCATCCACGGATGCGCTGACTTGGTTCCATCGCACATCGGTGTCGGCGAGGAACCCCTTGTAAATGGGGGTGGCGGCAGTCAAGGCAAGCATGATTGGCCCAAGGGGGCTAAGTTGGTCGTAGAGAGTCCGCCCTTCTGAGATATTCTTTGACTGAAATGTGATCTGGAGGCAGCAGCTTCCCATGCCATAAGCCATAGCATCCATGTATATGTAATTCTCTTTAACGGCGCCATTTCGCACATCATCGTCTTCGGGCCAGAGATGCAAATCATAATTGACCGTTGGGTCAAAAAAGGGCCAAGGGGTTTTCTCGTCCCGGTAGATGGGGACATTGACCTCAACCTTCCGGCCTCTTCTTGCCCTTATGTTTGCTGCTAACGTGGGGAAACGAATGTGGGGGTTTGCAATTTCGTCGGGCAGAAATTGAGAGCGCAACTTAGGGCCTGACGGAGGGAAATAAGGAGTGATGAATTCGTCCTTCGTTCCAAGCCGAGGGAACGTCGTCAGCGTTACTGGAAATTCATTTCCATGCATGTGATCTTTAGCCAAGATTCTCCTGCTCAGTCCATCAGCTCATGGTTTCGTCGGGAGAGACACAAGACAATGGCACATACCGCCATTTCATGTTTGGTTCAACGTCCAATAAGTCCTTGCAGTTGATACCCCATGGCTTTCCGGGGGTTGCTTCGAGCATGAAGCGGCCGAATTCCGGGTGAAAGACGGGAAGCGCTTCGTTCTTTCTGAGAATTTGAATGCGTTAATAGTGATTCATCCGCCAATTCAAAGTGTCACGCGATACCTTTCGACCGACTGCAAATCTGGAACGACGCCGCCATGTTCTTTGAGGGATTCATCTTTTGCAAGCGCCGTCAGGATATCCGCTTGACGCAAGGATAATTTCACATTGCGATCTTGATCTTCGAATGCCACGACGAGGTATTCAATCTGCCAATCTTATTAGCAATGACCGCAAAAAAGGAAGGATGTCTGAGCTGGCCGCAAACCTCATCGCCCCAAAGCAACGCATCTCTCTCTTTGCCCTTGGCCCGTCTCCATATTGCAAGCAATTGCTAGAAAAGAGGTCATTCCTAGCCCCGGCACATATATTTCGCAGCTGATAGCGAGCATACCTCGATCCCCCATTCCCGCACATGGCTTGCACGCTTCTTTGCTTCCGACCAGTCGAGAGGGGTTCCCACCGCACTGGAGTTCCTGTTAGACAAAGCATAGGCGTTGCTCAGAAAGAGGGGGTTATCATACAGTAGACCCATGATTTCGGACCAACACCCAATGGCCCGGAGTTTTGGTCGCTCAAGCTTGGCGGGGTTATTGTGACCGCTGAAGGAGCCTCACGGGGAGGTCTTCCACGCCGCTCACTTCTCTAGGGGGCAAGACAATATGAGGTTCTTGTACGGCTGGTTCAAGGAGAGAATGATTTTCCTCCAGATAGAAAAGAACGGATCTGGGCTTCTTGAGATTGATGTGACTGTTTCGGCTCTAGCGTCAACGTCGGGAGGGAGATCCGACTAAAACTAGCGGAGGCTTTGGGCGGAAGACAGGAACGGTCGAGTCAGATATTAGCGGATGAAGGTTGTCTACGAGGTTAAATGCACATGTCAGATTTTCTTGCAATTACGGAGTAAGGACCAGATAATAAGATTCATTCAAGCCGAACCCATCATAATTTTTGGGCCCGGAAAAGCGCACAGAATTTAGAAGGTTCATTGTGAAAAAGAGGAGCCGATTTGATATGTGATACTGTAGTGGGCATGGTCTGAGGGGTCCATCCAGGTGTGGATAGCTTATGATGGTGGATTGCTGTATTATTAATGCGATGACGAGCTCATGACTTGTCAATTTATTGGTCAGTCGTTGTTCGGCTCCTGTCCCTGTCGAACTACACAACAAGGGACAGCACGAGATGGTGCCTATGCTGGGCACTTTCCCCACCAGCAGAAGAAGAAGAAGAAGAAGCATTTGAACAATACTTTTTACCTTCTAGTAGTGGTCCAAGAGCAAATTTTGGTGAATTGTCAGAGGGTTTATGACCTTATCCCTACTTTTGACATGCTTATTCCTCTAGATGACTCTCCTGGCTCGGTTGCTCCGCACATGACAATAATGTGGGACTATAATACCCCTCTGGCCAAGGCGGAGTCACCATGATCTCGTTATATGATCCGATTATTACTGCCATACCTTTGTACTTGCTGGCACAATTTCTTCAATTTTCGTGCAAGCAGTCCGGACTCCACTGTCAGGGTCGTTCGTCGTTGGACCGTACCCAAGGGACGAATGCGGGCATTGCGGAAACGATTGCCGTTATCGGCCACACTATCAATTATCAACGAAACAAATTCTAAAACAGGAAAACTGTATCTTTACCCATAAGTGGTATTCCAGAAGACCTCAGAACACTCCCACTGGTCATTTGCATATTCAATCCTCGAAGAATCATATAAGAAAAATGTTGTATTACAAAAAGCAACCTTTCTCCAAATCCAAGGACGGCAGCAAAAGGCCGCAACGAGTCCAAAGATCTTGTTGTTGCAACAATCGTTGACGACCAATTTACGTGCTCTGCTTAGTAATCACAACGCGGCAAAAATGCCCCTCTATCGATCTGACAGTTCCACAACTCCGGCGGAGAACGGAAGAACCCCCCTCCACAAACCCACGTCCGAAAATATTTCCTCCCCGGGAATTTTGTCACTCAAGCAAACCCCCCCCCCACCAAGCACCGGTGGCCTTCTGGACAAGCACTTCTGCTCCCTCATTCCTGCCATTAGTCGTCGATAAGGGCCGATTGATTTAATTTTTATTCTTGTTACATTGAGAACCATTTGTAAAAAAGACCTCTCAGTAACTTGCCCCGCCATGGCTTCGAACGACATCTACACCACTCCCTTGACCGGGCGGTATTCGAGCAAGGAGATGCAAGAATTGTTCTCCTTGCGGACCCGCTACACCAACTGGAGAAAGCTCTGGCTCTGGCTTGCCGAGTCACAAAAGGAGCTGGGTCTGGAGATTTCGGACGAGGCGATTGAGCAGATGAAGGCCCACCTCGAGGTGCAAGACGATGAGTTCCCGATCATCTCTGCTGAGGAGAAGCGACGAAGGCGCGTACCCACATAAGAGACAATTAATTGCTCTTTGATTTCAAACTATAAGCTAACATGGCATCGACAGACACGATGTCATGGCTTGCGTGCACGCATACGGCCAGGTAGCTCCTGCTGCCGCCGGTATTGTACACTGGGGAGCCACTAGCTGCTACGTGACCGATGGAGGTGATCTCATGGCCATGCGCGATGCATTGAACCTCTTGCTGCCAAAATTGGCTCGCGTGATCCACCAGCTCAAGCAATTCGCCATAGCGCACCGTGACCTCCCCTGCTTGGCTTTCACCCACGGTCAGCCCGCCCAGCCAACAACGGTTAGACAAACCATACGCCCTCCTAGACAATAGGATCTTGCTAAAGGATTTTGTACATTAGATTGGAAAGCGTGCCTGCCTTTGGATTCAGGACCTGCTCCTGGATCTGCGCAACCTCGAGCGTGCGCGCGACGACCTGCGGTTCCGCGGTGTCAAGGGCACCACCGGTAGCCAAGCTTCCTTCCTTGCCATATTTACCGGCAACCACGAAAAGGTCGAGCAATTGGATGAGCTTGTCACCAAGAAGGCTGGCTTCCCCTCGGCCTTCACCATCACCAGCCAAACATACACTCGTAAGGTCGACGTCGACGTCATCTCCGCCCTCGCTTCTTTTGGCTGCACTTGCGAGCGTATTGGTGGTGACATCCGCCACATGGCCGCTATGAAGGAAATGGAGGAACCCTTTGAGAAGGACCAGATTGGCAGCTCTGCCATGGCTTACAAGCGCAACCCCATGCGCAGCGAGCGGTTGTGCAGTTTGGGCCGTGTGCTCAAGAACCGCATCGGCGACGCCATGGACACTTACAGCGCGCAGTGGTTTGAGCGTACGCTTGACGACAGCGCCAACCGCCGCATCACCATCCCCGAGTCCTTCCTCTCGGCCGATGCCTGCTTGATTCTCTTGACAAACATTACCGCTTCTCTTGTGCTGTACCCCGCCGTCATTGAGAAGAGACTGCAAGAAGAGCTCCCCTTTATGGCCACGTACGTCTCTCATTGTTATCTTCCCTTCACCCCCTCACCACCTTACTATCTCGCTAACCTCAAATGCTCGTCTTTAACAGCGAGAACATCATGATGGCCCTCGTCGAGCAAGGCGTGTCCCGCCAAGACGCACACGAAGAGATTCGTGTCCTCTCGCACCAAGCTGCCGCCGAAGTCAAGGCCAAGGGCAAGCCCAACGACCTGATCGAGCGTGTCCAGAAGACGGAATTCTTCAGGCCCGTCTGGCCTCAGCTCCCATACTTGCTCGACCCCAAGTCCTTCACCGGCCGTGCTTCTCAGCAAGTTACCGCCTTTACTCGTGAGGGCGGCGAAGTCGACTCCGCTCTGCAACAGTACAAGGCCGGTCTCGACTTGGTTGCTGTCGGCGAATTGCACGTCTAAGCCATTTTAAAATAAAGCTCCTTTGCCTCTTTTGTCCTCCGTCTACTTTTTCAACATCTTCTCCATACTCTCTCCGACCTATCCTCGCAAATTCTTCTCAAGAAGCCAGCCTAGGTCATCTGTATGACTCTCAATTGCTTGGCGCATGGACGCAGGGGTGCTGTTTTGTGCTACTCCTGTTCAAGCGTTAGCATTCCCTCGAAACATATTTCCGCAGCGGCCCGGTCGCGACTCGTTTTTTCAACCTTCTCATTCGCTGCTATCAAGCCTCATGAAAATTTCCTTTTATTTTTCATATTTTTCCTCCCTTGTAAAAGTATCTAAAAGATACCATGTATACTTCCTAAACGAAAGCAATGAAAACAAGAATATATTTCACCAATAAAAATATATCCCCAATGTTCAATCGAAATCTTCCTTATTTATGCTTTGGGAGGGAACACAAAAAGGAATAAAGCCACTTACTTTTAACATGACATGTTGGCACAATAATGGGCAATTCCACCAGACCATCTCTAAGCCCATCATTTTATTCTCCTATCTTCTGAGTCTCAGGATCGCATGGCCAAGAAAAGAAAACGATAAAATAAGAGAAATAAAAGAAATAAAAAACCTTAAATAGCCAATCTAGTCAATTGGTCCTCCAAATCCCCCGCACGCGTCACTCCATCCGCCGTACGATGATCCTCGCCCCCAACAGGCGCGCCACACTCCGGACATGTTGACAGCTGCACGGCGCCTCCGCATTCACCTATTGTAAAGGGATGACCATTCTGGCAATAATACCAATGACCGGTGCCCCGAAACTCGCGAGCCATGGCGGCAATCACAGCCGCGCGTTCTTCATTCGTGACAGCAGTGTAGAAGGTGGATCCGCTCAGCATCTTTTCTGCATTATCAATCTCGCCAGATAGCCCGGATGTCTGCCCTGGATACCTGCGACACAAGTCTCTCGCGGTAGCCAGAGCATTTCGTCCTTGCTCGAGATATTGCTCGCTGTCTTTCAGGTCGCTGAGATATGGTCGCTGCAAGGCGCAGAGCTGAGCTAGAAAGATGGAGCCTTCGACCTGCTGGGGAACACGGTTTGATTTGGCTGCCATGTCGATAAGCGCTTTGCAGGCGGTCATGTTTGCCTGCAAATTGACGGAAAGCTCGCACCCTGTCATTGACCCGATAGTGTTCCATTGCTTGTTACAGAGGGACAGAAAGTCGCCCAGTAAGGCAATGTCCAGACGAATCAAGAGCGCAGCGGCGAGAAGGAGACCTTTGGTCTGCAGGATAGTCTCGTCAAATTCGAATTTCCCGGTTACCTGCTTGGTTCTGCGCACCGCTTCTACAAGATCTCGGACACGATTGAAAGGTTGCTCTTCGACCTCGACTGCCCTGTAGTATCTCACAATGCGACCACGTAGTTTGGAGAGTGCATCCCAGCGTTTCGGGCAGTACTTTCGAACAAGCCCGTCCATGAGCTTGAATTGGTCATGAAGAGAACCGTCGATGCGGACAGTGTTATTATTCTCCTCCTGGAGCACTAGTAGTATTGATGAGAGGAGCATTCCTGTCCCGCGCTCGATTGCTTGGAGCGATCCCAAATGCCGTTGCAGGTCTTGAGCTAGGGGCACATATTCTCTATTAACGTACAAAATGAACTTCTTCGTTGACTCGTCTAGAATGGCACGACGCACTAAGCGGCCGTACCTGGAAATATCCCTCAGGGAGCCTCGACACGTGGCGCATCTCTTGATGTCGTCGACCGAAAAAGGCTCCGATGACGATGCAATAGCGATTGGCTTCTCATCTGCATCATCCATCAGGTAGTATTTCTTCATATCCATCTGGCCATCCATGCTTTCAACTGTCAAAAAGTGACCGCAGCGAGGAAAGATGCATGGATTTTCATCTAGGTTGATCTCGTGGTAGGACTGCGACAAAATAAAATCGACTTCGCGGTCCTTGATACCCTGGTTTGCACAGATTTGACAAAATACCGGCAGCGGACATGTCTCTCCGCAAACCGAGGGACACTGATGGCCACAGGAAAGCAGTTTCTCACAACGACGAGAGCAAGGGATGTTGTCGCAGGGAGCAGCGCAAGGCAATGAACACTCACTGTGTGGACAGGAGGAGAGGCATTTCGATTCAGCACAAGGTGCGCAGGGCTCGCAACATTTTTTGGAGCATTTCGAGTGAGCACATTGTACGTCACAATCAGCCTGACATGGAGGACATGGGTCTGACCCATGGCAGAGTGTGCGGCAGACATGGGCACATGTAGAATACTGTCGACCGCATTTCTGAAGGCATATACCATGGTCAACATTGACGGTATTGTCAGCCTTGCGAACAGTGCAATTCGAACAAGAGCGCTTGCATGTATGACCACAAGGCAGGGTAGATTGGCATAGGGCGGAGCATCTGAACTTTGGACTGCAGACGTTGATATGGCACGCAAGTGTAAGTGCGTGGTTGCATGCTGTAACCTGCTTTTGAACAGGTTGCGAGCACAAAACAAGAGAAGGTTCCTGTGCCTGCCAGCAGGGAAGATCCTGAGCGAGGTGTCCACATCCCAATCTTCGATCTGCCTGATAAACTTTCACCTGACATGCCTTTGGACAGGAATCTCCACAGAACTTAGGACATGGATGATCGCATCCCTTCAGCTGTCTCAAGCACTTTTCTTGGCAGTACACTGCGTCGTGAAGTATGGCTGAATGGCACTTTTGTTTACAAGCATGGCCGCATTTCAGTCGGTTCACGCAGCGCTGATTGCAGCCTCCCTCTGGAGAGAACTGCACAAAGTGGTCCGGGTCTGACACCGAGATAGGAGTGTCCGGGTGACGTGGGCATTGCAGATCAAGACTGTTTCCAAAGTTTCCATTCCGTTGTAAAATATTTATAACGTCCGCCCACATGGGCACGTGGCTCGAAGTCGATGAATTGCCAATGATATACATTCCATATTTGGCGCGTGAGAGTAATACATTGATTCTGTTCGAGGTCCGGAGGAAGCCACAATTTTTCTGCTCGTTGCTCCTCACCAGCGATATTACCACCACTTTGGCTTCCTCGCCCTGGAAATTGTCAATCGTGGCAACTCGAAGTGTCTGTAGGACACTGGCCTTCGCGATGGGGGCATGCTGTCCTGCATCATCTGCGTTCAATCCCGCCTTATCTAGTTCCTCCTGATCTCTCTCACCAAGAACAATAGCAACAGACCCACTGAGCTTGCGCCGGAGCCGGTGAAGTTGGCCGAGATATGGAGTCAGCACAGCAATATCACCACTTTGGTAGGAGCCTTGACGAATTAAGTGATTGACCAGCGCTGTTGTCATCTCAATCTCATGTTCATTCCAGTATGATGTTCCCCCGGCGTCCTTGCTCGAAGTGTTCCCTTCTGGACGTTGATGATCCAGCCAAAATAGCCTCCTCCGCATCCCAAACACTTCTGGATATTCCGAAACGAACGGCGAATCTTCCAGGCAGGGATACAATGTGTCTCTGACCAGCTGGGCGATTGACGGGTGCATTCGGCGCTGGGTCTGGAGTGTGCTGAAAGGAATCCGAACCCCAGAGCTATCATCAGGATCCACCAGTCTTTCAAAAAGCGAAGTATCTAACGAGTACTTCTCACCTCCTTTGTGATCCTCTCGAGAAAGATTAAAATCCTGAACCTGAGGACGAAGCTGCATATGGTCACCAATTAAGATAGCATGCTCAACCGAGGGCAACAGAGCCGTCAGAAGATGGGCCTCGAGAACTTCACCAGCTTCTTCACACAGCACAACTTTTGGTTTCAACCGCTGAAGCATCCTGAGGTTACGAGCAAGACCCGTGGTCGTTACCCCGACTACATGTGCTTCACGGAGACATCGGAAGTCGACTTCATTATTGATGTTGTTGAGCCATTCCTTCGATTTTCGCTGTTCCTGAAGCAAATCCTTTGCGTTTGCATGCAGCTCCACTCTATTCTTTGTAAGCCAATCGTTGTAGAGTATTTTCCGCTCCTCTGCCGACGTTTCGTCGAGGTGAACATCCTGGAGAACGGCTATAGACCGCGGTACTTTTTTAAATGACCTGCCTCCTGCATTGATCCATTGCTTGAATTTACTTCCTCTTTTGGCTTCCACTTCTGCAAAACCCTCCTTATCCTTCGCGAAAAGTTGCGAATAATGTCGGGGACTGGATCTTCGGAGAAAGAACTTCAAATTTCCATATGAGCCTTCTGAGTCCAGTCGCAGATTTTTGAAACCGTCCTCCAATTCATCAAGCTTTTTGTGAAACTGCCACTGCACTTGTTTTTCGGCCTTCGTTTTGGTCGCCTTAGCAACTAATTTACGCAGGTTATATGGGTCCACGAGCTCCGACTTTGACTGTGCCCCGATGCGGATAATTTGTGTAGTAATATTCTTCGTCAGCAGATCCTCAAGTAACTGGTCTAGCGCATGATTCGTGTAACAGACGCAAATAATTGGCCCAATGTGAGCTCCTGCTTTGGCTCTGTTTGCCAGAAGCACTTCAATGAGAGCGACACCAGTGTAGCTTTTACCTGTACCTGGTGGGCCCTGTATAAGTCCGATGCTACGCTGAAGAGCGTTCACCAATGCCACAGCCTGTGCATTGTCCAGAGTCGAATGATCCTGTAGCTTCTTGATGTCAACAGGCTGATCCGGGCTAATTTCCAGCCGCGTACCATCCTTCATCAAACTGCTCAAGTCAAATCTAAACCCTGGCCGGGTGGCATACGCTGGTGGTTGCAGCACTTCGGCATTCTCTATTTTTTCCCCAGCATCCATGGGAGCAAGGAGCTTCGAGAATGGCAAATCCGCGCTTCGCTTCATCCTCTGGAGAGCTCGAAGTGTTGGCTCAAATGCGGCCAAGAGTATGCCAGGGAACTCCACTAGGGACAGCGAAGACAGTGCGCCACGAGGCCGGTAGCGATTGAGGATATATTGTACGTCGTCATCCTTAGGCTCAACCATATCTAATGTCACTGTGGCATTATCCCTCTTTTCCCAGAGCGACGCCAGGTTCTTCGGTTGAGGCTGGCTCGGCCTCGACCTTGGCGCCTCAGCAATAGTGCAAAAGATTGCATTTCCACTGTCATCTCCACCAGTTTCAGCAAGGCACACGAGCGCACCTGCCTGGAGGCGTTTCGACTGCTGCCACCATTCTTGTCTCTGCTGCGTACTCATGCTCTGGACATTTGCCGGTTGGCTGAATTGGACAACGAATTGTAGACCCGCGAACCGATCGAAGTGAAGAGCCACTACACAGATATTGCGGTATGCATACGTCTTGAGCTGATTAGTTCGCACTGCCTGGTTTTTAGATGGTCTTAACAAGATGTGGACCGCATCTCTCAGTTGACCAACTGTATCTTCCCTGAGAAGTCGAAAATTTCTGTCGAGGAGACCAGCGAGGCCACCTATGTGCCACTGCCCAGGGTCTTTTACTGGGAGGTACTCAGAGCGGATTGACATGATTTCCTTGAACGTAGGCATGATTTTGATGTCGCATATATCCGCAGAGTCGTTGTCGTGGCGTCCTCCCGGAGTGTCGCATTTTGCGATGAACGAGGGAATGGAGTTCTTTTCCCGGGCGATCTGACGTATATCATCAGCAACTGGGAGTGTGCTGCCGATATCTAGTCGACGCAGAATCCGTTCAAGATGTATCCGGGCATCGTGTAGCGAACTTGTTGTTTGCGACAATGACAAATCCTTGAAAATGGTTTCGAATTTCACAGCCACGGACTCCAAGGCATTGTTGGCAAATGCTACAGAGTTCAACTCAACGATCTGCCGGAAGACTAGGAGTGAAATCTCGAGATGACTGATCTCTACATCCGTCATTCTTTCACTCTCCGACTGCAAAACATCTGCGAGGAATCCAAGCAAGACAACAGCCCGGCTGCCAGACATCCCAAAGAGAACGTTATAGATGGTTCCAACTGCTTGTTCCAGGATCAAGGAATCGAGGACGTAGCGATGGGTGACTGTCTCGAAAAATGGGAGCATCTGATTTATAAAAGCAGTACTCTTTTCCGAAGACGACATTTTATCAAAATCCCTCTGGACAAGTTCTTTGATGCGCTTCAGTCCCATCTCCCCAGACAGGGATCGAATGACCTCTTGAAGGATACCATCATCCTCTTCGATTAGTCTTCTTGCCTCTTTGAAGAAGGACCCCAGTTGACTGCCCAGAGGGCGGGCATCCGATATTTGCAGCGGGATGCCTTTCCTCCAAGCGCGGAAATCTCGCTCGCTGCTGGGCGGCTCAGGCTTTTGTTCGGTCCGCCGATTGGAATTGATTCGTCCGGCGACATCGTGGGAGAATTTGCAGTATCGAAATCTGCATTTACCGTCTCTCGCAAAGTTGAAGCAAATTCTGTAGTCATTTAGTAAACATGTCTGTAAAGCTGATGGCAGCTGTGGGCTTTTACTCACTTTTGGTTTGTCATGGTGGTCTTTATTCAATAGTAATAGTTTGCCGGGAATAACTGCACGGTCGTCTCAGCCTTCTGCGGCCACGGTGGGATGGCAAATATGACGTTTATGAAAGTATAAGAAACTCACTGAAAGCTAGCTTTCAATGATATTAAGAAAAAGCGAAGAAGAAGAAAAAAATCAAAGAGAAGTGGTTATAGTGGCTGCTTGATGATGTGGCATAGTAGGCAGACGGAGTCTTGTTTGCATGGAAGCAAACATGCAGGTATGCAGCTGGGGCAACATCATTGAGACTGCCTAATAATGCGGCGCAGGAAGCTGGTAGAGCCTTGTCTGCATGATGAACACGTCGGCGCGTAGCTGTGGCCAGGCCATCGAAGGCTTGCTTGCGAAGCTGTGCCACTGACCAATCTTCTTGATATTCGACATCCCATTACGAATCAGTATCCAAGTACGGTTTATTGACCCTACTACTGGACCCCACAGAATGGATCTTTCCTATCCAAGGCCGAAGTCTGGCATTGTTGAGGCTTCTCTATACATGACTTTTGTGTTCAAGGACTGAACATCCCTACAGCAATCGGCGACGTATTTCTGCAAGTTTCAGCCTTGGAGGGGTCGAAAACCTTCCAAATCTCGACGCACCCATCTAAAAAGGTTTGCCCCCAAGGAAACTAGTTCTGCATGAACAAACTTAGCCATCGAGCCTCATCCTATCAGGTTTTCTTTTGAACTCACCTTGGGCACCCCTTGGTTATTGAGTGTAGAGCTTGGGATCAAAAGCAAGGTCGGTAGAATTCGCTACAGCTCGGAGAAAAACATCTCTGTGTAAGGTAGTGGGCGTAATTGTATATATAGACTACCTACCTTAGGTAGGTACCTAGCTAAAATACCTTAAGTACTCATAGTTAAATTTAATGGTAACTGGTTACAACTGAAATTAAAGAAAGGGCAGCGGGACAGTTAACTAACGAGAGAGGACTCGTGGCTCAATTTCCAAGCAGAGAGCGATCGCATCGTTACGACCCTCCTCCGCAAAATCACTCTTGCCTCGTCGGACAGCAACCCCAGCTCCTGGAGCGCTTCCGGGACAGCCAAGTTAAAAAAAAAAAAAAAGGGAAAAAAAAAAAAAAAAAAACTTCCTCATGGTCTCTCTTGTTTTCGTCATTTTTGTCTTTTGGAATTTGATTATTGCTTCCGGGAGACTTCAATTTCTTCCTTGTTCTTTTTCAATTTTCCCCCCCATGTTTGATCTGAAATTCTTCTCATGGTAAAACTATATAAAACGAGTGTACACACAAGACCATTTGGTTCCAATACATGAGACAAAATGTACATGTATTCAGGTAAGTCAATGGAAAAAGGGCGAGGGGAATTTGGAGGAGAACAAGAAGAGCTTGGAGCAAGTAGACAAAGGGACGAATGGGCGGGGGAACACTAAAAATTGGGCAATGAAGAAGAATTGGCAATAATCAATGCATCGGGAAAAAGATATAAAAGGTTTCATGAGATGCATTCCCATATTTTAGGCTACCAAATGTGCAATTAGAAAACAGACACGTGAGAAAGGAGACGTATGGATAATAAGTTGAAAGCGTATAGTCAAGTTAAATTAAATGACAATAAGCAAGGTCCCATATCCTGTCTAACCTTCCTCTCATATTTCCCTGGCCCTTCACCTCGAGCAAGTGAAAAAAGAAAAAAGAAAAGAGAATAATTTCAATCCAGTTCGATCGATGTAAACACCTGTAAATCGATCGCGGACACCCCAACGCCAAAATGCGATGATGGTCTCCATTTGATGGTATGATGATAATCATGGTCGATAAGAATATATGTAGGTATGCAAAAAAGGTTCGGCGGTTGTGTGCTGTGCGTAAAACATGGCAGGATAAAAATGACCAGTTTCGGTACATGGTGATGACAAATGAAAAATAAATAATAATCCGCTGATGACAATGGTATCTCAAGTGCTGACAACGATGACAGTATCCCCTAAAAGGGATATGATAGAAAAAAAGCCATATTTTCCTGTAGATCCCGCGCCTTATACTCAGAAAGCGCGCATGTGTACAGTGCTGAGTACCCATTCCATCTTTTGTCGAAGATGTTTCTTCTGAAGAATTCAAAAACCCAAGACAAAGTCAAGCGAGAAGGCCCAATGTCCACTGGCAAGTTACGCAACGGACAAGAGACTGGGACTGAAAGAAAATACCGGAAAATAATCGTCAGAAGAACGAGTCGAAGGTTGGCATGAACGTAAAACGCCTAAAAGGCGAGCCCCTGACAAAACGAGGTCTGCGCCAAAAGGAAAAGGATGGAATGAAAACCGAGATCAAATAAGAGGTCATTGGGTTGGCTTGGACAGCCCCATAATGGCACAAACAACATGCCATGGTTGCAAAATGGGGCAAAGTTTCTGGAGAGGCACGGTATTATCGACCACAAAGTAAGGAGCGTCGAGCCCAGTTCAAGGGGAGCCCAAAGATCTTGGTCGTAAATTTGAGCTCCCAATGGCGCCTTTGTTGCCCATTTTGCGAGTCAATTTGGCATAATCTGTTGGGGAAAAAAAGCACATTGGTTAGTACACAATCAGATACGAGTGCGCTACTCATGGTGGAGGAAAGTACATACGTAAACCGCAGGCGTTGCAAAGAGTTCGTGCCCCATCTGGTCCCCTTCTCCACTCAGGTGTTTCTGCCCTGTTGCAACTATGACATCGCCCCGGTGGGGCAGCTCTCTGAAACGCAAGATTAGCAGGGTAGGAAGATTTCGAACCAGAATATCTTACGCCTCGTCGTTTCTTCGCGTCCGGTCCAGCGAAACCACCTGCTTTAGAGTCGTCGTGATAGGAGTGGGAGTCCTCCATTTCGTAGTCGGGGGCGCCTTTATACCCATGCGACTGAGCCTGTTGCTCCGCAATAGCATGTTGCTGAGTAACCAACATTTGTCGAACGCGGGACAAATAATCGTGTACGCGAGCCTGCTGCTTGAGCATCTCTTCACACTCAGACAAGGTCGGCATGGAGCTCAACACTGGGCCAGAACGCTGCGTTTGATGGGCCCTAGCACCGTAGTGGCGGGAGAAATCCAAGATCTGTCCACTTCCTTCGGCAATCTTTTGAACCTGTCAGCAGATGATATGCAGCGTAGAACGGAGGTCAAGTCTCAAAAGTCTACGTTACCTCATTTAAGGACATCTCCAAATCAAAGATGTCCAGATGTCGTTTCACAGACTCTCCATACGCTTGTCCTCTTAGTGAAGCGTTTGACGGAGCCGTTTTTCGTGTCTCCTCAGCTCTCGATGACTCCAAACCGTCCGATTTCCAAGTTGGTCGTACGCTAGGAGCGCTTGTGAAGCTTGCAGAGCTGTGATACGACGGTGGTGGTCCTACTTGCGAAGGCGCGTAGCCCGGGTGGGAGGTGTATTGGGAAAACCCGTATTGGGAGTTCATTGGGCTTCCGTAATTGGAGCTTGACTCGTGTATCGACGATGGTGCAGACGTGGGGCCCAAGGCGGGAGGCGGCTGGAAACGGGGTCGACCTGGTTCGGTGGGTGATGGCACAGCCCTTCCTGGGTGCAAGAATGAAGGTTTCGCTTCATAGGCCTCTGAAGCAGAAACCCTAGGGTCTTGCGATGCGTAAGGATTGTGGACGGACGGACGCGAAGGAGAATTCTGGGCTGGCGTGGAATATGTATAAGCGGGTTGTGCGGAAGGGAAATGACCAGGAGGCGGGTGGAAAGGGCTGTCCGTAGGTGGAGGACGAGATGTAGGAGTCAAAGGATGGAGACTGGATGGCGGTGCAGCAGGTGGCGGCGGCGGTGGAGGAGGCGGTGGTGGTGGTGGAGCAGTATAAGGCAGAGGCTGCTCACCCCCTAGAGCTTCATGTATGGAAGGAAGCGATTGTCGTTGAGAGGTTCGCGGGTTTTTCTCATCATCTGACGTCCGACGAGACTCTGGCGGTGAGATCAGGCCCGATAGAGCCGGGACTGAGCTGGCAACAGAAGAGGGATAAGTATAGGGAGGCGGCGGTACTGAATAGGAAGTCGACGGGCTGGCCTGCGCTGTTTGTGGCATGTTTAAAGGCGGGACTGTCGGAGGCTTGTGATAGAGAACTTCTTCCCGCTTGATGCCTTTGAAGTCCATTTGCGCAATTGGCGGTAACATATCCCTGCTGGTGCGTCAGAAGCAAAATCCTTACGGTGAGATTGCGGACGGGCAGGAGGCGGATTGTGAGCCCCCATCAAACATTAAAAGAAAACCGACCTTTGCCTGCCGCTGCCATCTACCGCTTCCATTCCCGTCTGCAGTCGGGGGCGCTTCCTACTCTCCAAACCCTCCAGCGTCAACGGAGCGACGGTATCTTTGGACAGCTTGACGGTGCCGGGTCTGGAACCACTGAATATAATGATACTCTTTCCCCTCCGATACTGATTGAACTGAGAGAATGACGAATCAAGGTGTGGGTCGCTCAATCATTCCACTGTCAAATCCCGATATCGCGGGCTGGTTTGTAGTCGTCTTCCAGGGACAGTAAGAGATATGTCTCGGAAGGTCCGATTCGATCAAAGTCAAGATTTGATCGTCTCGTGATAGTGGGGATTTGGCACTCCAGGTCTTGGAAAGACGTTGTGGGGTCAACGACGTTCGGGAGGCAAAGCATGCGAGTTGTACCGGTTGACGTTGTCGACGTTAGTCGTCACTGCTGGGGGTCACTGCTCGTCTACCAAAGCAAGATATCGGCGGCCATTGATTGCACTCGAACACGAAACAATTCCCAACCAGAGGGGTCCCAGTCAAACGAGTTTCGATGCGAGGTTGAGGCCGTGATCGTGGAAAAGGAATTTCCCACAAAGACTGTGCTCAGGTAAAGAGAGAGTACAGGCAATGTAGCGCCAGTGAAATGCGCCGATAGTAAAAGTGGCGGTGGTGGTGGTGCTCGAGAAAGAGCGTAAGAAGGTGATGAACGAGGAATGACAACTAGGCGAGACCTTTTGATCAAGATTGGGGGTAGGGATCTTTGAAGGGAAAGAAAAGACGGAGCAAGCGACAAGATTTGGGCCCACGGGAAGCCGAGCGATGTAAATGTACGAACGGTGGTCGATTTGTTCTCTCGAAGGGGACGAACTAGTTGATGGCGGACCTTAATTCTTGGACGGGAGCCAGGATGGGATCATCGAGATCGGAGATGGCTCGCCGTCTGGTCCAAGTCCCATACAGGGCTGGAACGGTGGAGCCGGGGGGTGGTAAGTTTTGTGGCAGTCGATACCCAAGAGAGTGAAAGGGGGGGGGTGAGTGTTAACGTATGTGTGGAAGGGGGATGTAATGGTAGAGGCGGCTGTGGTGGTGGTGGTGGTGGTGGTGTTTGGAGAAGAATAGTAGAAACGTTGGACTTGGATGGGCTGGTCAGGGTGCAGTGGGTAAACTGGATCCCTTTTAGTGCGGGTGTGTGCGTATAAAGTACAATGAGAATAGTTGTGGGTGTGGGTGTGGGTGTGGAGACGAATGGATGAATGGATGAACGAATGGACGGAACGATGAATGGACGGATGGATAGATGGTATCGACGGGATGATGGAATATAGTGGGAAACAAAAAGATGGTCTGGTTAGCGGCCGGATGAGCGTCGGTAAGAGCAGTGGTTAGTGCGTCAGTTAACATCATGAGGGACACCAGAAAAGTACAAAAGTCAGACAATGATGATAATGCACTACCTCAGGCAGGTACCTCATGTACTTGTCATTGTCACAAAAAGAGAACAATCACACTGTAATTGAACCCTCCAAAGCAAATGACATTCGGGGGTTGGATAATAGCATTGGCACAAGCTGCCCCTGGTGGTAGAGATTGCTGGTCTGGCTAGTGGCGCCCCGGGGCGTGGAAACGACGCAGCTTGCAGCTCTAGCAGCAGGAGGGCAAAAAAGAAGAATGATGGGCAAATCATCAATAGTTAGAATCCCCCGTGTGGCTTGCCCACCCGGCGTGCTTCCGTTCTGCTTCCCTGCGCGACGGCGCACGAAGAGTCCAACTTCAAATAACTCAAAAAAAAAAATCTCAACGACTGAAATCATGGACCAAAACATCGAGGCAAAGAATCTCAAAGATTGCCTGATCCCTCATCTAGGCCTTCCCCTCTGTGCGATGCATAAAACCACCCATCGTGTGTTGGCAAGGACCCCCCTCCTCATCCCGACTGACTGGATCTTCATTTCAACATGGCAGCATTCGTGATTTAAACGGGAAACCAGGCCGTCACTGACAAGGGCCCTGTCATAGACGACATGGTACCGAGGATACAGAACAGCAGTCAGATAATTAATTTACTTCTTCGACGGAATATACCATGGATGCGTATCTGCATCATCCTTGAACAGGGCCCGAAACATATCACCCTATCGCGACAATAATAGCTTCTCCCTGATTTTTCTTCTTATCGGTTGGAGACACAGAGCAGCTCCGGTTGTCTGTGACACTCTACAATCTAATAGAAACATAACATACCGATCCTGACATCTGACGAAAGGGCATCGCCAAATGTGGTGGACCTTAAAAAGGCATCCATAGCGAAAGGGCTGGGATTATTCTCGAAGTCGATGTGGGTAGGTTTCTGCTGCACTGCAGATGCTCCTTGGAGTGCAGCCGAAGGATTAACTATAACTTAGATCACAGATGCAGCAGATGGGCGATCAACGGGCTCAGGCAAAAGAACGGGGGCTACCCAACCTCGTCTCGGGGCATGGGCGGGGTCAAGGCAAGTTCGCGTTATGCATAGGTTGGTATGGTGCGACTCCCTTTTTTTCACACGGCTGGTTGTGCTTCTGCTTAGTATGCCAGTGCTGGTGGCGGTGGTGGTGGTGTTCAGCGTGTTGTTGGTGTTGTTGGTGTTTGTAGCTACGATCGTTCTCCTCCTCCTCCGCTGTCGGCGCGCTCTCATGCGGGTGAAGCCGTGAGGGATTCTAAATCATGCATGTGGCAGTGGCAAGAGGGAGGAAAGAGGGGCGCTACTGTATGTAAAAGGGTAAGGAACCATAGCAGTGGGTGGAAAGATTGCTGTTATTAAACCAGACCGTAAAAAGTAAAGAATTAACAGAGGGCAACGTTTCACCGTTCCACGCGCCGTGCACCTGGTACTGATGTCTCAAAAAGAACAGGAAGAGGAAAAGGAATGAGTTTTGAAATAGAGGCAGAAAAGCGCGCGTGCCGTCGATTAGTAAACTCAGGCCCCAAACCAGCACCCCGTCACCCCCTGGTCACTCAAATGCGATACACGGCGATGCGATGAGATGGGGATGGTCATGATATTTTCCGACGTGCCAAGGAAGGAGGGGCGGCCAGGTGTGGGAAAGGGTGTCAGTTTTTCAGAAGGGCAGCCCTGGGCGTTTTGCCCGAAGTAGCCTGCGCCGCAGGGCGTTTGGTGCCAGACGGGTTGTTTTGCTTCGGGACCCAATAACTGATGATTTACCAGGGCCCCCTCCTCCAAATCTGACCCATCATTATCTTTTGAATGAGGTACTCCCGAGTATTTCTCTTCTACTTGACACCTTAATTAAGTATTGATTGTATCAGAACCAGAGGCCCACTAGAGTGAAATTAAACGCCCGAATGGTGGTTCCCATCACCAGAGCGAAGGGGGGGGGGGGAAAAGTGGCTCTTAGTTCATTCCAAGTCATCACGATCTGCTTCTGACGTAAAATCTGCTGGTTCAGATGCCGAGATCTCGATCTCATAACCAGAAAGAAGGTGTGGGAACGATGGGCAGCGGACTGACGCGGGTTTCGAGACGAGTGTGTTAGAGCATGTGGTGCCGCAAGCTGCAAGGAGAGCCGACCGACCGACCCACGAACGCCCCCCGTTGATCGTTTGCACTCCATCCCCCTACGAAATGAAAGTCTGTTACGAAGTAGTAGGGTAAACAAAATGACAGAAACCCCCGGCCTCGGCTTGTCACTGAGAACAGACGAGGAGACTGATCTGCGGAGGGACAAGGGTTTTGCCTGCAGCGACCTCTCGGGGTTACTGCTATTTTCTATCTTAATAAGAATAAGCTATAACCTGCAACCTCACCACCCTTGTTATTTGCCACGACGTCGAGCCTTTACCAGTCCCAGCGTGCCTCCGAGCAGAAGGGCCTACCGCCAAATAAACGTGAGCAAAATGCATGTATACCACAACGGTCGAAGGAACGCTCCTGGGCGAACGTCATATTCCACAAGCATAGCTGCCAGTGTAGCTGACTGACGGACCACCTTCGAACCAGTCTGAATCTCGTGATACATCTGTGAAGCTGTTTGTGATCATAGGCTGAAGGTAGATCTACCTCGTTCTTGTACATCACTAATCAGTTTCGTATGGCCACATTGCAAATGAGAATGTTGAGAATGGGGGACAATTACGGGGCGGGAAGACTTCGGGGTTCCATCGGTCAAGGTCATATCGCAGCGACCAATCAATACCTCAGGTCTTCCGTCCAGATAATGCAAGACCAGTTCAATATTCGTCAAGTTGAATCCGGCGAGTAGGAACCAACTAGACCAACCATGCCTGCGAATGCTTAATGTGGATTGACTACAGGTAGGTGGAGCTGGGTGTATCGATGCAGATGACGAGGCACCCAAGCGAGCGATGCTGTTTTGAGAGTCGGAGCAATGGCGACGACGTGTGTACAAACAGAACTGTAACATCATCGCCAAGCGCCTCATTTTTTCCCCCTTGTCTTCCCTCTTGCAATAGATACTTCCCCAATAGTCATCATTACTGTTGCTTTCTCCGAGAAAAGTCTCGCGCAGCGAACCGAGCACACACTTGTGTTGACGAAGCGGCACACCTTACGGGAATGCGTAAGGCGGAGCAGAATAGCCACTTTCAGAACCCGATGGCGCATCTCATTATCACGCGATTCTTGCATCTTCTGCCACTCCGTCGGGCTCGGGCTTGGGCGGGCCGGCCGCAGGTCAGTCCCAAGGGAGAGGGAGAAAGAGGCTCTCTTTCCAAGGGGGTGAAGGCGACCTGCAGCATCACAAACATGCAGACCCCCATCCAAGATTCGCTCCATCCTTCCAGATGTACGATCCGATTAGGGTAACAGCGACAGTAACAAACATTGGTTGGCTACCGAAAGCGTGGCCATCGGGGTGTGACGGCGTCTTTTGGAGCTGGGGGGAGTGGCTAGCGGGCTTGGTCCCGGACAGAGATAGGTAGGACTCTGAAGGAAATGAAGTGGGAGTATGCCCTTGCCTCAGCACAAGCCTTGATTCTGATCCAGAGTATCGCTTTTGGGCCCCGGCTATCCTCCTTCCTGTCTCTTCAATCTAGTTCTCTTGGCCCACACACGTGCTATTTGGCGTCGGTACCGATCCGAAGGCCTGGCAGATGTCGTCAGCCGTTTTCGATCCCGTAGCGGTTCGGAGTGTGAGTAAAGAGGAAAACATGAAAGGCAAAGTGACGGCTTAGAAGATCTCACAAAAAGGTGAAGTAGAATTTCGTCCCTTTTCAGAGATACAGACCATCGGATCCGTTCTAAATCTTGAAACACATCATCGAATCCTCTCAATCTCCGCTTATTTGCGCCACTGGGCTGCAATGAGAGTATAATTCACTCTCTTCGTAGGTACTTCTCGACTCTGGACCGATAAGGGTAAGTCGCCCAGGCCACGACATGATTTCACAATCTGCCCAGATTGCGTAGTTAGAGTTGTTGGTTATCCCAGCCGCCTGGTCGTTCCCGACCCGCTATCCACTTCACGACCAGTTTAGCGCCTCGCCAAATTACACTGGCTTGCGGGCCGAAGAGTTTGTATGGTCAGAGTTTTCTACCACGCGAGCGAGGCTGGAGAGCGAACTTTTGCACGAGAATCGGCTAAGTGAAAGTTGTCCCTCATTAAACTGAGTACTTCGGAGTGCATTTTCATTTGAGACATGGACTTTGGCGGCTTTGGAGTCCTGAGCCATCCGGCACAATTCATTCAAACCCCAATCGCAACGCCTTCCAAGTTAGGTATATCTCTGGAAAATTACGGCACCCCGCAGGGCTTTAGAATGTCTCACCTTGATTGGTCGGGTACGAGAGTGCCATAATCAGTCTCCGGGGGTCAAGGGGGCGTTTGGGCCAGCAGGATCGACCCCGCTGCAGGCGGGAGTCTGCAGGACGTTCAAGTTACAGCGGTATACCGGAGACCAAAGTATGGCGCTTGTTGTGAGCTTTGCATTGAAACTTGGTTGGGGTACTGCTTAGCGAAGGCGGTACTTGAAATCAAGTCTCTATCGGTCAACGTTTTATTGTGATTCTGGGTCAAGACTTTGCCGACACACACCCTAGCCCACCTATATTCAGGAACTGTTAACTTTATCTGAACCTTAGATGAGCTGACTCTTCCAATATAGCAAGAGCGTTGACTTTGGCACGATGAAAAGCATGATTGAAATTGAAAGCAAGAAAAGAATCATCGAAAGTGGTAGAGGCCAAAAGCCAGCTACATTGTGGAAGATAATACTGACGGAACTTCCACTACTATAGGTGCGTAGTATTCCGATATCTTTCATAAGCGAAGAAGAAGCTTCTCTCTCCTTTTTGGTCTCTGCTCTGAACCGCCCGCTCGCTTTAGAGGACGGGTTCAACCTAGTTGGGTAAGTGGGACCGCAGGATGGCTGCTTTTGGGGAACCCCCGAAACTTCCAAGGAAAGAGATCTCAGATCATTCCAAAGTACGGTACTCGGTGAGCTTGCTCACTAGGAGATTACCTTTGGGTCGAACACTGGGAGGCTTTTCATAGATTCGTTGCGGACCCTGACGCCATTTCATTTCGGGCGATTCCCCTCCCTCGAGTGGCCTGATTTCTGTCGGCCGGGGCTGTGGTGGCGTTGTCAGTGCAGACCAGGATCTCATCGACCGGCATCAAAAGTCATCGAGATCTGAGCGCCAGGAGCCCCAGACCACGGGGCGGTTTGATGGTCCCGCCGTCTATTGTTTCCTCTGGCGGTTGCAAGCACCAGGTCAACTGTAACCGAACTCTTTGACCTTTAGCTCAACTTACTCCGTAGGAGTTCAGCAATATCGTACGGTGAGCGGTTTCCACCCTTTCCATCCCCTGGTCGTTACAGTATTTTTCTCCTGCTTCGCTACGCTCCTTCGCATATCGCATGGCAGCAGCGCCAGTAGCCGTTGCACGGCATCTCCCGTACCCGCAATCCCCTTTGTTTTGCACTTTCCCTTTCGTGAAATAACAACAGTCCTTCCATACTCGATACCTTTTTTGATAAATGAGGGTATGATTGCTTAAAAGATGAATGATTGATTCTCGACGGTTAGACGCCTTGGTTTCTGGAGCAAGTCTCGTCAAGGAGACCATTGAGGTCCTCTATAGAGTGTCGGAGCTCAGTGCGCTCAGACAACAAAAATAGGGACGTGTCTGCCGTTATCCATCATCGCCGAAGAGTCTGATGCTCCAGTTCTGGAATTTTCCCACGCCACTACTTCCAAGATAGCCACAGAACTAGAGGAAATTTTTTCTTCATTATTCTAGCCATCATCAGCGCCGGTGGGATCGACGTTTCAAACTACCAGTAATCATAAGATTTAGTGGCCGTTGTAGCTAATAAATCCAATGGAGCAAGCAGGGAATGGCGGGATCGTGTCATCATGGTGGGGCAGACCACAGGCTATAATTGATAGTGAAGCTAGGATCTAATTGACCTGTCTCAAGTCAAGCAGCAGGCCAAACCGAAAAAAATTTTACGAGACTTTACCTGAGGGTGTCTCGAGTAATGAAAATAAATTAATACGGAACGCTGTCCGATCGGATTGCCGGCGATGTGGCTCCATCCGGTTCTAATATCCGCGCGGTGAACTGTTGGCCGATTTTCCAGACGTTGGAGTTTGTGAGCGGTTGAACGAAAAAGATGCCACTTTTGAGCTCCGAATGACGCCCATTGGTAAGAGGTAATCGTGCCCGGACTGCTTAATTCAATCCCAGACTCTATGGTATAAGAAAAGGTCACAAAGTAGAATTGGCAGCAATGACGATAACAATGACCATGCTTGAGGGGTCGCTGCAGGGATCATCCTCCGACCGTTGGATCGCCTTAGTTGATCAGCGCCTTCAATAACGGTCGTTCGAAAGCGATCATTTACTCGCACTCCCTCCCCCCCCCCCCCCCCCCCCCCCCCCCCCCCTTCTTTAGCCTCCATCACGTACGGCATACACTTCTTGCGAAGCCAGCCAGGATAATGTTTGTGTAAGAGTGAGGTTTTGTCGAGGGTAGATGCATCTTCCCCTGCCAAACAATACTTGGCGCTGTGAATGGAGAAAATCTAAAGAGTAGGTTTCCCAAAAACGCTCTCGTCTCTCAATGACTTGGGAGGGGAACGTGGCAGGCCTCCCTAATCGCGCATCCAGCAGGGCATGCCGCATGATACATTATTTGACGGGAAATCGGCGCCAAATGCTGGCTATCTGAATGATGAAGATAGTATGCTCGCCACCTCCCTCTCCTAGCTGGCATGTAAGAAATAGATCATTGTTTCCCCTTTTTAAGTGCACAATGAATGAAAAGTATGCGAAAAAGACTAAAAAAAAAAGAGCTTATGAAAATGGTGCCTCCGCCCTTGTATTTGTTCCCAGAATTGATCTCGTCGAAAATTTAATTCGTCACTGACACCGGCGATAATGATAAAGGTCAGTGCATTGCTCTTTGCTTCGTGATCCTTGGTACATCCCGAAATATCCGGAGTAGGGTGTTTCGTAAAGAATTAAACAATAAATAAGTATGGGCCTAGGACAGAAAGTAGAGATTCCAATCCAGTGCGTCTACTCTGTAATTCGAGGACAAAAGCAACTCACTTCATCACATCACACACATGAGAACGGCGTCGGTCACGTTGGGGTGACAAGGGGGCCTGAACGCACCCCAAATTTGCCCTTCCCGCCCGTCAACCTGTGATCATGAACGGCTTTTTCTCAGGGGTCCTCGATGCAAAGGCGTCGATCTGGTCTAATTTGGTCTAGATTTCAATGGAGTACGCTCATCGTTATGATAAGAGGAATACCTGAGGCTTTTCACCTTCCATGTACGCGTGGCGTTTGAATAGAGAAAGAGGTGCAAAACCCTTTTGCATAGTGGCGGTGATCAATAAGGAGTAGAGACGCGTTGATCCCAGAACCCTTCCCGGTTTCGCCCCGATCCTCGTTTCGAGGGTTGATTGTCCAGGCGCCATAGATCCTGTTCTCTCGGTCTGAGTTGCAGGCGGGCCGTACTGGACCGAGGCACTGTACCATATTGTATGTACAGTGGATGAGCCGCGTCTGTTTAATTGGATGCGGTGTGGCTTACGCACAAACGTCGCACCTGGAAAGTAGGGGATTGCTTTGCCTATCTCGCGTTGTCTGCGATTGCTCGAAATGATTCAAACACATGGGGAGGTCGCTCTTAACCGCCTACGGAGTACCTTCCTGCCCGACACAGTATGGAATCACAAACTTTGTTGTAGAATCCGATTGACGTAGTGGAGAGGTAACGGCCGTTCCCGATGTCGGTCTGCGATAATGTAGTCTACTGCTGGTTAATAACTACCTAACTTTGTGCGTTTGGGGCCCATGCGCCTCAGACATACAAAGAGGCTTGGATCTCATCTGATCTGATCTCATCGCATCTCATCTCACCTCAGCGGGATGTCTAGTGTCGGGGGCTGATCCTTAGTGGCGTCATTCTTCTTCATGCTAACCTCTCAAATATTCTTGTCATTCTTCTGCTTAATTGCATATCTTCAGTTGTCTCCTCCTTTTAGACGCAATTATTTGTTGCCAGCGGAGAACCCTTGTCATTGTAGCTAGACACCACACTTCCAATATCACTGCGGTTGTAATTGTTCTATTGAATTGGCTTGATGGTCCTCAAAAACCTGCGTTGATCTGTACCGCATACGTGAGCATGCATCGTAACCTTATAGCGTGGTCACACGTTATCGGCCATTGATCCAAATGGTTGCTGCTTCTGCGCCTTCTTTAGCCAGCCAATCTTTGGTAACGAGGTAGGTAGCGCGTGCAACCCACATTACTTTTCTAAGTCTCTGGTGGAACTCAGTGTCTCTTTGGACGTCAGACACATGCTGTGGCGCTCGGTTTCCACTATTTCTGCACGTAGCCTTTCGACATCTGCGAAGATGGTTCGATTCTCCTATAAAGACAAGGGGTTGATTGGACCCGAACAGTATGGCTTCGATCCGGACAAGAAGCCAAATATCAATGTTTCTCTCCTAAGATGCAAGACACAGCCTGAAGCACCCTGGATTGTCGTATCGAATCCCGCAAGTTGTAAATCCACATCAAATAGTTGGCTGGCCGCTTGGGCGAGGAATGGAATCATTGAGTGCCATTCCGACCCGGAAATTACTTGGTTAGCAGCCCAAGTGGCCAGTGCCAACCTGCAATGCTCTGTCTTTTACCGATGGATGAGCCGGATCTTGAGTCATATGTTCCGTTACTGCACCATACCCTGCATTTGGTGGACCTTACCTCCGTAGCTCTGTACACTGGACACATAGAATTTCAGTATAGATTGGTGCCTGACGGTTGATCAATGCGTTGTTGCTAACGCTGCTCGATCTTTGTGAGAGATGCACTTTACCGACAGGGGTGCACTGATCGATGGCAGACCCTTCAAGGCTCACCTATTGGTGCCCTTGAGACGAGAAGCACTGGTCAAGGCGTCGATCGAGCGAGAAACAAGCCGACACTGATTGTGGTAGGATTTATCACTGTACCATTTGAAACGAATGGAAGCGGTGTTGTCAGTCGTGTTTAATATAACTTGATATAGACCATTTATATCCACAGTTTGGTCTCTTATTGATATTCAATTCTGGGGGCTTGAAAATTCATAATTGGCGAAGATTGGGTGGCTCGTGCTATGTGTTCCAGGACAATATTGACCAAATCGTGGCATTCTTGCAATAAATTTAGATCGTAGCTCTTTCTCCGATTCCCGAAGGTCAATCTACGCTGATCTTACGACAGACGAACCAATTATAGTGGCACATTTCCACGAAATCTATTTCCGATTTCCGTACTTTTCATCTAACAGGGAGTCCATGATTGTCTTCCCTCAAATACCTTGCTTTTCCACCTTGTTCTGCGGTTGCCATGCTAGGAAAAAAACACTCGTGGAAGAGCAAAGGACTTCGGTGGCTGGCTGAACGCTGCTGCCTTTCGACGCCCTGCTGTGCCACTGTTTTCGTAATGCCGTTGGGGTGTCCGTCTCCCCGATGAAAGAATAGACATTCAAATATGCAAGGTGCTTCTCTAGAGTGTCAACCGTTCATGAAATTAACTTGTCAACGTCGATGATTTACGTTGGTATATAGCAGTACGAATCGACGCAAGCCGAAGTATTGGTGGCAACTTACTACTTGCATGGCCCCATGACGTGCATGAAGTTGAGTTTTCTGATCATCTAGATTTACCCAATGAACGGCAGAACGAGAAAAAATTGATGATTAAATAGAAACTCTGAAAATCAGACGTATCTTCTTCACTGGCAGTTGTATTATGATGCCATCATATAAATAATAAAGGAAGGAACCAAAAAAAAAAAAAAAAAAAATTTTTTTTAAAAAAAAATAGTTTTAAATGAATTCGTCCAGAGGGAAAGCAAATGCGAATTTTTGTTATCCCAGAATCAATATCAACTTCTCGGTTGCTTTTCGTCCAGAAGAATCCTCAAAGATTCCTTATCCCAGACTCTCTCCATAGCCTGTTTTTCTGTGTTTCCGTAAACGGCAAGCGGAATCTCACTCTCGCTCATGTACTGACCGTTGACGATAGGAGCATTTTGTATGATGCTACGTGCCGAATCATTGGACGGGGCGACGTAGAGAAATGGTTGGCAACTTGTTTCAATCTCCTGAATAAGCCCTTGCAGGAACCTCCCTTCAGGGTCCGACACTTTGGTGCGAGTTGCAGAGGTTTGGTCCTCACTGAAGCGGTCCTCCCACGCTTTCCCAGTCTTGCCCCTGAAGAAGCTTTGGAACTTTTCGAAGGCTGTTTCGAAAGTGGACGCAACAGGTGCTAGAACGATTGCTGTTGATATGCTATTTCGATAATACTTTGCGGCGGTGGCATAGCAAGATGGAAAGAAATGAGACTCAAAGAGCTGCAATGACATATAGGTCAACTCATACAGGTCGTTACGGTATAGAGATTTCATAATTCTGGAGAAGTAATCTAAGAGACACTTACTTTTAGATGATATCGCTCATTTATCTTGCGCTCATCATCCGTTCGGAGAAGCGTAACGTCGTACACGAGGCCGGTCTCGTCTTGGTATAGGTGGTAGTTCTCTGGACCACCCGTTCCCGTGCCATTAGCGCTGAGAAGAAAAATATCTGCTTGAAAGAAACCTTGGGAGTGATTAATTGTTCAAAAAAGCCTTCAACATGTCAAAAAGGAGAGCCCACAGACTGACTCTCGGAGAGAGGATATGATCCAGAGCCTTCGACGAGGTGAATAATAGCCAAAAAAAAAAAAAAAAAAAACGTACCGGCCAAGAGGCTATCAATGGAATCATCACAACCCTTTGCAAATGATGCTGCTGTTACCCCACATGCCATATAGGCAGATACGTTAGCCTCTAAAAGTTGAACTTCATCACTAACTGCCAACCGGGATAGATCCCCATTGTGAAATAATACTTCCACTCTGGAAATATATCTCGCAGACGCAAAACAGTTAGTTGCATGACAAGATTAACCCACCTTTCTCTCTTACTGTTTTCTTGACGGTTTTCGCGGTTTCACTTTTGGTCGCTCTATTCTTGCTTTTATCATTTGTTACCAGCAAGTTCTTCCACAAATAAGGACCTTCCCTGCGCGGTGACCGGCGCCGTAAGGTATCTTCAAGCCAGTCGAATGAGACAATCTTAATCTTCTTCGAAACTTGAGCTTTTTGAACTGCGATTTGGGAGTTAGTTGCTGATATATCAAAGGGATTTGATGCCCTGAAAAGAAGTAGGGAAGAGAGAAAATATGTCCATGCCTATCCCAGTCTTCCGCTTATAGTGCATCTCTGAGCACACAACATGAGTTACGTCCTCTGTGATGCCACTGGCAAGTGTTCCCCCATTATTCTTTATCCAACGCTTAATATTTTCGTTTGATCGACCGGGGCCAAACTCGCCACTGATAGCGATGGTACATCGCTTCAAGCAGTTGCGCATAATGATGCGAGTCAAGCCCAGCGATGGTCAGAGTATAATCACCTGATTAGCGAGTCTCGAAGTGAGTGAGATAGCTTTCAGTATTGCACAAGACTCTTCTTAAGAATGATATTGCGTGAAGACAGGAGTCAAAGCAGGTCGATTTATTCTTGAAATATGAAAATGGCTTGACGACCGGCGGCAGGGGATCAAATGACGTTAGGAGAATCCACACTGGTACAACCTAACAGAACGAAAGATGCGAGCTCTCTGGAATAAAAGGTATGAAACTTCAATATGGAAATGGCAATAATTTAACGGCAATTTTCGAGAAAGACAAATACGTATCTCCTCAAAGGCTGGTAATTCTGACTCCTTAATGGAAACTGAGGATAGTCAATACTCATAATTGACTTAGAATGGGAGGTTGGAGTATGCGGAGGTGTTTAAAGTTTCGCAGAGGGTAGATACCGGAGAAAGAGTAATGAGCCAGTGCAGCTGAACGAGCCACAAGGCTTGTGAATATACCGTGATAAACTCTAGGAAGAGACTGATGATATCCTGATTTCTTGTGGCGTTGCCTGGAAGCGTCAGATAACACTGTTGGGCTAAGGAATTTCAAGTCAACGACTATTAAATGTGAAGGATTTATCTTGATTATGCGCACTCGATATTGAGAAGTCCCAGACCTAAGCAAGTGATAGGAGGGTGAACCGATGTTGATAATAAACCTTTCTCTTTCTTGGTATAGATCTATCTATTGTTGAATGACGACCGCCTCACGAATCAGACTTGGCGGCCGTGATAAATGCCTTGATCTTTTCAATACTCTGAGTTCCGTTGTCTTCCACGCCACTGCTCACATCCACAGCCACAACAGACGACCGAATTTGTGCCAAAGCCGATTTGACATTCTGTGCATCTAGACCACCCGCTAGGATGACCTTGAGATGGGAGTCCTTACTGAGGGTATTTTGAACCTGGCCAAGGTCCAGCATTTGACCTGTCCCACCAGAGCCAGAGTCTAAGAGCGGGAGAGCATGAAAGCCTCGCCGACCAATGCCCAGATCGCCAGGCTTGAAGCTGTGAATTACCGGAACGGGGATAAGAGCAGCCCATTCTACAGGTTCAGAGCCATGCAATTGCACGATGTCTAGATCTAGAATCTTTTGTTGCTCCAAAATGTATGAAAGCGGTTGGTTCTGGAATACACCCACAAGCAGAGCCCGTCTGGGATGAGACAAAAATGTAGAGCTAGCATGGGAAAAGAATTCAGTTGCTGCACTGGCATTGGCTTCCGGCTGCAAAGTTGGCTTCGCATTCGGTCTTGGAGTCTGGTGAACGACTTGAGAAATACGGATGGCAGCATCATTAGATACTGAGCGCTTTCGTCCTTTGACAAGGATCATACCGATAAGATCGGCTCCCGCTTGGACAGCCGCCTCAGCAGCTTCAGGAGTTCGCGTGCCGCAGATCTTGACCAGTAGATCCTTCGTATGGATCGGTGATTGTGATTTCTCAGTGCCTCCAAGCAGCTCCGCGATAAATCTTGTGGTATCGGTGGCTCTCATGAGAGCCTCGCCAACAAGTACTGCACCAACGCCATTTTTCTTGTATGCTTCGACATCCTGAGAACCGGAGATACCACTTAAAGCGCAAACGATAGTGTCCTTGGGTACTTTGTCCATAAGTCTGCTGGTGGTGTCTAGATCAACTTCAAAGCTAGCAAGATTTCGGTTATTCACACCGATCACTTTCGAGCCTAGCTTTACTGCGATATCCATTTCATGCGCAGTGTTGACCTCAACCAAGGGCTCCATGCCGAGGGATTGAGAATAGTGATAGAGCCTTGATAAGGTCTCTTCGTCCAGCATTTTGACAATGAGCAACACAGTGTCGGCACCTGCTAGCCGCGCCTCCAAAATTTGATATTCATCAAAGATGAACTCTTTTCGTAGCACAGCCGGGCGATTCGGCATGCCTTCCAGGCTTTGTCTAACCAACCGTAGATCATCAATGCTACCCTTGAACCATTCAGGCTCAGTCAAGACCGAAATGACACTGGCCCCTGCGAGGGCGTAAGTTCTGGCCTGCGCCGGAGCGCAGGTAGCCAGAGAGATAATCCCCTTCGAAGGCGAAGCACGCTTAATCTCGGCCATTAGAGAAAGCGGATAAGGTGACTGCCTCAGTCTCTCCGGGAAAGATATTTGCGGCGGAGAGAGATTGAGCTGGTAGGAGGCTTCTAAGTCGCAGAGCCTTTGAGATGGGATCTGCTTCTGAGCCGCGACCGCGGCCTTACGGTGCGTATAAATCTTCTCGAGGATTGATGGTTTATTTGTTGCCTCTGAAGCTTGTGCACTCGTCAAGCCATTGGAAACCTTTTCAGTCTTGTTTGCGTTCGATGACAAGCCCTGCAAATGCTCATTCTCTGCCCAAGTTCCACCTTGCATTCTGAGGAAGTTTTTAATCATGACTCTTCCTTCCTCCGTCAAAATACTCTCCGGATGAAACTGCACGCCCTCAATCACATATTCTTTGTGGCGAACCCCCATGATCACACCCTTGGCGTTGTTACCTCTTGAGATCCAGGACGTGATCTCAAGACACTCTGGGAGCGAACGGTGTGTACCAGCCAGAGAGTGATATCGAGTCACAGGGAGATCCTGAGGTAGCCCCGCAAACAATCCTTTCCCATCATGCCGCAGAGGCGATGTTTTTCCATGCAAAATCTCTCCAGTCACGTCGACTTCACCTCCGAAAACGGAAAAAATGCATTGCCTGAAATGATAGGGATTAGCGCGCACACGAGATGAAATTATTCAAGCCTCATGTAGGCAATAAGTAGAAAAGACTTACTCTCCCATACAAACACCGAGAATGGGAATTTTTCCACTGAAATGGCGAATCGCTTCTCGACTGATACCAGAATCGGTTTTGGGATGACCAGGACCAGGGCTCACGACCAACTGCGTCGGTTTGAGCGCAATGAGCTCATCTAGGGTGATCTTATCATTTCTGTAAACTGTAACAGTCGCACCCTCAAGAACTAGGTATTGATAGACATTCCAAGTAAAAGAATCGTAGTTGTCAATGAGAATCAAGTTTGAAGCACTGTCCACAGGCGGGGCAGGCTCCGGATGGTGGGGTGAATGATCAACCAGATCCGGTGCCGGCATATTGACAGAGCTGTATATGTGAGGGTCTTAGGCGTTTGTCCAAGCTAGACAAAAGGGTCGCCCTCAAATTGAGTCGGGAAGAGTGAACCGTTGGATAAGGCGGTTTGAAGCTGTTCGAGTCATACACAGTCTGCGCTCTAGTATATATTTATCTGACCGATTACTCCACCAAGGGAGGTCCGCTAACAATTGCACATCGGAGGTCCGGCGTCCTCGGCCGAGTCAAAAGTACGTACCCTGAGACAGCAGCCCGCAGAGATATTTTTTCCTTGTGCAAATTTATGCAGCAAGGTACGCGTACAATTAGTGCATATCTTTTTGTTTTATTACGGGACGCAGGACTGACCACTGACGTCTTGTTGCTCTGAACGCGTTGGAAATTCAGTCTGTTGAAAGAGTTGACCACAAAAGTGATTTCTTCACCGTCTTAGATGCTTTGAACGGCATGCCCAAAGTGGCCGACGGTGCAAGTACTCATGGCACCTATAGGGGAGTCTTCCTATTTTCCCCCACTCGACAAAGTATTCTCTGGGGAACAGCCAATAATGTGAGTAGCTTTTCCATCGGTACTCAGAGGTTGAAGCTAAATACTGGGTGTCTGTGGAATCTAGATCATGGAAAACCGCTTTCACTACCCTGAGAGATATTGATCGTGCTGGGAATAGCTCTAGGCTCAGGGCATTTTTCAAAGATCCGGTAACGATCGACCTTCTAAGCCGCCCAAATGGCCCCTTCGAGAAGCCGACAGCGCAAACAAAATCAAGTTTTGAGACAAGGACAGCTGCTATCAACGTCGCACCTAACGCTCAGGGCTCGTACAATATCAATCAGATCAAAGATGATGCCCTATGGTTGAGCAAAGAGTCCCGGATTGACGAAATCTCTGCCCTTCGAATTGCCATCCTGGAATGGCAAACGCGACCAGCAGTCCATCTGCTTACGGGGTTCTCGGAGGAGGAGGCCGCAAGTGTGCAAGAGGCCGCTGGGGGCACAACGCTTGGCTCATCAGTGTTTCGTCCAAATGCATCTGTCATACCTTCGAAATCAGGCGTCCAAGCAGTCGACGCAGCGGATTTTGGGTCAGATGAGAATCGGCAACTAAGGTTACTGAAAGGATATTTGTCAGAGCGAAGATACGTGCTCAAGGTCAGCACATTGGTTCTATATGCAGCGACGCCAGCAGGTTCTACCGCAACTCAAAGTCATCGATCACATCAAGAGCTGCCTTTCTGGGTTCCTGAAGCAGGTAATGCTGTTCTCAAGGCGTGTGGCATCGACACGGAATATGTGGTGGAGGGGAAAAGCAGTATCCTTAGGTGCATTGAATGTCTCCAAGAGAGGGTAGAAGTGCTGGAAATGGGTAGTCAGTGGTATAAGGAGGAAGGCGGCCGACCGGAAATGGAGGACAGCTGGGGCCGGAATCAGATCCTGGAGATGATTCACATTCTGGAGCTGATTTTTGTGCTCCTTGACTCCTCCCCGCACCTCACCTCGTCAGAAGTGCTCCTTGCGTGGTTCACGTTTATGGCAAAGTACGGTTTCTTTGACCGGCTTGAGCCTGTAAGTATTCTAAAGCCACATGTCGCTGAGCTGCAAATCTAACGTTACGATCACCAGCCTTTTCCTGAACAGAGGAACTTGCTTCCCCCGTTCCAATCGATGCTATCCATCGTCTCTCTTGCCATTTTGAAGACGCCGCTAGCATGTGCCAAGCTTGTCGACTCCGCTGACCGGCCAAGAAACGAGGTCCTCTCGCGACCAACCGACCCATATCTTGATGATAAAACGACAATGAGCCAGGTGACTGAGATTCTCGTCGAGGCTGCGGGCGCGTGTGTCGAAATTGCCAGCCCTGCCGGTTTTGCTTGGGGTGTCATCTTTCAAACTCTTCGCGTCATTGCAAATTCTCGAAGAGAACGATGGGAACTTCGTCAGTCTCAAAAAGCAGCGGACTCTTTTGTAGCTTCAGAATCCTCGGAGACGGAAGGCGGAGAGCCATCTGCTACGGAGAGCGGGGGTCGTTCTTACCAGTTGCGGCGGCCATCCACGGCTAGTGACGCCTCGCTAGCTGTTAGTTTTTATGAGGAGATATTGGAAGCAGTCATGGACGTTCCCCTAGATGGTGACCCAATTTCCTTCCTCGCGAGGAGCGCTGTCAATGTCAATCATGTCTTCGATGTTGTGTTGCGCTTGGCAACTCAGTTCTGCACACCATTTGGCTCGGAAGACGGGGCCGGGGTGAGAATGCGCGCTTCATTATTAGACTTGATCAGGACAAGCTTGGACTTTGTCGACTATCTTCCAGAAGTCATAGAGTCTGTGCTGGCTTGTTTGGACGGTGGCGAACGCTATTGGGACTTTGTCGGCAGTGGATTTGCCCCTGGCAGGGTAGACCCCCTCGCAATCTTTGCGAAAGACGAGGTCCTTGTCGAAAAGCTTTTTATCATGGCAAAATCGAGATTCCCCTATGAGGCTCTACCATTTCTCAAACTATGCAAAGCTTTGGCAGCATATCGAGCTACTGACATTGAAGGAAATCTTGTTGTCACCCAATTTCTCAGCGAGATGGGTACTTTTACACAAGTTCTACCACCGGCTTTCAGAGGATACCAGACGTCGCGGGAAGATGAGAATGCCAATTTGATTACAGCTGTGGAGGACCTTGATCTGCTGTCGTCGAAACAGCAGAATGGAAAACCTTCCTCAACAGCTCCCGGTGATAATACTGCTCTCGTGCTCGCTGAGGACACTGCAGGAAAGGCCGGTTTCACGATCTTGCCAAATACGGAGGGTAGGGTTATTGCAGAATCGAAGCCGCTTGTTATAATGTGGACACATCGATATTCCGCCTTAACATATCTTGGTATCTTGCTTGAGAAAGCTTCCCATCGATCTCACGATGAAATTGGCTCTCGAGATGCGTCCGCTCAAGATATTATCACTGAAACAGTAGGCTTGCTTACGAAATTGATAACTTCTACTGCGAAGGTAGAGCGGGATGGCAAAGCAGGCCCGACTGATGGCGCTGCAGCCAAACGAATCTTAGAAGAAGCAAGTGATGGCCTAGATCGCAATCACGATATAATATCGGTCATCTTCGACATTTTTGAGGCAGAGCTTCAGTGGCAACAGCGGCGGTCTGGGGCGGAAAGCTCGTTAGCCCTCGTCATTAATTGCGCACATTTCATATATGCTTTGACTTCTATCCTTCCAAGCAGAGTTTGGCCATTCCTTGCTCGAAGTAGGTTGCTTGAGCTCGACGGCAGAGGTGGGCAGCTCGCCGCCCTTGTTGCATCAACTGAAATGGTCACTGGTCGGTATGAGTTTTTGATTTCTTGCATCCGGATCTTTGATGCGTTGGTGGAAGATGCCGTCATCAACTCTGTTGCGCGGAAGGAGACGACCGAATCTCTCACAAGATTCGCAGCGTCGAATGGTTCAGGCAATGTTCCTGACCGCATTCTTAAGCGAGTTCTTTTGGGATTCCAGAAAATCATAATCGACGTTTTGGAAAGTTCCCCTAACTGGAAATTCGTCAATATGACCGAAAAACTGGAAATCAATGATATGATTATATCTACGTTCCGAAAGATTCTTTCTTATTCTCACGGCATAGATGACTCGGCAGACGCAGACGCGAAGATAACGGCGGTGTTGGCCTCACCTGCGGCAAACCTCCTCGATATTTTTCTTTCTGCCTCTCCGAACGACCTTCCTATTTCTCCCATTCTCCGCATCTTTTATGATGGTGTCAGCACGCCCAATTCCACACTCTTCCTTGTGCTTTTGCGACGCTGGACATTGCAGGTCCGGTCAGCCCTCCATTTCTGCGTTACTCTTGTCCGGGTAGGCCAATTACTTCAGCTCCCATTTTCGTACCTCGAGAAGCAGCTTTTCAAAGCTGCACCACTTCTAGTGCGCCTGTACGCGGCAGACGAAAGCTACAGGCTTCCTGTTGTTCTTTTGTTTGAAGCAATTGTCACCAGGGCGGCTTTCCATTTCAAAGAACCCCCTTCATTGTTAGGGCATCTGGGCCCGGAGCGCGCCAAGACATTCCTATCCGTGCTATCAGCTCTTGATAGACCGCTAGACGATATTGAGCTGGAGATTGCCATCTGGAATCTACTCTCGGCTGTCGTGAGCAATAGGCAACAATGGTTTGCGATATACCTGCTCACGGGAAGCACTCCTCGCGAGTCGTTGAAGGGGAAAGATACGGGGGCTGCAAGCAAGCCGTCTCGGGATAAGCCTTTGCTGACCGTCGCATTGGATTCGTTAACCCGGCTTCATGATCTCCCACCACACAAGGCTATCGCGATGTTAGAATTCGTGGCTTTGGCTGAAGATTCATGGCCTTGGGCAATGGCCGAAATTCAAAGACATTCTGGATTTCTTGGCGCTATCTCAGACTTCGCCGCCGGTTTAGCTCCGTTCAAAGCTTTGAATGACACGAAGACTACGCTCAATGACTGTAACCAGGTGAAGATGGCTTCATATGTAGCCGAGGTTCTCGCAATGTACCTTCACCATTCGCGACAGCTTGGGGATATCTCATTTGGCAAGACTCTAGCTTCGAAGATGAATTTCTTTGCGGAGAATGCTGTACGCAACCCATCTTATAATGCGTCTCTGCATAGCAATCTTCGCAGAAACTTTGAGAAGAAATTCCGAAGCTGCAAGCTTCAAAACTTTAAGAGGACATTGTTACAGAAGAGATCGTTCGGCCGCGATTATTTCTATGATTTGGGAATGGCTTCAAAGATGTTGGATTTTGAACCTTCATGGAAAGGCACGAATCACCAGGGCTTTGCTGGAGAGGTTGCGAGAGCGAATATCAACATGTCTGTCGTGGAGTCCCAAATAGTAAGTGGAAACAAGCAATACCCAGGATCGTCGCCGTGTGCTCACTGTATTTCTAGGCTCTACTGCACAGTTGGAAATTTCTGGCTGTAGAACTTAGTAGTATCCTAGCCTATGAGCCCCAGCTACAGGAGACTATGGCCAAAGTCGTCAACCAATGTCTAGTCTCAAATGCTGAGACTCATCTACCGGAGAATATCTTCGGTCGGCTAGTACAGCTTCGCGCCGAATTTGCCTTTGTTCTGATGCAGCGGCTTGTAGAAGCAAAGGCCAATAGTGCAAGTGTCCGTGCAGTTTTGCAAAATACCTGGAGAGCAATTCGTTCTTTCTCTACCGACTTTGAACTCGCTCTCGCGGGCCCTGATGCCGATTATTTACGGACACTACTAAAGATACTCTTCCTTGCATTAAAAATTCAAGCAGTCAGCCCATTACCCTCTACGGCCTCCGCACCTACACAGGGACTTAGCGGCTCACCAACAAAGCAAGACAATGCGAGCGCCTCGCCAGAAATCACAAAGACAATCATTGAAATCTTAGGAACGGCAGTAGCTGGGGGGTTCCGTGCGGTTGCCACAATCCTGCATGACAACCCTCAGCGTTCTTCTCCTGCCGATCTGGCTCTGCTCTCTGCCATTCTTCAGACAGCTTTGCGCATCCCTGGTGTAGAAATGATACATCAACAGCTGGTGGGGCTCTTTTGCGACAGTCGCATAGGAAGATATGCTACGACCCTGTATTCTTGGTCTGATCAGCTTGCAATTGACGGCGATCCTGTCTACGGTGAGCTAAGCATACTCTTCCTTCTTGAGCTTTCCAGCGTTTCAGCCATGGCCGAGCAGCTCGCCGTCGAAGGTGTGCTCACACATCTCTCGACCGCCAACATTATGAATTACTTCAGTCGTCCCAATGGTGTTGGCCCATTTGATGAGCAGCCTCGCCTTTACTCCATTTGGGCGCGAGGCATTCTGCCCTTGTGTCTCAACTTTCTCGACGCGGTCGGTGCTGCCGTCGCGGTCGAGGTTGCGCTCTTCCTCAATCAATATCCCAACCAATTGGCCCGCTCGGCAGCCAGCTTTGAAGCAAAGTCTACGCTTTCAACCGCAAATCCCTCGACAGCCGGGTGTATCACGCTGAACATGGCATCCGAGGCCCACTCTCTCGCGCTCATCTCTTTCATCCTTGACAATTTCCGCGCAGCTGGTGCCGCCACCGGCGTCGTAGCTGGCATCGAGATTCCCGAATTGCGCTGGGACAAATCCCAGCTCAAGGAGGACATTGACGCCTGGCTCCAAGGCAGGCGCGCCCTCAGAGACAGAATCGTGCCGACCACCGAAAAGGAAATGGAAATGGCCAGACAAAAGCCCCTTTCGGACGCAAGCGGCGCGGAGAGCAGACTTGAGGAGCGCATCGTCGCGGACCTTGACATGGCCCTGAAATGCCTGAACGGGGGAGGCGTGTCATGAAGATGATCCCCCACAGTAATAAGTGCTGCTTGGAGATGTGTCCCCCGTTTATGCTCGACAACGTCAACCTTATCAAAAACCTGGGATATAATTTTAACTTTTTTTTTTCTTTTCTTAACGGCATCGGTTGTGGAAATAGACAAAGCCTCTTTCCCCCTTCTTGTTGTTTCGGTCCTGTTCGTTTTCATCGTTTGCTCGGAGTTGAGGCGATAAAAGTATTTTGTCCCAGTTTTAAACTCATATTTATTTATTTTTTTATTCTCTTTTTTTCCTTTTAGCTTTTATTCCTTCCTTTCTTTCTTTTTTTTTAAATTCCTCCGATACTTGTCTCTGCCTCTTGTCGTTACTTAGATCTCAAACATGGAAACATGGGGTTAAGGTGATTCCCAATATGACTGTGGAGAACCTAGCTCGACACTGAAAGCCTACCAACGCCTGATCTGACGTTAGACGTAATAAAGATTAGACTTTTTCCCTTCTTATTCTGATTTTGGGAATAACAAGAGCTGTGTGTGTGTCGAATATGCATTTCACGGAAATTTTCATGGTACACCAAATGCGTTACATTTGTGCCAACTGGTAATTATTCGCCACAGATGATATTAATATATCTAGAGTAAGCGACTAAATAATATATTGAGAAGGGAAAAAGAAAGAGAAAAAGAAGAGAAGAGGGTATTTCTCGGCATCAGTTCATAGCCAGCAAACGGCAACAACGTAACAACTCACGCAACAAACGCCTAGAAATTCTTAAAAAAAAGCAACTCAACAGAGACGCTTTTCATTCCCCGCTGTAGTAACAGACACCCGCGAAGCTCATCATGTGCATAAAACAAAGCCAGACACAAAGTGCAAAAAATCTTGCAAAAAGGTGGCAAGACGTGGAAGGGTTTGTTAATAAGCAGTGACTTAGGCAATCCAGAACCAAATCTTTTCGATGAAATTTCTGGGCACTTGCTCTGGCCACTTGCTGTCCTCTTCATCGAGGATGGCTTTGCCGCTGTAAATGTCGGCCTCTTCGGGCTTGACGAACTTTGTGCGCTTGACAATCTTCCAGAAGGCGTAGAGGCCAAGGTAGATGGGGATGCCAATGTAGGCGACGAGGAAGTCGCTGACGTTCCAGTCGCCGTGGACGAAGACGGCCCAGCCGTTGAAGAGGATGATGACGAGGAAGTAGATGAGCGCGAACCAGGCGGTGTAGGGCTGCCATCTCGACTTGAAGACGAGAGTGTTGCGGTCGACGCCCTGGGCCTGGAGCGCCTTGTGGAAGCGCAGGTAGGCGATGAGGATCGAGATCCAGGTGAAGAGGTTGGCAATGGTGACGAGGTTCTGGAACCAGGAGAACACCTTGTTGGCACCGCTGGAGCAGCTCAAGTAGGTCAGGAGCGAGATGGACGCGGTGATTCCAACGCAGTAGTAGGGGACGCCACTGTATGTGTATGCGTTAGTACATGGTACACTGATGAGAGAGAGAGAGAGAGAGAGAAACTTACGTTCTGGAGCACTTAAGGAGGAAGCGAGGGGCCTGCTTGTCCTGAGCGAGCGCAAAGAGGTAGCGGCTGCCAGTGTAGAGGAAAGCATTGGCGGAAGATGAGGCCGAAGTGAGGATGACGGCGTTGATGATCGAAGGGAGAACCTTGATGCCGGAACGGTAGATGGCAATGACCCATGGGGAACGAGCAGCACCAGGAGCACCAGCGGCCTGAGCACCAAGAAGCTTTGCGTCGTTGTACGGCACCAAAACACCGATGGCGAGGGATCCCAGGACGTAGAAGAAGAGGATACGCCAGAAGACACGTCGGACGGCCTTGGGGATGTTCTTTCTTGGGTTCTCGGCCTCGCCGGCAGCGACGGCAACCATCTCGACACCACCATAACTGAAAGCCGCGTTGACCAAGGTGGAGAAGAGACCCAAGAAGCGGCCAAGATCACCTTTGCTCTTGTATTCCTTCATCGCACCGGGGTGTTTCCAGTAACGGAAGCCCAGACGGTCGTGATTCGGGCCGCCACCGAGGTCGAGGACAAGAGCAAGGATCAAGAGTCCGACAATGGTGACGATCTTGATACTGGCGAATATGAATTCGGCCTCACCATAGATGGACACAGCAAAAATGTTGAGACAGAGGACGACAACAATGATGATTGAGATCCATGCTGCAACATTGATATCGTCGTTCCAAAAGCCGATGACAATGGACGCGGCAGAGATTTCGGCGCAAAGAGTAATAGCAGAATTGTACCAGTTCTGTCAAAAGAGCACACGTCAGAATATATTTTTTCTCCCGACTCAATGGATATTGATCGGATAACTTACGTTCCAGCCGACAGCGAAACCCATAGCATCGTCGACGTAACGGGAGCAGAACTGAGGGATAGCACCGGGAAGAGGAAGCCATGTTGCCATTTCTCCCAAGCATTGCATCTGCAAACACGATTAGAAATTGTTCGTCGTTCCCTAGCTGCTTCCTGAGCTGAGTCGGGGGTTAACAACATACCATGGCGAAAATGGCAAATCCGGTAAAGGTATAACCTAGGAGCACCGAAAGAGGGCCAGCCGTGGTGAAGGCCGATCCAATACCTAAGAAGAGACCGGTTCCAATTGTACCACCCAAGGCAATGAATTGAATATGACGGGACTTGAGTCTGGGGATTGCGGTCAGCTTTCTGGATACTAGATTTGCCTTTTTTTGACTTCGCTGGTAATAATACTCACCCACGGGTAACATAGCCATAATGCTCAGCAGTTTGGATATCTCCGTAGATTTCGGCAGCTTCTCCAATGTTGCGATCCTTGCGATCCACTGGTGACTCGGCGCTCGCGACATATTCAGGGCCTGAAACCTCATACAGCTGTTTTTCGGCCATCTTTGTAGCGGAAGGAAACGCGGTCCGCGAGCCTGAACAGGAGGGAAGTGAGGGCCTTGGGGATCAGATCGGTTCAAGCTCGTGCAATCTCAGAGCACAAATAAGCTTGTCTGAAGCCCGTCTCCACAAATTATAGAAAGGTAGTCTTGAGTAGAGACGATTCATGGCGCCTTCGCGGGACTTCTTATATGTCTTGAAATTTGAGGATTCGAGGCTCAGCCCGTTCGAAGCTGAGCTGGGGTGCATGCTTTTGCCCTGCGACGCCTCCATGGGTAGGTTCGCGATGGCTGCATCGCCCGCGGACCAACCCAAAGAAGTGAAGTCCCTTCTACGACGGTGTCGAGGCGTCAGCCCCCATGGCCGGCGTGACCGTGAGACGAGGCCGCCCGCAGGATTCTTTCGCGGTCCTGGTTCCAGTCCGATCCAATCAGCGGCCACGCAGGATCAAAGTGCGGCCACCGCTCGTCCCACGGATGGCAGGCGGAAATGCAAGGGCTGTGCTCTGGTTGGTCATTCTCAAAAGAAAAGGCAGCATTAGTTAAGGGTGGTATTTTTTTCTCCTGGTCGAACATTGGCAACACCTCCAGAGACAGAATGATTATCTGTCGGGGGGGGGGGGGGGGGACCCTTGTTCCTGACGTGCCGTGGTGTACACGGTTGGTGTCCTTGGTGTCTGGGTCTGGATTGAGTTTTCGGGCTATTCGAACCAATCTCCTCCCTCTTTCGCTCTTAGTGTCCGGCTGGCTTCCATGTCAGAACCGTCAGGATTGGCTCCCTTGGGGCCTCGGGATGCCATTTGGCTTTGGCTAGAGCTGTAGCCTAACTAGCGTTGTGAGAGAAGATTCTCCACACCACACGCCCATCCCCAGATATTATTCTGCGCAATGATAACGATGGGCCCACTGCCCCGTCTCGACTGGGATCATCCAGAGAACGAACTGATACGGAAAGCTTCTAGAGCCTTTCGGACTTTGAAGCTGCCAACCACACGGTGGCCGCCGGCGGCATGGCTTTTTGGAAAAATAGACTCTAGTTAGTCACCGGTTGCAGTACGGCTGTGATCCTGTGCTCTACCTTATCAATACCTTTGGAGTAGATTCTACTCTGGTCTGTACGAGCAAATAAGCTTCAGTCCAGGGAAGAAAAAAGAAGAATTTTTTTGTGCACCAGAGCCACTTTCCATGAAATTATGCACTGATGTGCAAAATTATACAAATCTGTAACACATTTTCTCCTTTCCACTCCTACAAATCTCAGACGGGACAAAGACAAGTGCTCCAGCCAAAAATAGGTATGTGATCCGATCAGCATCAACTTAGGTACGTAGGGTAGGTTCAGATCTCATAGGTAACTTTAATAAGGCCATTACATAAAATTGCTCCATGCTTAATTAATCGCAATCTCATACGTTATCTTGGGAGAGCCGAAGAAAGACAGGGTCGAGTACCATTTATTACTCTGTTAGTACCGGCATCATGGTCAAACGTAGCGGTACGAAAGGGCAGAAGACGGTAAGTTAGCCTAACGCTTGCTTGGGCAGATCTACTATACGGAGTAGCGATGAGGATGCTCAAATGAACCCATCGGGTGGCTCGATAGTGAGAAAAAAGACGGTTAAACGCAGGCGAGCCTGGGCTATTGCTTATTAGCATTCCCTTGTCGCTCGTCCGCCGTCGCAATTCGTCACGGGTGGCTTTTTCGCCCTCCTTGCGAGAAGGCCCGAACTCCCCTTATCCCCCTTGTCCCCAGACCCAATCAATTGAACCACTTTACCTATAGGGTTCCGTTGCTGTCCTGTCGGGTTGCTGTCCTGTCGGATTGCTGCCCACCACCGCGCGGCTGTTAACCCATCGTCTTGGTCTCCTCGTCCCCCTCGCCCCCAGGAGATTTTGCCGTGGGCTTTCCACGGGTTCTAGAACCTCCTTCCTCTTCTGTCTGCCTGGCTTGTCCCTCATTAATTAATCTATTTCTTTGGTGGGGTTTCCAGTACTGCAGAAATAGTCCACCGCGATCAATGCCCCTCAGCTTAGCCAATCAATCCCCGGGTCAAACCAAGTGCCCCGCTGTGTTCGCTTCAATGGCCATGGTAATCAGATCTCAGTCTGGAATATTTCTCTGTCATATTCATCGCAAAGCTTATCTGCATGGCATGGAGATTGCACCAATCACTGTACAGCAAACAATCAGGATCATGAGCTTTTCTTTTCAACCCCTGGTCGGCCATCCCCAGACTACGGTAAATACTCTAACATTCGCTTGATGTGGTCTGCCCTGTGATCCCTTCTTACAAATTTCCACTACGTAAGGACTTAATTAATCACCAACAGCCAGTTACCTATCAGACGCCATCATTGCCGTCATCACCGGATACTAAATGGTAGTGACTTTTCTAAACAATCAAGGAAAATTACTCTTCCACCGTCTTTCATTTGTGCTGACGACAGGAGATGTCCTAGCTTTCCCTATGAAATCAGGTGATTCAGCTATCTTTTCCTTTCTACAAGGCGTCGTAGCTTCCCGATCCTATCCGAGTTTCAATATCACAACTATGAACATTGGTAACATTGGCTCTTAAAGAGCGAGATTCAACTTGGTTATGACTACGTATTGCTAATTCATTGATCTTGAGCACATGACCGAAAGAACAAGCCATAGCTTGGCAGACAGCATAACGGTGATATATAACCTCCTGCCCGATTGGGATAGGCCTGCCACCCAAAGTCGTATTAACTTACCCCATGGCGGCGCCGCCTCCGATGGTGATGATTTGGCCTGTTTCCCCGAGTATTCAGTTGCCATTCATATGATTTCTCTTACGAGAAAAGAAGGATGACGATACTCACCGTTGATCCATTCGGCGCCCGGTCCACAAAGAAAGGCTACCACGGGAGATACATCCTCAGGGTATCCGACTCGGTTCAATGGAGAAAGGCTTGCAATCGCGTCATCCACCTTTTCGTCACTCCAATTCTGTGAGCCTGGTAAATAGCTTCGAGCATGATGTGTATACATGTCGCTTTTCACGCCGCCAGGAGCAATAGCATTGACAGTCACTCCCTTCGCTCCAAACTCTGCATTGCGATTACAAATTAGCCACTGAAGACGCCTTGGAAGCCATGGTGTTTCATGCAAACCTTTGCAAAGGCCGCGTGCGAATGCTTCAACGGCGCATTTACTTCCGGCATACACCGAATGGTGTGCAACCCCTCGAAGCTGAGCAGAGATTGACGAGAGAAGAATCAAACGACCTCCACTCTGGAGGTGGTTGAAAGCTTGTTGCGCGACGAAAAACTGGCCTCTCGTGTTGACGGCAAAGACCCGGTCAAACTCCTCTGGCGTGACGTTTTGTATTGGCGCGAAATGTTCAATGCCAGAATTTGACACCACAATGTCCAATTTTCCAAACCGTTCGATAGCCGTCTTGAAGAGCTGGATTATCTCTGGGGGCTTCGAAACATCCGCCTTCACGGCGACAGCTTCTTGTCCAAAGCTCTTAATGGCAGCAACTACTTCCTGCGCAGCTTCTGCATTGGACGTATAATTGACAATAACGGATGCACCACGCCTCGACAGTTCGAGTGCGATCTGGCGTCCAATCCCGCGGCCAGAACCAGTGACTAATGCATGTTTCCCACGAAGCTCGCTGCTGGATTGCTGTTCTTCTCGCGTCATACTGACGGTAAATATCTAATTACTGCTAATGGATGCGATGATTGATTGAAGGACTTTGAAATGGGTGGAAGATCTGCCTTCAAATACCCAACGCTTTTCACTGAGCTGGCTATCATCTCTATTTTTTTCACCGACTTCTGTCTTTCTATCTAGGTGGGGAGACCCCCAAACCTGCACGTCGAGTATCGTTTCGAAAACTAAAGCTGCGAAGGCGCTCCTCTCAAAAACTTCGACCATATTATTGGTGCTTTCGGTGGATGTGCAGCACTCCTTGCTTTGATAATGTTCCAGATATCTGGTCGAGTGCCTACAAGCTACCCTCTATACATCAACCTGAGCAAATCGAAGCTCGCCAACTTGCAAGAAAGACTTGATGTATGTAAGTATGTCTCAGTTGTTTTGACAAATTCGGTCGACGGGTGTAAGAATAACCGAAAGAACTGCACGCCATTACGGACCTAGTTGTAGGAGAGGCATTCTCAAGCAAATCTTAAGTCTCTAGTGAAACTAATGAAAATACCCCGCTTTTGCCTTTCATCTCGCAATTCATGAATAGCTATTGCAAGAAAATGGACCGTATTCGAAGGTTGTCGTGTTTTCCGCATCACGTGGACAAAAACATCGGATCACGCTTCCATCCGAGGTCCCCACTGATTGTCCATTGTGGGATTGCGGGGAAGAGGTACAGTGTTCGCAGCAAGGCACCCCCTTTAGAAATTACCCAAAGAGATCACTTAATGTACATATTTGCAAGGGACTGCTTGGAGAAGATGAATCCCATTAGTAAATGTCGAACACCAATACTTTCTTCTTCGAAATGAATTCAGAATCATTTCGGCGACGTCCAAAAGCTTTCCTATTTGATATCGGCGGAGTCTGCGTAAGTCACCTTAAAAACCTCTATGCATATATTCAGTGCTGTAATACTAAATCATTATTCCCAAAGGTTGCCTCTCCTTTTCAAGCTATACTCGATTACGAGCGTGCCAATGGCATACCAGAAGGATGGATTAATTTTTCGATTTCACGTTCCGCTCCCAACGGAGCATGGCAGCGTCTAGAGCGTGGTGAAATCAAGCTAGACCCCGTCTTCTTCGCGGAATTTAAAAGTGATCTGCAAAATTCAGGCTTCTGGAAAGAATTTCTGCAAAAGAAATTAAGTAAGCGGGGATTTGAAAACCCCGCCAATACGGAACCTCAAATATCAATACAGCAGCCGCCTTCCATAGATGCAGAATGGCTTTTTTGGGAAATGATGAGGATATCGAGAAATGCAGATCCTCACATGTTCATTGCTTTGCAAAAATTAAAGGCTTCTGGTTTATTCTTACTTGCAGCCCTCAGCAACACTGTCGTCTTTCCAGAGGAGCATCCATATAATAAACCATTCGAAAGCGACATTCGATCTTATTTTGACGTCTTTGTCAGTAGCGCCCACGTAGGGCTCAGGAAGCCCGATCCTGCAATATACGAGCTTGCGCTGAACGAAATGAGAAGGAGTTGGCTGGAAAGAAATAAAGGGTCTCTCTGTGCCGAAGACGTTGTTTTCCTGGATGATATAGGCGAGAACCTTAAAGCAGCAAAAGCTGCTGGAATGAGAACGATTCGAGTCCAGCTGGGCAGAACTGAAGAGGCAATTGCAGAATTGGAGGATCTGGCCGGAATTTCCCTCCAGAAACCTCAGGATACTCGGTCAAAATTATAGATATTTCTAGAATTGATACTCTAGATGTAGAGTACCACTTGCCGATAATCAGATCTGCACTAGATCATCTGACTGAGGACAAGCGACCGCAGTCGCCCCAAAGGTCGAAATGCATATGATACATAAAGTAATGCCAAACGCAACGGAAAACAGAGGACAAATAATTCCATTTTAATGATAAAAGGAATTAATGTTGAATATGCTCGATACTTGCATGTACCTCTTCTACAAGTATTAGGGTCATCTTACCAGCCATAAGGCAGGACATGAGGGGAGCGAGGAGAGTCGTCCCCGACCCTCGCTAAAGTGCTGGCTGAATTTGTGACTGCCCCACTCGCACTAAAGATGGAATTTCGCACACAACGCTTTTGTCTTCGGCAACTCACGACAATCGACCAAGGCAGCATCAACCTCGCGGCGACGCAGCGAATCGGTCAAGATGGTGAGTCTTCAAATCACTTGAAATCGTCGGCGATGCGGGAATCTACTTTTGCATTCCCATTATATGAATTTCATCGCTTTAATGCCATCGACCTGATGGTTTGACGATGGAGAGAGTCCTTGCAAGATGCTTCGGAGGGTCTGAAGCGCAAATTGCTGACTCGTGGCGGTGTTACAGCCTTTCACCAAGCTCGTCAAGAACAGCGCGTACTACAGGTGAGTCTTTCTCGCAATAATTTGAAGATATTTTTCTCCCCAAAACTTTTGAATCCGTCATGAACGTCTCTAACACTTATTTCAGCCGCTACCAGGTTAAGTACAAGCGCCGTCGGGCGGGTAAGACCGATTACTATGCCCGCAAGCGGCTCATCACCCAGGCCAAGAACAAGTACAATGCTCCCAAGTACCGCCTGGTCGTCCGCTTCACCAACCGCGACATCGTGTTGCAGATCGTGACCTCCGAGATTGGCGGTGACAAGGTCTTTGTCTCCGCCTATGCTCACGAGCTCAAGCGCTACGGCATCAACCACGGTCTTACCAACTGGTCTGCTGCCTACGCTACCGGTCTTCTCATTGCCCGCCGTGCCCTCAAGAAGCTCGGCCTTGACGAGCAGTTCCCCGGTGTTGAGGAGCCCACTGGCGAGTACTCTCTCACCGAGGCCGCTGAGGGTGAGGACGGCGAGGAGCGCCGCCCCTTCAAGTGCTTCCTCGATGTCGGTCTCGTCCGCACCTCTACTGGTGCCCGTGTTTTCGGTGCCATGAAGGGTGCTTCTGACGGCGGTCTCTACATTCCTCACTCTGAGAGCCGTTTCCCCGGTTACGACATTGAGGGCAAGGAGCTCGATGCCGACGTCCTCCGTAACTACATCTTCGGTGGTCACGTTGCCGAGTACATGGAGACTCTCGCCGACGACGACGAGGAGCGCTTCAAGTCTCAATTCCAGGGCTACGTCGACGACGACATTGAGGCTGATGGTCTCGAGGAGCTCTACACTGAGGCCCACAACGCCATCCGCGAGGACCCCTTCAAGAAGGATGAGGAGGCCGGCCCCAAGAAGAGCAAGGATGAGTGGAAGCAGGAGTCGCTCAAGCACCGCCAGTCCAAGCTCAGCAAGGAGGAGAAGACTGCTCGCGTGCAGGCCAAGATTGCCGAGCTCAAGCAGTAAATTTCCATTTCAGAGGATTTTGGAGAACATTATGGGCTGGTTTGATTTTCCTTGGCCGGCGTGCCCAGGGTTGCCTAGCATGGGAGTCTTTCGGAACACTAGCTAGGTAATACAAAAAAAACATTTGGCGCCTTATTTCTTTTCACAATACCATGGAGTTCAGAATACTGGGTGATTTGCCACAGGCATTTTGTCGTATCCTGTTTAGTTAGGTCTTGATGATCCCTTTGCGAACTTTTCCAAGTTTTCTTTACATCTACAAGAGCTCCCATGTTCATATGAATTGCGAATTGCAATAAGTGAGACGCAAAAGATGAGATATCGACATTGTTCGCCGATAAAGTCGTCCAAAGCAGAAAAGGGTCGGGCTCATTAAGTACTAGATCCAACCCTAGAAGCCCATACATTCTGTTTTCTGGTATTTTTGTGGGCGAGAACCCATACTCACTGCCTTAACATATCGCAGACGATATACTCTTTAATCTCTAGTTTTTGGGTGTCTGGAAGGAGTACGTTTGATGGAGGCTCCGTCGATTTGTGTTCGGAAAATTCGCATGTGGCTCATACAGGAGACGAAGAGCGACATCCGCGCAAAAACCCGACGTAATTTGAATAGGTTTGATTGGCAAGCTGGGAAAGACGTGGTCTCGATATCCGCTTCCGTTACCTGAACAAGTATCGTAATCTTCTCGCCTACTCTGATAGAGTAAGGCCCTCCAATTCGGTGAGCTAAAACTTAAGCTTTGACTCTGGGCAGATTGCTTACTGAACCCCGGGATCCTTTATCAAGCAACGAGGGTTTCATGGACTGCTAAGATATTCCTGAATAGGTGATCTCAGCTTCTCTAGAATGGGTGTAGGAGGTTCTGGCGATGACAAATGATAAGTCAGTCAAGCTATCAATTTGTAAAAGTGCAAGATGAACCTGGTCCAACGCGTACTTTGTAGATACCTGCCTTAGGCAGGTAATGATATGATCGCTACCTCGTCACCTCATTACGCCACTTTGGTAGAGCGGCCTAGGCCAATCTTAACCCTATACACACCAAGCAACCTTCATGTGCCGAAGAGGGGTTCCCGCACTGTAGACCTCTACATCCATCTTTCAAAGTCCATTCCAATCAAGTTCACCTCATGCACTTCATTCAATAGTATTCCGGTCGATTTCCATGACTGATGATGGAAAGTGTCCATGGCATTGACGTGAGCTGGCTACATCATTCGCCTAAAGGTGAGAGAAGCACAACCGCGCTTTCAGCCGCTTCAACTTCATCGTTGCCACAACGCCGGGAATCAGGCATTGAATTCTGATTGATACTTATAATGTTAGACAATGGCGATCTCACCCGCTCGCAATCTTACCCGTCAAGCCCGCCCATTCTAAGCTCTCCGCGTCCTGCGCCGGAACAAGAAGACCTATCCGCAGCGACTGCCACGACTTCTGAACCCACGGCGGCTCCGGGATCAAATGGCTCGACCCAGAAGGGCTCAGGCGCGCCTGCCAACGGATTGAATGGCCAGTCGCATTCCTCAGCGCCGTCTACGCCGACCGAGGCATCAAAGCCGCATTTGCCATGGAGATCAACCCTCCTTAGCCGCTCAAATTCTGAGAAGCACTCAACCGCCGCTTCGCCCAGCGAAACGTTGCAGTCTGCCCAAGCCGAACCACAAAAACCGCTTCAAAGACGGAATTCATGGATCTCATCAATAAGCTCCAAATTCTCCAGTCCGCAGTCCCACAACAGTAACTCCGCAAATGGGACGAATGTCACCAAAACTCTACCAGCGGAGAGCCCGAAAGTCTCTACATCGCCCAATAACCCGCCTGATATAAATCCGTTTGGGGCGCCTGTTTCTCCCTCTGCTGCAACGGCAAAAGGTGAAGACATGACCCCTTATGTTCCCCAGCCTCCCAAAACCGGACATCCATCGTTTCTCACAAATGCGTTGCGTCGATTATCGACTGGTGGACAAACGTCTGGCTCTTGCAAGGCGCCGTCTAATGGCGGGGTCTGCAAGCGCCGAGTCTTGAACGTGGATGTGAACCGCGACCGATGCAAAATTCAAGAGCTCGAGCCATCCAAACTAAGACGGGTTGCATTTTGCGTTGATGTAGAGATCGCGGGCGCATCTCGTTATACCGATGAAAACGACCAGGTAGCCGCGAATCTTGGCTCCCCAGAACCGGCAACTGACGTCGACAAGGTGGTTGAGGTTAAGAAGAAAAAACAAAAAGATAGGAAGATGAAGGAGAAAAGCGAGGGCGAGGCGCTGAAGCATCCGGAAGCAGTTGTAGTGGAAAAGGAGGAGCTGGGTGTCGTAAGAGCAACTGGCGAACCTGTCGGTGAGGAGAATGGCTCCCCTCCAAAATCGAGCGGCGAACCTGAAAAGCAGCCAGAGCCAAACCGGAAGAAGGAGAAGAAGAAGCGATCCGAAGAGGAGCGCAAGGCAAGACGGGAGCGGAAGAGACGTCAAGCGGAGGCGAATGGAACTATTCCAGTGGAATTCACAAGGGACGGCAATCGTAGACCCAGTAATCCAAAAGGCTCTGGGTCAAAGATGCAGGACCGGCCAACAATTGATCCATTGAGGATATACAGACGGTGTTGTCAACTACGGGAGTCGGGAATCCTGAAGAAGGTTACAGAGCAGCTATCATCACCATCTGCTTGCGCCGCGGCCACGCCAGGGGTAGTTTCATGCTTGGACCTGTCAGATTGTCATCTGCAGCTCTCGGATATAATTACTCTCGGGGATTGGCTGGCAATCGTTCCTGTGAAAAAGCTCATGCTTGAGAATTGTGCGCTGGGAGATGAAGCGGTCAGGATTATCTTGGCGGGCCTTCTGGCGGTCAAATCAACGTCTCGTGATCAAACACGGCAACCTAGCGGACCAGCAGAATATCAGGACCACAAGCACGAGGAAACCCATGGCATGATCGAAAAAATGTCCCTTAAACACAATGTCAACATCGGTTCAGAAGGATGGAGACACATTGGCCTTTTTTTGAACATGTCGCGCTCGATAAAGGCCATCGATGTTTCCATGAATCCTTTCCCGCGAATGTGCCAGTCGTGCGGGTCAGGTCCATTGTTTAAAGGATCTGGGAAGAAAAGTCCACCGGAAGATATGGCCGCCCTCTTCTCGAAAGCCATATCTGAGCGATTAGCTGGCCCCCAGCTTGAGGAGCTTATCATGGACGAGTGCGGTCTCAATACCGATCAACTAGGCAAAATAGCGGATGCAGTCATCCAAACCGGTATCAGACGGCTTGGTGTTGCAAGTAATCATCTTACCACTGAAGGTCTGGATCATATTCTCCGCTATGTGCGATCCGGTAAATGCGAAGGCCTGGATCTTGGAGGTAATGATCTCAGCGAGCAGCTACATTTGCTGTCTGAAGCGTTGGATGATAAGATACCGCTTTACGCCCTCAGTCTCGCTGACTGCAATCTGTCTCCATCGTCATTGTCGGTGGTCATGCCAGCATTCGTTTCCCTTCCGAATCTCCGCTTCATAGACCTCTCCCATAACCGAAAGCTCTTTGCGACGCAACCAGACGCATTGAGCTTGCTTCGCAAATATATTCCCAAGTTAAGTCATCTGAAGAGGCTTCATCTAGTTGATGTGTCTCTGACACCAGAGCACGCTATTGCGCTAGTTGAAGTTCTCCCTGAGAATGGCAGCCTTGCGCACCTCAATATTCTGGAGAATCCAGCGATAACTGCTGTCGCCACCGCCAAAGATGAAGTCGGTCAGGAGGAAGCTTGCGCGCTCTATGCCTCTCTTATGGCTGCCACTCGAGTTTCCAAGACAATAATATGCATTGATGTGGACGTACCTGGTCCAGAAACTAGCGAAGTCGTCAAGGCACTGGCCAAGCAGGTTGTTGCATACTGTCTTCTAAACATGGAACGTGGACCTGTTGCGGAGGCAATCGACACATCATCCGTCGTTTCCCATGAGCATCATGAAAATGAAAAGGTTTCACACGTTCCTGAGGTATTACTACAGCTTGTGGGTCACGTGGAAGGGTATTCAGAGAATCACGACGATGATGATGCGGCTCCAGACAATGATTACGTTCTCGGTGGCACGGGTCTGGTCAAAGCGCTTGGCGTTTGTTTGGGAAATAAGTCTCTCGACTCTCCACATCTTCAACCGTCCACCCCTAGTGAACCGGGTTCCTCTCCACTTGCGGTGATTCATGGTCGGGGAAGGGCCAAGAACATGTCTAAGAATCTGTTGGAGAGCGCACGAAAAATACGGGTTCGACTGCAACCGGCGTTGGCTCGCGAAGCAAGAGCTGAAGATGACATGAATTACAGTATGTTTTGGCGGATTTCCTTCAAGTTTCAATCCTTACTAACTTCTATTGTTTTCCCCTTCCAGAACGTTTACTCTTCCTGGATTCCACTCTCGAACGCATGATTCAACGCTTTGAGGATGAATACCCAGAATGTCGCGTTCGGCAACCGGGGGCTGCCCCATCCCAGCAGCCGTCTGTTGAGGCAAGCTCCGACACGAACAGCATTGAAGAAGTTTCGCTCAATGGCGGCGATCAACAGACTGCAGATAGTTCTGCCCTGCTGTCCGAGTCAGGCTTGGTTGGTGACGATGTGGAAGCTGAAGGAGAAGGAGAAGGAGAAGGAGAATACCACGTCGGTCTCCCTCGACGCGCATCTGACGTGTCTCTCGCATCTCGTGCACTGCTTGAAGAAGAAGGCCGCATGCACCGATTCGGCCAGCAAGTCCGCCGAGACATTCTTCGCCCAGAGACCCTGGATCACGCCCACGGCACAACCGGAGAGGAGCAGGAGTCGGACCATCTCAAAGTCTTGCGGCAGAAGCTCGAGGCGCTTGATGGCGAAGAGATTCGAAACAAGGTTTTTGAAGCAGGCGGCCCTGCCGCCGTCCTTCGCGAGCTTGGCGCCACTGCAGAGCAGTTAAAGACTCTCGAGCACGACGATCCAGAAGCATTTCGAAGCTTTCGCGAAGCACAACTGACAGCGCAAGCTAATGTCGAGGCGCTACGATCCGCGCAAACCTCATGAGTGGGTGGTCCCTTGTCCTTAGAAGTTCACTTTCTCCTTCTACTCTCTCGGATTTTTCGTCGTCGGGCGATTTTAGCTGTTACCAGTCACATATATATATCACGATACCCAGCCATGCCTTTGGAGCAAAACAGAGCGGATAGCATGTTTTAGTTTTTTAGTTTTTTTCCCCACCTTGGGGTGTTGAAGTGTATACTTTTTGTTTTGGTTTTTCTTTCTCTGTTAAGCTTTCTTGACTTTCCAAAAGGAGTTTGACGGTGTTCAAAGGGAGTTTTTGCAATGGCGACGAGGATATTGTTGACAGCGATGGATTTAATTTTCCTGTCAAGTTTGGCAATGGGCGCAAAAGGCAACGCACAGACTTCGCAGCGGATTATGGATGATTTCGAAAGCAAGGCGATGGCTACACTGTTCTGGGCATTGTGTGATTTTCTGTTATGCTTTATTGTTCTGTTAGAGGATATTGGGGGGCTTTTGCATGTACGATATGTCTAAGTTATTATGTCTAGCAACCTTTTACATGTTTCTACCACCTATAGGTGGAGCGAATTTTTTTCGGGTCGAAGCTGGTGGAAAATATAGCAGATTGCTTTCCCTCATTGCTCATCGGAATATGACCTTTGTTTCAACGTATACGATCATGACCATGACTAAAGAGAAAAAAATTTGTTATAAATTGATTAAGAAACCAGAGTAATATCGCTCTTAAATGCCAAGGGTTCTACTTCCCCTGCGAAGGGGAGAGTGGCAAAAAAAGAAATCCGACACCGATGGGACTCGAACCCACAATCTTTGCCAAGCGCCTAATCCCTCCCATTGGAAGGGCACACCGGAAAGCAACGCCTTACCATTAGGCCACGGTGCCTTGGAACTGAAATACTGTTCACTTATTCTATCCCATAATGCATTGAGTTTTGCAAAACTTCTCTTGCGGAAGAGGTTCCCCCGTACGTAAGCGAACGTCAATAGTATCTGTAAGCTCCGACCTCGTAAGTAGGTTGTGTGCCTGCAACTCAACATCCTCATATAGCTTGTTCCGCAACATTTCATCACCATCACCTTAAACACTCCCCTTTTCACACTGCATATTACTGCCTAGAATTTCCGAACACTCTTCTTAACCAAATCTTTTCAGCCGCACCTATTTCCTCAGAGAAAAACAACCCACCATGTCTACTCTGGAAGACTTGGAGAATCTGGAGCGCGAAGGCAAGGAGGACAAGAGAGAAGACGGCGAAGACGGAGACAAGGATGGCAAGAAGAAGCCCGACCAGTCCGGCGATGCGGAGATGAAAGACGAAAATGAAGAGAAGAAGGACGACGAGATTTTCGATGCCGACGTCCTCAACTCCAGCACACGAGACATTATCAACAGACGGCGATTATTAGAAAACGATGCGCGGATTATGCGGAGCGAGTTCCAGCGGTTGAGCCACGAGAAGGCAGCCATGAATGAGAAGATCAAGGACAACTTGGATAAGATTGAGAATAATAGGTATGTTGTTGATTCCCCGATGCAAGCGCTCTCCCGGGGTTCTATCCCGGTGGTTGTTCTTGATGACGGCTGCTCCACTTCTCATCTCCGGATTCATCTCCGGATATTCAACCCATCATGTCTCACTGTTACTCTACACGTTATTTGGAAGGAAAGAAGGAAAACGCAGTATCTAATGGTTGCTACAATACAGACAATTACCCTACCTTGTCGGCAACGTAGTTGAGCTACTTGATCTGGATGTGTCAGAAGAGGCGGCAGAGGAGGGAGCCAACATCGACCTTGACGCCACCAGAGTAGGCAAGTCTGCGGTTATCAAGACGTCGACCCGGCAAACCATTTTCCTGCCGCTCATCGGTCTTGTGGACCCGAACAACTTAAAACCGGGCGATCTCATTGGTGTCAACAAGGATTCGTACCTGGTGCTCGATACTCTGCCCGCCGAATACGACAGCCGTGTCAAGGCGATGGAGGTCGATGAGAAGCCTACGGAGAAATACACGGATGTTGGCGGTCTAGACAAGCAGATTGAAGAACTCGTCGAGGCAATCGTATGGCCCATGAAGGAAGCGGATCGGTTCAAGAAGATTGGTATCAAGGCTCCCAAGGGTATGTCCCCTCTCCCTTCCTCTCTCTCTCCCAGTCTTAAAGTAGACTTCCCTTTTCAAGATTTATCCACTGCTAACGCTTTCAACCCTTTTGCAGGTGCTCTCATGTACGGACCCCCAGGCACAGGAAAGACACTATTAGCACGAGCCTGCGCCGCCCAAACAGACGCCACATTCTTGAAGCTTGCCGGACCTCAGCTTGTGCAAATGTTCATCGGAGACGGTGCGAAGCTGGTACGAGACTGCTTCGCACTCGCCAAGGAGAAGGCACCCGCGATTATCTTCATTGACGAGCTCGACGCCGTTGGCACCAAGCGATTCGATTCCGAAAAGTCTGGTGACCGTGAAGTTCAGCGAACTATGCTTGAGCTGCTCAACCAGCTCGACGGATTCGCATCCGACGACCGCGTCAAGGTGCTAGCGGCAACGAACCGTGTCGATGTCCTCGACCCTGCCCTGCTCCGATCCGGCCGTCTCGATCGTAAGATTGAGTTCCCCTTGCCCAACGAAGAGGCCCGGGCGCAGATTCTGCGCATCCACAGCCGTAAAATGACTGTCGATGACGGCGTCAACTGGCCCGAACTGGCCCGCTCGACGGACGAGTTTGGTGGCGCCCAGCTCAAGGCCGTCTGTGTCGAGGCTGGCATGATTGCTCTTCGCTCCGGCCAGTCCAAGATCATCCACGAGCATTACGTGGATGCCATTGCAGAAGTCCAGGCCAAGAAGAAGGATACTGTCAACTTTTATGCTTAGAGTGTATTCTGTTGTGCACGACATGTACTCGTTTTTTCCCCCCGATCGGCTTCATTTCATTTCTTCCTCTTTTTTTTTTCTCCTCTTATCATCCCATCTAGCTCATTTCCCTCCCACCTTTTTCTTTTTCCCCTCATAAGTTACAAAGACATCTGTAATTTTACCTACCATTACTACTACAACTACAACTACATAACGAGAGCAAAGCTAAGCTTTTGATTTCCCTTTTTTTGCTTTATAAGTTTTCCGAGCTGAAAATAAATGAAATGTAAACTCGTCAATTAAAGTACAAGTAAATATCCACGCCTTTCACAGGCTGGCGGTCAATCGAGATGTGGCGGAGAGGACACATCTTCATCATCTTTATACGGCCAATTCCGCCAACAAATCTCACGCTCATGAACATCACACTGCCGTAGCATCTCCAGCCTCAGTTCTGCGTTCTTCTGGGCCGCCCACTCGAAATTCTCTGGCTCTGTACCTCCCTCTAGATCAATGCCCAACTCACTTCTCACTCTAGAGAGCAACGCCTCAGACTCATTCCACTCTGAGGACTCGTCCATTGCAGCTTTCCTTTCTTCTTTCGAGAACGACACTGGACAAGGCAAGGACGAAATGCCAGTACTCCAGATATCTGGGTCTGTAATACCGACCAGTGCTGCTCGGAGATTGATCACATCCGCATCCCAAGGGTACGCTGTCTGCTGAATCAAGTACTGGCGCATGCCCAAGTGTGGAATTGTTCGGAGAGCATTCAAATGTTTTTTATTGTGTATTCCCGTAGCTGCCGTGTAGTAGAGGTTTGCCTCTTCCAAACGGAAGTTGACCATGGTTTTTATCTGCTCTTGTTCACTCATTCTGTAATATTCTTCCGGAAGCGTGGGGATTTTTAGACTCTGAGGACGGGATGTGTCATGCTCACAGAAGTCCGGATAGCCTGATTGTATGAATAAAGGAAGGATTGTTGCATCCTGCCAATCAATAATGCTGGCGATCTGAGTGGAACCCGGAACAAGTAATATGTTTGCGAGACTCAAGTCAGGATGTCTCAGCGTTGAGTGGTTATGCTGCTGCTGCAGGTAGGTTTTTTCTGCAGCTGGGACTAAAAAAGGTGCTAGTTGCAGAAATTTTGAAAGAAGCGATGCATGCTCGCGGGGGTCAATGTCATAATCAGTTGGTAAGAGAAACGTTTGTCGCGGCTTTGGCTTTGCGTGATGTCGTAGATGAGAAAGTTCGCGGCGTGCAGCAGCCGTCATGGCGTCCTCTGCTGAAGTCCCTATGATAAAGCAAAAGGGTCAGTCCCGTTCAACAAAAGAGGAACACTTTTGCTTATTGGGTATTAAAAAAATTGTAAATGTACGGAGATAGGCAAGATAGAGAAATCTCACAAGGGCCCCGATCTACCTCCATCATGCCACGCTCATCATGCCAGAACTGCCGCGTAGCAACAGGCCCAATGCAGAAATCTTCCACTTGAAGCGAAAGATGATTCTCTTCATCCTCGATATCATGCTTATGATATAGACAGCCATACCCAGGAAACTTATAATCAAACATTTTCTGTTCAATCTCCGCTATCTGGGTCATGATATGCTTGACTTCGTCAGTCGAGAGAGTCAGCCATCTTGACGCGAGGCTTTCACCTTGCACGCGCTCCATGATAATATACTCGGCTCCAACCGGGTTATTCATGAGCGAGGGGGAATAATCCAAGATCCTGGGGACGGGAATTTGGAGAACATTTCGAAGGAAATTGATCGTGGCGACTTCACTGGCTGTGGAATAATGAGGTGGACCGGAGATGGGGGTAGGAATACGCGCGACGACTTCACGGCCGTCGTCTGTTTCGAGAAGAAACACTTTGTTGAAACCTCCCTCTGCAACCTTGTAGATGCGAGAGTTCTCGCAGTAGTCTCGACCCGTTGCTTTGGCCGCTACGTGGCGTAGTGCTGAAGGGTTGAATTCGACATATCTTTCTCGAGACCGTTTGTCTTCATTGAATCTGACAAAAGTGTCGGTTAGTATATAAGTTACTTTTATACTTTGTTTTCATGACTATTCAAGTAAACTGGGAGACTTGAGTCACTGACATCCATCGTCTCGATGTATTCTTGAAGAATGAATCATAACATATTGATGAGTGACTGCGCGTGTGCGAGCGGGGTGGTGAGGCCGCTGCGATTATTACACGCTTGAACGATTTAATTGAAGCATGTTTTAATGGGATACTAATTGTCATCAAGTTATAAGGGAGAAACGTCATGATTCTAATCAAACTCCAGCGTAAGAAGAAAATATCCAAGACTATGAAATGATATGCAGTGTCAGGGAGGTTAAATTGTCAAGTCTTCATGTCAAGTATTGCGGCCGCTGAACCAAGGGGGGAAGTTGGCCATTAAAGCGGCGGGGAAATCGAGAGAAACGGCCGGGCGGAAATGATGCTGGGAATTGCTTCACTAATCGTCATTTTCAGTGTCAAATTCACAGATGCTCACATTTCATCATTTTAGGTGTAATTAAAGTCTTTACTTTTTATAGCAGTAGAGATTGTGCTGCCAAACTACCAGATTCTTTCTTTTATTGGAAGGTAATTATTTTTTTTACAGGGCAAAAAAAAAAAAAAAAAAAGTTAAAAAATTTTTCAGAGGTTACATGTGAATGTCAAAGGGTGTCGTCATTTGGTTAGTGGGGAGAGCTTGAAAAGCAAGAAGAATTGTCAGAGAACTAGAATGACACCAGAGGGAAAAGTGGTTTAATGGGATTGGGAATAACATGATTAAGTAGCCCATATCAGAAGTGGAGGGAGAAGAAACAGCGGCTTGCATGTTTAAAAAAGAGAAAGTAATTAAAAATAGAAAATGGAAACAAGACGAGCATTGGACAAGGGGGGAATAAGAAGGCAACTAAGTGGAAAAGTACTGACAAGGAATGGTAGAGCCGGCCAAAGGGAAAATGAAATTCGACAGCCAGGGAAAGATACAATCTGGGAATTTAAAACGCAATGCCGAGAGATTCATCCAGAAAGAAAGAACATAGCTCGTGAAAGGAAAAAAGAAGAAAAAAATCTAGGCCGATTCGTAGAAGCAAAGAAAAGTAGTGGAAAAATAGAAAGTAGAAAAGGGAAAAAAGGTAGAACGATTTTGCCAGAGATTTTGGAAAATTGTCATCTTGGCTTTGCCTCTCCATAGGGATTGAGGAACATAGAAACTAAACGTAATCAAATAAACATTGAAAAGGGTAAAAAAGATCAAAGGTAGGTGTATCTAAAATCAAGGTGAAAAGGCGATTAGATGTGCTGACCAGATGAAAAGTAGCTGGCAGTAGAAAGAGAACGGAAAAACTTTTGTAAATCGTCGTGAAAAGAAGTAAGATATGTTCCGATGCTTCGGATTTAGAGAAAAAAAAAAATCGAAGTTCCAGGCTGAGATCTGAATTATGACTCGGATGAAAACTTTTGAGAAGATTCATAAGGTAAAGTGCATGCCCTCGACGGTCAAAAAACGTCGATGATTTAATACGGCAAATGCCGGCTTCGATGAAAAAAGGAAATGGCGACGAACAAAGTTTCTGCGTGGATGTTGAGATATGATTGACTCAGAAGAAGAGTCGTGATGGAGAGAGAGCAGGCGAAAAAAGGATCTTTTTCGAAGACACTTGTGCATCATGCAGACTAGCATGAGTCAAGGGAGCAGAAAAATCCCTAAAAGCGTTTGGAGCGCGGTCGAAACCTTAGGCTGCAGCAGTCTGGGCTGCAAAAGATGAGGGCATAAAGAAGGGTTCATGCTGCCGTGCGCAGTAAAGGCAGCCACAGCCAAAACCATGCCCACCCCATATGTTCTGGGCAAATGGCTGAACGTATGGAGTGTGATGATAAGACGGCGGCTGAGAGGGCAGCTGGCCAGCCTGGACGGACCGAGGAACAGCATGCAAAGAATAAGGTGGTGGAGCCACGCCAAACGACCAAGGCCCAGGAAGTCCATAGTATTCGGGTGTGGTCGGGCCCGTCTCGGGGGCGGAAGTAGGAGAATGCTCAATCGGAGCGGGGTAGAACCAATGATCAAAATGACCGGGAGAATGAAACTGTGACTGCTGGCGTTCCACGCCACTTCCGAGCAAAGCCGGGCCGCCAAAATGGGCCGGATACATGGGCGCTGGAGAAAATGGCTTCTGCAGCAAATTCGAACGCTGAATATTTGTATCCAGCGGCGCCAACTTGACGGACTTGCTCGCACGAGCAACCGCTTCAGCAGTCCAGCTCTCCCAATGAGCTCTCCAAGACTCAATATGGTGGCTTTCAACATGCAACTTCCAATCAATATCCACGAGCCATTCGGCCTCCAAAGTATTCAGTTCGGAGACGGCGATGCCGCTCACCTCGGACCAAGACCGGTTCTGGAAGGTGTTGTCATCCAAAAACTTACTCGCCAGCACCAGAGCGACAGTCAACATGCGGTAGACTTGACCGCTCGAGGACTTGCACTGGCCTTGAGCAGGGAGCATGGTCATCCGGGAGGAGAGATAATAGAGACCCAAGAGGATCGTCGAGCTGGGCAGTCGAGTCGAAGCAAGAATCTGAGAGACCCACTTGCGAAAGGCGGGGGGAACGGGCGAAGAAGGCTGCACACTGTGCATAATGTCAATATCTGCGAGGCAGATACGAGAAGCATAGAGGTCATACATTCCCTGTGCCATTTCAGACACAAAATCCGACATCTGTTCCATCTCGTAGTCCAAGTGGGCGGCAACGCCCCCAACGGCCTTGTCTTCCTTGGGAGGCGGCTTTGAGCGAGCATCTTGCTCGAGCTGAGAACGCGCCTGGTACGAAGACAATTCGGCAGCCAGAGCATCTGGCGCGCGAATCGGCGGGAGCGCGGGCGCAGCCACCGAGCCATATCCCGACATCAGAGGAGCAGCCGAGCTTGCAGACGTTGCGGCGGCGACACCATTGTAAGAAGGGGGTGGGTGATAGGCCATCTGGCCAGGAGGGAGAAAGGCAGGCGAAGGACCATAACGCTCCGAAAACTCAAATCTAGCTTTTTCATGCAGGCTACTCATGCCAGGCAGACCCGAAAAGGGGCCTTGATTGACGTGCATCCCTGCGCAACTCCCGGCATTGTAGCTTGGCACGAAGTCGGGAGGTGTCAGGGGCATCTGCGGCGGCAGAGTCCGCGGGTAAAAGGACGGCATGATCAAGAAGAAAAGAGTCGTCGAGAGAAGGGAGGAGACGGCACACCAGTACCGTGCTATGCAACAAATCGTCAGCAAATTATGGACCAACCCACAAGCTTCTCGGTGCGGAAGCCCAAATTCGGGAGATTACCAACCCTCGCCCGCTTCTCAAGACCGGAGTCTATTAAACTGTACCAACGACTGCTCTAGCAGGTTCGCGACATGCACAAAGGTTTGAGACGAGTCCAAGAATTCCGCTGTGGGTAAAGTAACAAGACGACTCGGGGTGGTTGTGAAGCGAACTTTCTTCACTTGAAAAGTCGGATGGAAGAAGAGTCACCACCAAAAGTGACAACGCCGCGTTAAAATATGATCGGAGAAAACAGATGCTTGAATTGCAATGCAGATCGCGGTAGTAAATGGTGAAGTAAAACCAAACTGAGAGTCTGTCCAGCCGATTCGTCGAGACTAAGTTAATAGCTCGCCGGAGTGCTCAAGTCGAGAAGGGGGGTCGAGGAAACGACGTAAATAGCAAGACGACAGCGGTCAAACTTGGAGGACCTTGTCGGAAGTCAACTGGCGGTGGCTGAAACGGTCGTCCTCTGGGAGGTGAAGCCGAAGTGTGCTTGTCTCAGACGTGTCCTCGTGGCGGAGGCTTCTTTCGATCAAGACAGGGACGAAAGCGCGTCGCTGAGAAGACAACGAGCCAAGGGAAAAGCAGCAATGTATCCAGGCGGTTGGAGGAAAGACTTTTATGACCTGTTCGGCTTGAGCAATGATTTCCCAGGTGAGCGAGGAATTCACGATCTCGACTGAGTAATCCACGAATGCCGCTCTCACGACTGACCCACAGGCCGACTTGAATAGTCTACCTTAGCGGCAGACCGAACGTCGAAGACGCGATCAATGTCAGACAGTGGCGATAGTGAACGAGAGCTGCCCGGGAATGACAATAACAATACGGCAAAGAAAAAGAAAAAGAAAAAGGTAGAGGAGGATGGGAGACGTTGAGGTAGAGGGATTTTTTTTTAGAGCGGAAAGAAAGAATTATGGATGACGAGAGTAGAGGAGAGGAAAAGGCGAATATGCAAAAAGGTTTCGGGAAGGGCAGGTAGGGACACAGGACAGGGCAAGAGAAGAGAGACACGCCCACACGCACGCACACACATACAGAGAGAGAAGGGAAGAGACTGGTTGTGTGGGCGACGGGGGATGAGAATTTCTAGGAGGGGGAAAGGATAGACCAAAGGGCAGACGAATCAGAATGGGGCCAAGCCAGAATAGGTGGAAGGGCCAGTGGAGAGGGCAGCAGCAACCTGCCACTTCCATTCGTTTTCTTCTCCCTCTCCCTCCGTCTCTTCCCTCTTCTGCACCCGTGTAAAGAGTAATAGCGTCCTTCGTAGTGATGGATAGTGTGTGTGAGAAGCGTGGGAGAGGAAGAAAAAGTGTGTGTGGACAGGCTCATAGCGCGTGTCCTGTTATGCATCTGCCTGGCATTGAAGTACCTCACTGGCCATTCGCTAGTACCGTTTCTCCAAATTATGGAGGTCTTAGAAGTACTCTCTTGCGTTCAGACAAGCCCAAATCATCGCATAAAATTAGGGACAGATACTTTCTCCTTGGCACAGATCATTCGGCAGAATACTTGGTTCGGTACCTTTCTGGCCCCAGATTATTTCAAGCTGGCGACGTTGCCTGGACCAACCCATTACCAATGAACTACAGCTGTACGAGGCAGGAGCGAGGGAGGGGGTGGGGGCAAAGATCAGGATGGGTCTTCCCCTTCTGGGTTCAGGTAGAAAGCCACTGCAAATTTCTTCCCTCCTCGTTGGCCTCGATGAGGGCAAGCGCCAAAAGGAGCATCCACATCCTCTGGAGAAATATGCCAATCATCTCCTCTCTCTGACTCTCTGACACGTCGAAATTACGGAGGAAGTACGGAGTACCTAACCTTAGGAACATCCAGACTACGAGTCACAGACTCTACAGGAATACTCTTTTACGGCCCTTTTCTTCTCCCGCCCGCCAGGCCTCTCCCAAACAAATTCCTCTCCCCGGCCACCCTTTCCTTTCATTTTACCTACCGACCAAAGCCGCTCAGCCGAAGGGCAGTGCTCTTTTGAGACGGCATCCTTTACGCGGCGGATGCTTTTTCTGGCTCTCAGACAACATAAGGAGAATTTATTACGGAGGTATATATTATAACTCTGTACTTCCCGCATTATTAGTGGATCCTGTTTCTCAAGAGTAGGGCTTGTCATCTTTGTTTGCCCCACAGCCTCATAGCTTCAATTCCGTTTTCGTGCTCAGTACAGTGAAATGTAAGAATCATACTGTCATGTGAGAATGTGGGAGAGCAACCATCTTCTACTGGGCTCATCCAAACTTAGCATCTGTGATGGCAAACATGTGCAATTCCCTCAGCCCTCAAGCGTCACACTCACCTCTTGGGCCGCTCTTTCGATGATGAACACTCGGTGAGAGTGACAAGGGATAAGAATGACGGCTCAGTGATCGTCCCACCTACTGACGCACAACTGCAGCGGTCAACCCATTTTGGCCACTCATAAGGGCGCTCAATTTGCAGACCAAGTTATCCTGTCACCGAAAAGTACTTTCGTAGTGTCGGTTGGATCATTGGTCTCCTGTGCAACGCTTCCTTTTCTTCTGCCATTAGTTTTATTGTCGAATGAAACGGCCTTTTCTGGGCCCATTTACAGAAGAGTGAAGCACCAAAATGGGCATTCCTCTGCTAACTCATGTGCGGTCCTTCGTACCGTGGGTTGCCCCGTCTACCCGCGAGATTTTATCCCTGCAACTCAAAAGGCTGCCTACAATACCTGCTTTGTGGTTGGACGTGAAACCGTTGCCTGATTCTCCCATGATAGAGCCTGGCTAATCGTCGAAGCTGGTCGGTCTTAGCAAATCCACGTGTCAAAGCAGCGCGCATATATACCATATGCCCGAGTACCTTGGTCAACAACACGCCCAGGAACGTACCTTGCACTGTCCACTTTACGTTAGGCCAAGAATTCGGATTTCTATATTAGGAAGGAATTCCAATCCAAGTGCTCTCTCTCCACGACAAAATATTATTGACCAGAAGACCGTTACCATTAGCATGTAGCATAGCCGCCTTTAATGCTGTTTCGCGGCATTTTTCCCTTCCTCTAGTTGAGGAAATCCGGCACCGATCGTGATAAGACATTGATACGTGACGACTTGGATGCGGCAGACCAAAACCCCTGTAACAACCAACGAAACTTTCTCGTGCTGCAGTCCTGCCCACGAGAAGCATACCCGACTTGTAACGTTCTTCGTGCTACCTGTACGAAGCTTATCACCTTACAGAGGACCTTACTCTCCTCGAGCCCGGCCGCGTTACTGTGATCGACTGATAGGACGCGGGCAACAGCGACATGACTTGGCTGCAAGTCCTGGAGAACCCTACCTAAGGTAGCTTCTTCCAATGATCAAGAAGTATTAGGCTGATCTCCGCTTGTGGTGATTTTGTAATGTCACTTCCGCTTCGGCATTCCCACATCTCTGTAAGAGGAACGAGTAATGCTGTAACACAGACTGACGCGGAGCAGTGATAGATGCTCCTGGAAGAAACAAGGCCTACCTCACCTACCTAATGAGAGACGGAGCTTTGACGCGCCTGTACGAATGTACTGCGAAAGGGGAAAGTGCCGCACGAGCGTATGTCCTGCCTCTTGATTGGTACGAATCCATCTAACGTGGCATTCCTTCCCCTTTAATCTTCTTGTAAAACAGCAATACTTTGGCATCTCAGTAACGGAGCAATCAACTACCGCACCTTACTCTGTTTAGCCTCTGGATTGTATACTGTCGAGGCAATTCGATATAGTAATTGGTTTGTAGCTCACGTGGCAATCAACGACGTAATGGACCACAGAATGGAGAGCGACATTATTTTCTGATTATAAGAAGCTGGTTCGCGATGCTCAGATTATGTGATATTGCAAGAAGTTTGAAATATCAGATGATGGCTTCTACCTCCCGCTGCTCCCAAGAGCTTTCCATCGCATTGAATTTCATGAGAGCAGGAAAAGCTAAGCAGGAAAGGACCAGAACGCAATGACCTTGTACTGAATCATTTATTAACCTTAGAATAGCATATTTGATAACTAGCAATTGAGATATCAGGGAGAGAAACACATGGCAAGGGGCTCCACAAGAGCGCCTCCTCATAAGCATTGAAATAGTAATTGAGTGCATCAGCACGAAATAGAGCGACAAAATGTAGATTCCCCCAATCCGTGATGTGCGCCTAACCAGCAAGCTTTTCTCGTCTCGCTTGAACGCCATATTTCTGAACCAAAGAATAGTAGGGGAAAGCGAAAAAAAAAAATCAAAGATTAGCATGAGAGGGTCATTGACATGGTTGACGAGCGGACACTGTCCCACTTCATTCTCCATCATGGTGCAACTACAATCCTAATAATGGATCCGAAGTTTCGATCTTGCGCCATCCTTGTGCTCAGTGTCCCATGTGGTCTTCCAGTTGAGCTGCTCCTGTCTTGCTTTCATGAAAGCCTCCAGACAGTCGGAGGGAAGTTCACGCCACACATCTTCGTCCACGTCGAGGAGACTCTTAGGATCAAGGTCGGCGCAATCACCATCGGGGCCGGGAAGTCCTAGACCAGAAATAGGCGGTGATTCAAAGTATGTATCGGTGATCAGATAGTTGCGGGAATGAACTGGCGACACGGGCGTGAAAATGGAATGTTGGCCAGCCATATGCTTAACAGAGGCCTTTGGAGCCCCAGTACCGTTCACAAGGTGCTCAGTACCATTGATTTCTTGAGAAAAGTTGTCATGTTCATGGGAGTCGCCATCGGCCAGAGAGGGCGGAATTGGCTCCCAACGGGCATGAGTAGGCTGCATCATAGCGGGGTAGTGCATCAGATTCGTGTGGGGGTCATAAACACCATCCAAGGTCTGTCGACGACCAGCCAGAAGTGTCGTGTTAAAGCGGCTATACAATCAAAGTCAGTAACTGCTTATCCTCTTCTTAAGGAGGGCGATAGAATATCATCTTTGCCGTCAAACATACCTAGCTTCCTGAGCATGCTCAAACATCCAGTTATGCCCAGTAACAATTACTTTCCGTTTCTTGGTGTCTAGGATTTTGCCATTGGTGATCGGGATGCTCGGAACGCCAGTGTGGTAAACGCTGCTTGCGCCATGCCAAGCAACATATCTATTACGATCATACTGTTCTCCTGGAGCAGGTAGTTTGTCATTGGGATCAGCGAGTTCCCCTTCTACTTCCCCATTCGCGCGGGCAGCAGCAGCCTGATAGTCATCGATGACCCGCTTACCGCCGATGATGATGCGGGCTCCAAATTCCCTAAAGACAGAACGAGCGGTGACGACACCAATGGCACGGCCTTTGTAGGAATGAGGGATGATTTCTCTTTCGATAAGATCCCGCTTGGCGGCTTCATCGATAATGATTTTATAGAGCTGCTTGTGTTTCTGGAAAAACAAATAACTGTCCCTGAACCCTATACATCTTGCCGGTTCAGTCGAAAGCATGTAGAGTCGCTCGCCTCGTCCAAGAATAGTGAAAGTGCGGACACGATATTCTCTCCCTCCAAGTAAGTGACCCATTTTGTCCACCTTTGTCTCTCCTTCAGGATCCTCTGGCAGCGCAACTTCATCGTCGATGACGTCCATCATGTTTCCTTCCTTGTCGATGGGGACTTGGGTTACGTGTGAAGGGCCGCCCTTTTGCTTCCACCTGCCTCCGCCGGTTGGGGGGCGGCCGCGACGGCGCTTTATTGGTGTTCCTACTTCCGACCCAGGTTCATTGGCAGTCTCGTCGATATTATCCCAGTCAGCAGGTCGATTCTTCGGAGGTCGTCCAGCACGTCGTTTCCTAGGTATGATGGGTTGTATTGGCGCGGGTGTGGATGGTTCAGAAACAGGTTCGGAGTTCTGGGCTGGGGTGCCGAGGTCTTCTTCCTCAACAGCGGACGAAGCGCCTTCTTCAGGCACATCAACCACTTCTTCATCAGAGGCGTCGGCAATGAGGGGCGTTGGTGTTCCTGGCGAACACTTCTGTCAGAAAATGCATACAATTTGCAATTGAGTGGTAGAGCAATTTACTAATGGATGCTGCTGCGGCTTGAGCCGCTGCGCGGGGTCTGCGTCCCATAGTTTCTGGATTGTTGTGCGCGGTGCCCAAGCTTTCCTTTGATTTATTTTTGCCCCAGAGTACAAGCCCCAGGGATTGCGCTTTGTCGACGAAGATTCACCGTGCAATAAATGATGGCAAGGTATCGCGACGCGAAAGAGGTCAAAAGCTTAGTTTGTCCTCTTTCGGTTACGACTCCGTTCCGGGCCGCATTATTGTTAATCCGCCCATCGTCATTGTTTGCCGGCCTTCACCTCTGGAATAAATTGGAACAATCTATCATGATCTCTGGATGGATATCAAGTCTTGTCTAAGGCGCGCAAATATGCATACAGATATTATATATACAGTAGAAATGGATCTTAAATACACTGCGTGATACGCATCATGCCTCCTCCCTCTCTAGCTCAGCCTCCAACTCTAACGTTTCACGCAAAGCCGACATAAATAACTCTCCCTCAGACTCCTTAAGCGGTAAAAGAGGCTTACGAGGGGCTATACCATAGCCATGCATCTTATTCAAGGCGAACTCTATCAAAGGATTTCCATTAGCTGTGTCAAGAAAAGCGTGGAAAGAAAGCCTTACTCATGCCTCTAATACCCGCCGGGACCGCTGCCACGTCGGAATTTGAAAGAATCGACTGGATTCTAGCTGCCTCTTTGACCTCCTTTTCAGTTGGAGAGGGATTGGTGCAAAATTTCCATAGCTTCATAGTCGCACGTGGAGCAAAATTCGGTATGCCGCTCACGGTTCCGTGGCCTCCACACTGAGCCCAAGGCGTAAGATCGGCGATGAGGCCGTCAAGGAGGATAACTGGGAAAGGGCGACTGTTGTTCATGGCAGGGTCCTCTTGGATTGCCGCCTTTAGTCGAACAAGCTTTCCTACGCTTCCACCACACCTATGTTTATTGTTAGCAGTCAAAAAAACCATACGTGGCCTGTCGATCCGTGAAAGGAACATACGTGAGTTTAACACCGCACAGATTTGGCGCTCTCTTCATTATTTCCGTAATCACCGCTGAAGACATGTCTTGCCCGCCAGCATTTGCAGGAAAGTTATACAGCAGCAAGGGAATCTGTTCATAGTCCTTAATGAGTGCGATATCACCTTTATAGGGCTGGGGAATTCCTTACCGGCGAACCCTCGCAAATATCAATATAGTACTGAATTACCTGACCTTGGTCTGCATTGAGACTGGCTGCATAATAAGCCGGCAGAATTACCATTCCTGCATCTCTGTAGATATATGGTGTTAGCTAGGTGAATTTGCTTCCTTCAATCCATTTGCTTTCTCTTTCATTCCATTTCAACCACGTTCACTGAATGGTGTAGAACTTACGCTCCGGCTTCAGCTGCGGCCTTCGCTAGCCCAATTGTCTCTCTAGTGCTCGACCCTCCTACGCCGGCAACAATCGGTGTTGATGTGAGGCCAGCTTCATCAAGAGTTTTTCTGATGAACCGTATAAGAGTTATACGCTCATCATAGCTCTACTCAAGAAGCAAAATTAGTACTAACTTCGGAACCATCCAAATATCCTCACTAACCAAATGTACAGCTTCTCCTAGTGAGCCAGCACAGACGGGCACTATAACGTGAGGTTAATATTGCATTTGGTTTTTCATCTTTGATACATAATGCATACCAATGCCCTTGGTTGCTAGATCTAGATTATCGGAGAATGTTAGCCGTCAAATTCTACTCGAATTCCCTTGTTTTCCCTCCAAGCCTTTTTATCTATCTCTAATTTTAGGTTTCTTTTTTTTTTTTTTTTTTTTTCATGCTTTTTTTCCTTGGTGTAGCTTGTCAAAAACCTAGTCTCATGGAAAGCTTTCCAGAGCAAAATAGATTTCCCTTTTTTTTTTAAAATATATATATACATATATATATAATAGGAGGTATGATGGGAGAAACAAGTTAAAAAAATCAAGGGGACAAAAAGGTTGCGGCATGAAAAGGAGTATCGATAAAAATTCGAAATAAAGTAGATTACTCACTCAAAAGATGCTTCTTGTAACTGACAAAGTCTAGCTCTTGATTGTCATCGAAAAATGTGGGGAGAGGACCGTAAACACCAGGTCCGAGCGGACGTCTCTCACTTGGATTGGCCATGATGAATAGAAATGATGAACAAGACTATTTTGGAGAGAAATTGAACTTTGGGATTGAAATATCTTGATCTTCTTGATTGTTTATTTTAATCGTCTCTATGAAATTGTTGCCAGCGGATACGCAGATTAGACATTCAATCCGTCTATTAACTGTCGGGACTATCGGCGAACGAGCCGCCTGCCACCGAGGGCACCCAACGGCGGGCGGTGGCGGATAAGCGCTCTTGCTATGACTTTGTCGCGGTAACTCGCCGCATGGTCCGCCCCTCTAACCTCATGTTTCGGGTTCCTGTGTTTCGGGCGGGTCAGTCAGGAGTGTAAGGGCATCACCACTATCTATGAACGCTAAAACGACCGCTAATTTAGCGTTATCTACCCCAAACTTCATATCGGTGGCCGCTTACCCAACGGCTCAGAAATCAATGAATAACTTTATTGCCCCATGATTGTTCAAGTATATGGATTATGATCGCTTTACTTAATCTAAGTATCTATTACAGATTGAGAAAAGCAATACATAGATTAAGTAAAGAGGTCTCTGATGCAGAAGAATTAGTTAGGGTCTGTCAATTCGTTAAGATGGACAAAGCTTCAGCGTCTGTATAGTGAGACGTACTATTTATAAGTGTCAATAAATCTGCATTATTTCATTGAATTCTTCTGGTACGAAATACGTATTTGCTCAAGCGGTCCGAAAGTGATAAGGGTTGAATCTAGGATGAATTGGTTCAGGAGCTAATTTAGTTAGGTGCGGTATACATCTCTGTCACCGTCGGGATAGACTCCGTACTTTACCGCCAAGCAACCGCCGATGTTATCCGTCTCCATTCCCTCCAGATCTTATCGACAAATAGTCGGTTTGAGACCCGCTCCACCGATATGGGTGACGTTAATGATCAATTGAGTATTTGTGCCCTATGGGGGCAAGCTATAATTCCCGAGGTCCCAGAAATTTGACACCGGCTGCATTTCGTGCATTGGACGAACTGCAAGCTTGCAATTGCCTGTTAGGACCTGCAACACATTGTGCTAAAATGGCAGAAGTAGTAAGTCCAACAGCGGCTGAACGCACGTGGAGATTATTTCTAACTCAAAGTCAGCCTTACGACCAGAAGGAGAAGACGTTGACGCAGAACGATGCCAATGAGATTTCTGTTGCATATGGTTCGATGGAGGAGAGCGATTCAAGAAAAGATGCTCCTTCAGAAAACGGCCTCCATCGTTCGCTCAAGGTACGGGCCTAGCACCCATGAATCTCCTTAACTAAACTAACATTTGAGTACAGCCCCGTCACTTGTCAGTAGATTATACGCATAATCAATGTAATCTGAAATTTTGAATCTGACTCTGAGTTCTAGGCAGATGATTGCAATCGGAGGTGTCATTGTGAGTAGCTTTGGTTTCTCTTTTTCGACTTCAGATATCTAATATGCTATCAGGGAACGGGTCTCTTCTTGGGAACCGGTGGTGATCTTCAACATGGCGGCCCTGCTGGTTTACTGCTGGGTTATGCCGTAATGGCATCTGTACTATTCTCGGTCATGGTAGGCTTGATGGATATCCCGACTATACTACCGCGACTAACATATTCGACCACTAAAAGGTTGCCTTGGGTGAGATGGTCTCCTGGTTTCCCATTCCAGGTGGCCAGTTCGCTTTGGCTGGCCGGTTTATGTCTCCGGAATTAGGTTTTGCTATGGGAGTTTTGTACTGGTACAAGTAAGTTTCGAGACCCTCATTTTATTATTTAAATGGCAATACTGACACTTTCAATAGCTATATCAGTATGTTAAGTTCAGCTCGCGTCTCAGTTCCGTTTCACTAATCGTTGCAGTTGTCCTTCCTGCTGAAATATCTGCGGCCTCGGTCTTAATTACCTACTGGACCCCCGCTGGAGTTTCTGGCTCGACATGTACCACTGGCATATGTAACAATGCTATGTGGGTTGGACTCATGCTCATTGTGGTGGTACGTTCTTCTTGTTTTCCTCTAGGGCCTGATCCTGAGCTGACGTTTTAAAGTGGGCAATCAATCTTGCGGGAACTCGTGTGTTTGGCGAGATGGAATTCTGGTTTGCCTCTATCAAGGTAATATACAGGGCGAAGAATAATTGGGGAACAACCATGGAGCTAAAGGGTACTCGCAGGTTATCACTATTATCGGTCTTATCATCGCGGGCATTGTTATCACAGCTGGCGGTGGACCAAACCATGAGAGTATTGGGTTCAGATACTGGAACGAGACTGGAGGATTTGTACAATATTCGGGAATAGGTAAGGATGCGTCCCTACGGTGATAACCAAACGCGACATGTATCTGACAAACAACTCTTCTTTAGCCGGTTCAAAGGGACGCTTCTTAGGCTTCTTCAGCAGTACGATTTTACCATCTCTTCATTCCTGTCCCACTTCTAATCCAATTTCCAGCGTTGGTTAATGCCGCCTTTGCTTTCATTGGCACCGAGATTACTGCTATAAGTGCCGCTGAGACTGCCAACGTAAGCATCCCGGTCACTAGAAAAGGCGATGTACTTACTTTTTCTACTTACAGCCGCGACTAAATGTCCCACGTGCAATCAAGAGTGTTTGGATCAGACTTATGATATGTAGGTTATTTCTAAGTGTCCGTCGTTGAGAGGAAATTTGACTAATGAGGGTCTACGTTATAGTCTACGTTTTGAGTGTCTTCGTGGTAAGTCATGACTTGCCCGCTTTGCCTTATACACGACTTGAGAGCTGACTTCAATAAATCTTTAGGTTGGCTTGCTGGTCTCGCCTTCTGATCCTTCTCTTGATCTCGGAAAAGCTGCTGCCAAAAGTCCTTTTGTCATTGCAATCAAGGTCAGTGTTTATATCTCTGTTACCTCTGAATGCAACCTCCGTACTTATTCTTCACAGAATGCCGGAATTCCAGTGCTGCCCTCCATCATCAATGCCGCTCTTCTCACCAGTGCATGGTCCGCTGGCTGCGCCGATATGTTTGTCTCGTCGCGCACCCTCTATGGTCTCGCTTGCCGTGGCCATGGCCCTAAATTCCTTCTGAAGACCAGAAAGTCGGATGGCCTTCCCTGGGTTTGCGTGATGATTTCTATGGCCTTTTCATTACTCTCATTCATGGCGGCAGATCAGAAGGGCAAGGCTGGCACAGTTTTCGGCTACTGTGAGTCCAATATCCCTTGAGTCGGTCTCTAAATGTCAAACTGACCCTTATGTAATAGTCTCAAACATGACGGCCATTTGTGGTATGATCTCATGGGCCTGCATCTTGGCGACTAGCATCCGTTTTCAGAAGGCTTTGAAGTTTCACGGCGTTGACCGCAAGACTCTTCCTTACACGGCTCCCTTCCAGCCGTACCTCAGTTACTGTAAGCTTCGAAATTAGGCGACTTCAAAGATCTATTTGGTAGACTAACGGCTTGTTTAATCCAGATGCAATGGCATTTTGCGTGATAGTCATAATATTTGGTGGCTTCAGTTCTTTCAGTGAGTTATGACCAATGAGTTTTTTTTGTCTTCAGAGCAGCTGTTCCTGACGAATCACAGTTCATTCCTTTGACACCTCCTCATTTATCACCACTTACTTCCCAATTCCCTTCTTTATCGTTCTATTAGTTGGTTACAAATTGTACCACAAGACGAAGGTTATCAAGATTGAGGACTTTGACCTTGTTACTGGTTCTTCTACCGCCATGATCGAAGAGGTACGTTGATTCGAAATTCCTTATTGACTGGCAGGTTATGCTGATTGAATACAATGAACAGTCTAAGCCCAAATCCTTTTGGAAGAAGATTTCTGAAAACGTGTAAAGATTATTGCGGTAATATGTGAGACGGTCACATTTTAGAAACGGTGCTACTTTCAGAATCTTAGAAAGCCTGATTCATGTATTCTTTAGATTTGTTTTTTTATCCTTATCATCCTGAGAAGTCGAATAAAGGATACCTTGTCTGATTTTTGCAAGATTTGCGGCTCGCATCAAGAATTAAATTCAGATTTAACTGATATGGATATGTGCGTTCAATCAAAGCTTTGGCGAAGAGAACAACGAAGCCAGCTGTGCATAAACTCAAACTTAGAATGCCATAACGTTCAATGGTGATGTTCGGCGACAAAATAACCTCGTGCTCGGCGTTCATCTTGATACTTTCCTTTTCTACAACCAACAATGACCAAATGCTTATCAGGCAGTATCTCGGCCGAATTGTTACAAAAGTTGTGATATAATAAAATGCCTAGCGACTTGTGGGGTTAGCCTGTTCCTGAGCTCGTGGCAACCCGACACAAAAGCCGCTAATGATTACGCTAGAAATTGAACCCCATTGCCCAGGGCTCCTTATCATGGACCTTCTCCTCGCCTGCTCCAAATCCCAGAACCCTACTGCGGAGGCCCCGTAACGACCTTTTCTGATCCGGAGGAAATGCAAGTCAATCTGCATCCTTGTGGCTTGCGTAGCTTGATTGATCACCCGCTCTTATTTTGACCGTCGCCGTTCGTAGGAGTGATTTCGGTCCTTTGGATTGAACCTCGGTTATTCCTGTGGCGAGTGATAACGATACGGTGGGTAAACTAGTGACAAGCGGCATCCAGCCGAAACATCCCTTCCTCGCCCGAAGTACTTCGGCATAGGCACCGTGTTTTCCGATCTTATCCTAAGATCCAATTACAATACAGGTAGTTGGAACTTCAATTACGACCCTTGCCCATAATGCTGTCAAGAAATCCCATCGCGGCTCTTGTTACGCAAATTGCGTGTTATACCAAAGCGTATAGTCTTCATGGCCTCAAAATTCGATCTCGTCATCGTCAATGGGACGGTGGTCACTGCAAGTGATATCAGGTATTCGCTTCCACCTCAATGTCCGTATTGATCAGATAATAATCAACGATATTTCGTAGTTCATGTTGTATTGGAATCAAAGATGAAAAGATTCGCGCACTTGCGCAATCCTTTACTGATGATGAAATTGCCGGTGCTGAAGTTATAGATGCAGAGTAGGTTATAATCTTCCTATCGGTGCCATGTCACATGGCTGACATTCTGCACGATAGAGGCGCCTATGTAATGCCTGGAGGTATTGATGCACATGTTCATTTATGCCAAGATTTGAAAACCGGTATATTCTCTTTGATCGATGTCTTTCTGTCTTCTTGCACTCTGTTAACTATTTCCCCCAGGTCCACATGGTCTAGGCGGCGAATGCGCCGACAATTTTGAGACAGGGTCTAGAAGTGCCATTGCAGGAGGCACGACAACTGTCATTACCTTTGCAACTCAAACTCGAGCCGAGGAGGATCGAAGCTTGATTAAAGTCGTGGAGGCATACAACGCACGAGCTGAAGCCACTGGCAGTTATGCTGACTATGGCTTCCACATCATCATCGTCCGCAACGATGCTGACGTTCTCGAGAATGAGCTACCTGTACTAATTCAGGACTGGGGAATTAGTAGTTGCAAGCTATTTATGACTTACGAGACACAACGGCTTACTGATTCACAACTTCTCGATGTCATGTTTGCAGCAAGGAAGAACGCAATTACGACAGTATGTTTTGCGTTTATAGCTTTTCAACGGGACCTGTTCAGATGCTCATAGTTTCCAGATGATACATGCTGAAAATGGAGATATGATTGAGTGGCTTACGGGTGAGTATTTTTGATTATGTCTGTTATTCTAATAATATCTTTCTTACTGACGGCCCCAGACAAGCTGGAAGGAAAAGGAATGGTTGGTGAGTCAAAAATCCAAATCAGCATTATCAGCATAGCGTTGATTGTAAATATAGCTCCCTTCTACCATGCTCTGTCCCGGCCACCGCTTGTTGAAGGGGAAGCAACAAACAGAGCAATTGCACTCGCTCAATTGATTCAGAACCCGATTCTGTTTGTCCACGTTGGGTCGGCAGTAAGCTTTTCTATTTGAAAATGTTCGCCTCATTTAGAAATTTCTGACTTCAGCAGCTCGGTGCAGCAAATGTACGCAAAGCCCAGACTATGGGGCTTCCAGTTTACGCAGAAACTTGCCCTCAGTACTTCAATCTTACCTGGGAAGATTTGGTGAGTAGATCTATCTAAGATTCCTCTAGAGTGACCCGTTTAATCAAATATTACAGAAGCGCTTCCACTCGCCAACGTGTTTCGAAAACAGTAAAATGATATGCTCTCCACCTCCGCCACCAGACAATTCTGACCAAGAGGACCTATTCACGTGAGTTATTTATCCAAATGGAAACAAAGAAACTTCATGCTTACATCGGCTACCACAGTGGTCTTCATAATGGCACATTCACCATATACTCCTCTGATCATTGCCCTTTTCGTTATGACCACCCTCACGGGAAACCCACTGGTGTTCTCGAAGATGAAGCAAGCATGCACGGCGAATCAGCTTGTACAGGGCATAATATACAAGACCTCCTATCTCGCAAAGAAGGCGCTTTTCGCTTTATCCCCAATGGCATTCCGGGTGTTGAGACACGGTTGCCTTTGCTGTACACAGGCGCTCTTGCAGCAGGCCGCATTACGCCTCAGAAGTTTGTAGAGCTCACTTCAACCAATCCTGCGAAACTGGTTAGCAATTTGACTAAGACCCTTTTATGAATTCAAGCTGATTATCCGTTCCTAGTACGGTCTATATCCCCGAAAGGGAGCATTGATGGTTCGTTTCAAGGATATCATATTACCACCTGCAGATCAGCTGACAGTATAAATTTAGCCTGGATCCGATGCTGACCTAGTAATTGTAAGCGCATCTCCAACAAAGAGCTACTGAGCATGATTCTAATGACCTTTTTTGTGACAGTGGCATCCGGAGAAAAAATTCCAGCCTTTCCGTCTGACCAATTCTCAACTACACCATAATGTAGATTGTAAGTCTCATTTACCCTCTCAGAGCCTGCAATCCGTTTCAAAACCTGATTACGCGCCAGACACGCCTTATGAAGGTCAAGAATTTATAAACTGGCCGCGATACACTATACTCCGCGGCAAGGTAGTCTGGGCGAATGGTGAAATCAAGGGGAAGCCACGCGACGGAAAGTATCAAAAACGAGGCCCGAGCCAACTTAGCCACGGCCTTCCTGGTCATGATAGAGATCCGCACACCGTCGCCGCCTGGCTGTATAAGTGAGCCTTTTCGAATTGCGGGACATTCTTGGTCATCTATCTGTTTACGAATATTTCTATCAATGGGACCATGCCACTGAAGATGTATGTAGCCATGTAATTATCATATAGAGTATCATGATACACAGCTGTACATAGGAAGAACCTCACTACTACGTAAAGAAACCCCGAGTTTTACCGAGTGTTCGTACGTATGTAGTTAAGCCCTGCTCTACATATCCAGTAAAAGAAGCTGTAATAATCGCTTATCAAACCGAACTCTGTAGAACTGGATGTTTGGCCCCTCGGCTAGAACCTTTACGGTAAAAGTACACAGCTGCTATCAAATAAAGTTGCCCCGTCGTGGCTGATAGTAATGATAACGCATTTGGGGCCATTGAGTTGCTCCTTTCCCCCAGGAGTCTCAACAATTCAGGACAAGGGGAAAAGCAGCAACAAATAAAGCTAAAACTGTACTGCATCTACCGGCCCGTTTTCAGCGTGTATCACAACAGATGACGCCGATTGCTCTGCACCTCTGTGATTGTTTCATATTCCTCGCCCGGAGCTTGAGGTTGACAAGCTTAGATGACTATGATGGAGAAGCGTGCAGAATCTCCACAGTAAGCAGAATGTATCGCAGCTATGCAAAGCGGCAACAATTGCTCAATGCTGAACTAGTTCCGACATTGACGACCAGCCTACGAAAATACGTCGTATTTCTCGTGCTTGTCTGCAGGTATGTTGAGTATTTCCTATCATCCCGGAAAACAACAGCGCAAGTTCGACTAAATCTCCGCACAGTGTCGAGCAAGAAAGCAGCGCTGTCAGCCATTGTCCAGCACGGCAACTCTGCAAGCGCCATGCAAACGATGCCAACACCATGCTATTACTTGCTCCTTTGAAACAGACCAAATAAGTCCACCAGATGTCGCGCCCAGTCCATCAAAGATGGCACAGCTTGTCGTCGACCTGCAGCAGCGGTATGTCCCTGCATGTCCAATTAACGATTAAGTATTGTAATTCTGATTTCGACCCACCTTTTCAGGCTTAATCGACATGAAGCTCGAATTCTAGAACTAGAAAAGCTGCCTCAAGGAGGGAAAGTCAGGCAAACGGACGAGGACACGCCCAGTCATGCTAGGGGTGCTATCAGCAAGTAAGACTTTCCAATTTTCGCCTTTCCAGTCGTACAACTCCGCTGATATCAGTGCAGTGCACAATCAACTTCCCATCAGACTCCAAGGGAGCTCCCCCTTGAGCGTGAAGATGGCCCGTCTCCGCAGGTATTGACTTGCGAAACTCCAGCTTCGCATACTTCGACCTTTAGCATGGATGGGATTGGCCTTGGACCGCCGATTGCGACTTTACGGTCCTTGGGCGCTCTTTCCAAAGACGAAGGAAGATTGAGTTCTCATTCACCAGAATTAAAGTCAAAAGGAACCCCGAATGTTCTCAACCGTTATACGGCCTGTGATCCGGTCGCACGAGGTGTGCTTTCCGTGCATGACGCTCAGCGGGCGATCCACATGTACGTCAATTGCTCCCTGAGAGCCTTTCTCAATGACGAAGACTGATTTAGTTCTCCAGATTCTTCGAGCATTGCCATCCACTCGCACCGGTTCTAAATGAGAGACTTCGCCATTCATGGCTCGACTTGAGGTTCTCTAGTCCGACCCTTTTTCTGGCGATATGTTCTATTGGCGCCCGTTTCTGGGACACGGGCCACCAGCTGTAAGTATCATAGCATTTCAGTCCGAAGAATTCTTATCCTGAACATGGAACAACAGTCCAAGGCCCATGCAAGCAGTCCACCCAAGATTCTCTGACCTGACGGCGCTTCTCGACATGGCTGTCTCGCGACTGTTGCTGCGCCCAACACCCGCCGATGTCACACTCGATTCCATTCGGGTATTGCTTCTCTACGCACAATGGATGCCGTGCAGTCGTGATGATGAAGACAACGGTGCTTCTAAGGTGCCACTCGATGCACACTACCAACCGAAGAGTCGATACAACGAGATAAGCGCTTGGGCCGTGCTGGGACTGGCTGTACGATATGCCCTCTTCCTTGGTCTGGACCGGGCAGCTATCGCGCCTTTTGAAGGACCCATCAAGTCTGTTTCCGAGGAAGACATCTGCCGCTTGAGAGTTTGGTATAACCTGCTCACATGTGACTTCAACCTCATGTTGACATCCGGCCTTCCCACCTCCCTTGATCCGGCACCGTCAGCAAAAGTTGCTCAGCGCTTCAGCTCACATAGGGCGGCACAACAGCCGGGCGATCTTCGCGTATCGGCTCTTGTGGGGCTGGTGGCAATTGTGCATCGTGGGATGCGCATATGCAATGATGCTTCAGGCCGCCAGCTGGATACGCTCTGTTTGAGAAAGATCAATGTAGAGTTGGATGAGTGGGAGCGGTAAGTCTAATCTAGCAGCGTTAACAAACTATTGTGATGACTGACTCTGCGATCTGTCTCTAGTTCATGGTACATTCGACTCCGTAAGCCTTCCAATGATCACATATTTGTTGTAACTTGTTATCTGATTGGTTTATAGGGCATACGGAATCACAACATAATCAACTACCCTTCACTTCGGTCAGAGTAAGAATCGGTTCACACAGTGCTCATTACAGGAAGAAATGCTAACAAGGGCTGATCAGTGGTACCGCCTTGCTCTGAACAGTGCTGCGGTTGGTCCAGTATTGTCCTCAATGGACCGAACAGCACCTCAACCGCTGCAGGTCTGGCTTCTGCAGTCACTGGGAACCTGTCTTACCGCAGCCTCTCAAATGCTTCTCTCACTGTCTTCCTACGGCGCAGAGTATATCTGGAAATTGGACTCTCAGAATATGTCAACGTTCCCAGATGGGCCTTTCGAAATTGATAGCGCAGCTGTCAAGCGCCTCTATTATGCAGTGGATTCAACGTGGATCTCTCACACCTTTGCAGTGACTTTCCTAGTGTTGTGCTATGTCAGAGGGGCAATCGATGGTAAGGCTTCCCATCTCCAAACATTTTCAATATATACTAAGTCATTATTCTTTATCTGAAGATGATCTTCGCATTCGCATACTAAATCCTAACGCCTCTTCCAATCCAAGCGTGCTCCCTCCTCATTCCGGATCCACCATTGCTCGGCTTCTTCGACTTGCGCTAGATGTCTTTGATGGTATCTGCCAAACGACATCATTTCATCCTGCACGCGATTTTCAAGCCATTGTCCATGATGCCACTTCTCTAGTCTTGGTTCCAGGACAAGAAGACGTGCAGGATGGTCAAGAGATGGATGGCTCGGCTTTACAATCGCTTTTGGACATGATGAATGACTCTGGATTCGATTGGCCTGGTAATTTACTCAATTTATCGACAGACTTCCCCCCTGAATGGGAGGTGGATGGATGCTGAATATTTAGATTTTGTTGTCCAACAGCGGTTTTGATGTGATTATTGGATTTTTAATTTCGCGCATGCTTTAATGATACCCCTTTTTATTTTAAACATGTCCGCATTTCTATAATTTTGCAGAGCGAGCTTTTCTAAAGTTGTTGATTCTATACACATTATAAGCATTCCGAATAATGAATTTTCTCAATATAATGAGATTTCCAGAAAACCACTTACGTTTCTTCATCTGCGAGTTCAAACACCACATTCTGAGCTCCCTTCCAGAGCACCAATTCGCCGAGAGCGCGCAAATTCTCTGCGCCCTCTGTAATGGTCAAAAAGTGATTTGCCGCCAATGGACCCATTTTGCTAGCAAACGCAACACCTCCGTAGCAAAAGAGGAACTCCGTCTCGGAGATTCCGCCGGGATATAGCAGAATCTGCCCTGCACCTGGATGCGCAGTGTGATTCTCAAACGGCACGCCAAAGTCCGTCTCGCCCAACGGCACCCACATGCCCTCACCACTCCAGCGAACGTGGATGAGCTGCTGCCGGTAAGGTAGCAGCTTGCGGAACATGGCCACTGTTTTTGGAGCCGCCGATTCGAAGCTCGCTAGAAACTGGTAAGGACCGGCGGTGATCAACACGGTATTCGACTCTGACATGGTTGCTGTATTGTTCGTAAGACCAATTGATTTTGTTGTCTTTTTTTGCCTTTATTTTTACTTGAGTATTTTTGATAGCGTGTGATAGAATGGTTGCTCTTTTTTTGTTGTTGTTGACAGCTCTGATATCTTTCCCTCCGGGGGG